TAGTCTTAAATGAGAATTTTCCGGAACGGAAAAATGGTGTTTATCCGTTCATATAAATGCGTCTAAAACCCAAATCCGCCTTTCGCGAGAACTCCGCACTTCGTACATCGCAACCAATAACCGTCCCCGATCGTAGCCGACGAAGATCGATTTCCTAATATCGGCGCCCCGAATCGAAGCCAGCAAATTAGAGAGAAGCAAGAATCTCGGTGGTGCGGTGAGGGTTATTACCACACGATTCCGAAATGCCGCTACGTACAGCGTGTAGCGTGACTGCCGAGCGTGCCCCCCCCCCCCCCCCCCCCCCCCCCCNGGGGGGGGGGGGGGGGGGGGGGGGGGGGGGGGGGGGGGGGGGGGGGGGTGTCGACGGAGCAACGTTTCTGACGGGGGCGAAGGGGTTCCCACTCGCCGCGAGCGTGCTTGGGCACGTCATGATCGTAGCCACGTTCTACGAATTTTTTCGCTCGCGGAAATTTTATCTTAGCACAGTTCTGCGGTGTTGAGAGCCAGTGCTGTTGATATGATGGAGTATTTCAAGTTTGAAATGCATGAAATTCCGTGAAATATTCCATGCAATTTCATCAGGGCGCGAAATACTTCAAAAATATGAAATGTATTTGAGGGGCTTGGAGGACGGGGCGCATTAGTGCACACTGGAAAAAAAAAGCACATTGGATCTAGAGTCCAGACTCTAAAAAACATCGACAAGAAAAAATACTCTTGATTCAATCAAATTTAAGCTTAAATCAAGAACCAAGCCTCTTAATTTGGGCGGATTTTCTTTTGATTTAAGCTTAAATCTGATTGAATCAGGAGTCCATTTTCTTGTCGATGTTTTCAAGAGTCTGGACTCTAGATCCAATGTGTTTTTTTCTTTTTTTTTCCAGTGCAGTGTTTGCTATTTCAAGAAATGCGCGTTTAAAGTTTTAAAATGACATGCAGAAAGGGAGTTTTAACTCTATTTTTGATGCTTTGAAGTTGGATTACAGTTGTCAATTTTTCACAAAAGATACTTTCAAACTACTTCTGGTTGACACAAACTGATTGCGGTGGACGCGCGGCTCGTAAGACGGTATGTTGGAGTTTTCTTTAGTCAACGTGCATTAAAATTGCGGCAAAAAGCTGAAAATCTCAATGCGGAGGGCAAAAGCTTATGGGAGCACAATTTTCCCTCCATATATACATTTTTCCTGTATTGAGATTTTCAGCTTTATGCTGAAATTTTAACGCACGTTGGCTTAAAAACTCCAACATACAATTTTAGTCGAGTTCATGAATATCTAAATTTTTTCAAAAACAGCACTTATGCGCCTTGTCCTCCAAGCCCCTCGCTTTCAGGGGCTGAATGTACAACCTGCGCTCTGTTACCATTACTTCAGACATTAAGGTGATTCGATGGACGCAATATTTTGTGTCAGAACGACATGCGATATATCGCATCGATTGGTTCCATTATTTCAACTACTCATCGTTTTTCTCGAATTTTGAGATGGCACTACCGTTGCCAGGCGACTAAAGAATTCACTTACCAATTTTGACGAACAAATCCAACGTAATAAAGGCGTGGTTTTTTTATAGGAAAAATATCGCTCTCGATACGGACATCGAAATTGCACTCAAATGCGATATTATTCCTCTAAAAAAAACACGCCTTTATTACGTTGGATTTATTTGTCAAAATTGGTAAGTGCATTCTTTTTTCTCCTGACAACGGAATTGCGATCTCAAAATTCGAGAAAAATGACGAGTAACTGAAAAAATTGAACTAATCGATGTGATATATCGCATGCCGCTCTGACACAAAATAAGGCGTCCGCCGAATCACCTTGACATTATTATGTTCTCCCTTAAAATGAAAAAAATCGCGAATGGATACGGGTGCGATCACTGTTTTTCTCGAGCGTATGCATCTTTTAAGTGTATTATTCAATTAATGGAGATGTTGCATGTGTGAGGAATTTGCGATTTGACTGTTGATACTTAGGTAGAAGTTCGCGCGAAACACGATGGTGGCACTGGTTTTCTCTGAAATCAACTCCCAAGCTCAAAAAAAGCTCTCAAGTTGAGGCCAAAATGGAGGGGATATCCCATGCTATTCTGAGAGTCCACCTCTACATCAAAACAAACTCTCCATGCAAAGATAGGGAGCAATAAATCAGCAGGGTTGCCGTGTTTTCAGTTTTAGAGTCCCCAAATAAAGTGGCAACCCTGCTACTGTATTTGCTCCCTATCTTTGCATGGAGAGTTTGTTTTGATGTAGAGGTGGACTTTCAGGATAGCGTGGGATATCCCCTCCAATTCGGTCTCAACTTGAGAGCTTTTTTTGAGCTTGGGAGTTAATTTCAGAGAAAACCAGTGTCACCATCGTGTTTCTCCCGAACTTTAACGTAAGAATCAACAGTCAAATCGCAAATTCCTCACACATGCAGCATCTCCAGTGCTGCACTGAAAAAAATGAGTTAGCGTCAGATGACTAAAAATGGTTTCTATACACTAACTCAAATTGTGTGATTTGGACACACATGATTTTTGGTTTCTGTACACTAACCACTATTAGTGCTGGAAACTAATTCCGCTACTCTAATTCGCATTCGGTAGGGTTGGGTCAACCTAACCTCAAAACTGAGAGAGGAGAAAACGGCTTAGCGAATGATAACTGGACAATACTTTCAGGAAAAGAAGATTTCTTAAAAGATGAGAGGTAAAAATCAACTGACCGGTTCCAAATGAACGACAGAGGAAAGGAATATCCCATAGGTATGTGCAAGTAGACAGAATTATCCTTTAGAGAGACACACACTCACACATGAAACGGTAGCGAATGTTCACACTGAATAAACATATCTCGTCCGAACACTTGAGATATTCTTTTGAAATTACGGGAGAACACGAACTATAGAAGTAAGCAGTAAGTTCACAGATTTTCGTAAAATATAAACTGAACGCGGAACGCTTTAATCGCAATTTAATACAGAAGATTGACGACTCCAACGAATATCATGCTTGTTTACGTTTTGAATCGAACAGACGATTTCTAACCTTAACAGGTTTATTTATGTTGCTTTCGAACGTTTTCAAGAAAGAGAGGACACTATAAATCATACCGGGAGTATTTACATTGTCAAACGAGCCCGAAATTTCACATTTTAATTGATTTTCACGAGCTGACGCGATTGAGGCTGTTGTACCGACGCCACTTTTTCGAAACTAAATAAATGTAACGGACAATGTGGCAGTTAGTGTTGAGGGCGAATTAGTTTGACCCGAAGGTGAATTTGTCTTACCACAGCGCTAATTTTACAGCTAGTGCTGTTTTCCAATTCTGGTTCGCGCTCTAGTAAAGTCAAGTCAGCGTATGAAGCGAATTGATTGGTGCTTCAGTACAATAAATTAGTTCTGAAGCCTAATTTTGATTCTACTTGGCGAGAACCAACCAAATTAGTTCTCAACGCTAACTACTTTTTTTTCAGTGTGAGTTTGTTTTTTGGAGAGCATCTCGATTCGGTAGAGTCGCCTTACAAAGCTGTGTGACGGGTGCGTCCAAATAGTTTACGGAAATGGGCGTCACGCCCGAGAAAGACACTAACTGAGTAACGGCACCCATACTCTTTCGCGAAAGCCGTGAGCGGCTCTCAGATTTCGCCCGCAAACTAGAGCGTATGCAACCCGGCCAACCGCGGAGTTCAAATAGTTGCATGTGAGGTTCGAACCCAACTTCGAATATTCTTCTATTGTTTCATTACTGATATGCCAAGTTCATCTTTCGAAAACGCATCTTCGTTGGTCTACATCGGGTTATTTTGCTTATAATATTTTATTTCCATTAACTGAGGAGCCGAGAGGGTGTTGCAAGGGCTATTCTCGGCTGATCCCGATTTTTAACGGGGTAATGGAAAATGAATAAATTAATTCTTTGAGGGAGAAAAAGACTGGAACAATACTTAAACTGCTTCACTTGCATAAGACGAGAGCCTAAAATAACACTTCCCTATTGGAAAATGTAGCGATTGTTCAATCTTCTTCTCATCATGCTTTCAATTTTTTTGCTGAAATGTGTATAATCATGGCTTGCATTCACACAGATCTCCGGAAATTGGGGGCGCGGAGCCCCTTAGTAATTAATGTAATTTAATTAATGTCATTTTTTTAAATGTAAAATTGGTGATGCTATGACACCACAACCAGGCCTGAGCGCCGAGTTCAAACGTTTTCTAGAGGCTAGTCTCATTATTATAATTTTCATTTTAGCCACAGACCTATGAAATTCCCATGTTCTCACAAAAACAGACAAAACAGCCTACCTCTGGGAGGCTATTTTTAATTTCGCGAAATTTGCTAAATTTCCAAACACGAAAGTTATAGCGCGCAAAAATTGTCGTTTTTTCCGATAAAATAGCGGTAAATCCCCATTATCCCGTGAGAGAGCGGTAACTCCTACTATTTAGTGCAAATCGGCACCAGTTTCTGTTGATTTCAACACCAGCCGTGGTGTTTTAAGAAAGCTGTATTTTCCCGTTGACGTAAGATGTAAAATACATTATTCGAGTTCGGAGGGACCTTAAAACTTCACTGATCTGTATGATTCCATGATTAAAACGCGACTCGATTCCTCTCGGAACTAACTCATTATAACTAGGTCGTGAGTGATACTACACACTGCCGTGCTAAGGAAGAACGCCGTATGAACATTCGAGAGTTGCCAAATTTCCTTTGATAAATTTTTTATGTATGAGGAAAGTTATGAATATTTTTCCTTGAAATTTTCAGGAACTTTATATCAAAATACAAAAAATATTCCCTGAAAAATTGGAAGAAAAATATTCATAACTTTACCAGGAAATTCGTATTTTATCGAAGAAAATTTGGCAACGCCTAATGGCTCATACGGCGTTTTTCCTTAGCGTGGCACTACAGGACTCGGTTCAAAATTAATTATATTTCCAGCGCGTAGGTTTCGACTGTCATCATTTCATCAAGCGCAATTTCATTTTTTGTTTCAGAGGAGCAGCTTCGCTTGTTGGAGACAGTCGGGTTCAGCCACGATGGATGCACCAACTACCTGTCGCAGGAACTCATCAAGGGTGATGAGATCAAAGCGGACTGGCAGCATCGTAATAATCTCATTCATTTGCCCGCTTTTAATCTAGTTCCTATTGTTCACCTCAGCAAAAGCTAAGCTGCCGTAACCATGAATTAAAACGGCTTGATAGTAATTAATTAAATACTTGACGTTCGTCCGGGCATTTTTAACGGGTTGAATCGTGAGGTTGGATAAAACTTTTAGATGCACTACACTGAAAAAACATTCTCGGTGTTTTTACCAAGGTCCGTCGGTACCTTTACCATCTCACTTCTTTACCAATTATTGGTAATTTTACCAAGACAGACTGGTAAGCTTACCTAAAAACCGGTATTTTTACTGTTTTTTTTCAGGTAAGAATACCACTTTTATTGGTAATCAATTCCCGGTAACTTTGCCATTTTATCTCAGTAATTCTACCACAGTTGATAAAAAATATTGGCGTTTTTACCAAGGTCCAGTAAAATTACCGAGAAAGTTCAATAATTTTACCGAGATTTCTCGGTAAAGTTACCAATTCCATAAATGGTAATTTTACCAAGAAAAAACTGGGATCAAATAAAACCCTGGATTCTTGGTAATTTTACCCTTTTCTTAGTTAATACACCGAGATTTTTTTTTCAGTGTACATTTTGCCAATAGGAACTACACGCATTGAGGCTCAGTTTAGAATTAATTTGAGTTCCATTAGCTCCCCTACGGACAGTAGTGTTCTTACGGCTGAGCCAGATGTTGTACGTCCTGATTGCAAAATTTAGTCCGAATTGCGTCCACTGAAATCCCTTGACACAGCGTAAAAATCGCACATCAATGGACAAATGCAGCAATGAACAGTGTAATTTCTGAAATGCCCGAGAAATTTCACAACTTGGGTATCAAAAAAAGTTCTGGGAAAGTATTTTTTCCAAAAAAAAACCCCTCAAATCGTTCGCCAAGTTTCACAATTGCCTACAAACTACTATCCTCGGCCATGGCCATATGAACTTTCAAAAAAAAAACCTCAGAACCGTACGAAAATTAACACGACCAGGATGACAAGTCTCCTTAGATTTCCCTGCACTGGAAAACAATGAATCTTGAATTTGCCGCCAAGAAGTATTTCTTCTTAAATCAAGAATTTTGCTGGTTAATATAAGCTACTTTTTTGCTTAACCCAAGCATTATTTTTCTTGAATCAAGAAAAATTCAGCTTAAAGCAAGATATAGAAAATTCTTGGCGGCAAATTCAAGAATTACCATGCTTGATCCAAGCTACTTTTTTTTTTCAGTGTGACTTTCTGAATAATTTCCAGACTTTGCAGTGTTTCACTTCCGCGTGATTTCTTTTAAAAAGTATTTTCGTGGATTATTTTATACATTGTCACTTTCGATGAAAAGGATTGCGATGATTTGACAACAGCAGAGAAAATTTTAAGGTTTCGCGCCACAATCCTCTGAATTTTCCAAGGCTTTTCGGGGTTGGAAAAGCTTCTCTTACTTTTCAGGGGCTAACTCCCCTACCAGAACCGTCCATAAATGATCAAAATTCCCAACCTTGAACGCTATATTACATGCCTCCCAAGCTTCCTGCCGCTCAGTGGATCGTGTCATAAGGAAAGGCCGGGCAAAATTTGGAAACTTTAAACGCTTATAACTCCGATTATACAAAGTTTTGAGGTTCTAAAAGTGGTCCCGGTGGTTTTCTCGTGAAATTTTCAACTGGTAACATCCCGTGAAATTTAAAATAAGACGAAATAAACCTCAAAATTTGCAGTTTTAGTGAAAAAGTTCATGTCCGACCTCTCTAATTGACTCGATCCACTATGCACCGGTAGATAGATACACCTTCCTTCCTCCTTCCGTTCTTCTATCATCAAAAGCCTGTTTGAATCATTGATGAAACCTCGCCTTATTGTTCCATTTCATCCTCCGTGAATGAGACATCGCCACAAAATAAAATGAAACTACTCCAAGACACCGCGCTCCCTCAAAATACTTTTCGCTCGAAGTGTGCTTTATTGACCCCTGTCACGGAATTATATTTTCTTTCCCGAGTTTTTTACGACTTCTAGGACGCGATCGGCCGTTTCCGATCGCTCATCGACCAGAAATAAAAGCGCGTCCTCATAAAAAGAAAGGGCATTAAATTACAAATTTCATTTATTTCGTCATTTTCATAACTATCGGACCGCCCGATTGATCGGGCAGTTCGCTAAAAGTCTACGTCCGCTGTGTTCTCTTCAAAGTGTTAAGGTTAAAGATTTCAATCCTTTGAGGATTTTGCAACCTTGAAGTGGGCGATGTTCAGCGGAAGAAAACAGGGTTCCGGAGCGTTCTGGATTTTTTCTTGCCCATCAAAACCTAATTTTTGGCAAAAAAATATACGTGTAGAATGCGAAACGCGGTCTTTAGGTTAGCTTCGGATGAACCATTAAACCAATGAGCCTGTAGCAAACTTCATCTGGAGCAATAAGAAGAGATGTTTCTTACAGCTCTTATTGGTCCTGTTCTCCTAATTTAAGGTTAATTTCGGAGCTAGACCCTGTTTTTGGCGCGATGACAATTAGCGAATTATTTTTTAAACATGAAATTTATCAAACGATAACGATTTTGCGGCGAGCAATGGGCCTGTTAGAAACTTCAGCTGCAGCAAAATGATGAGCAGTTTCTTGTAGAAATGGCTCAAAAATCATGATGAGCGCATCGGAAAAGTCTGAAATACACTCTTAAATTCACAGACTGCGTAAAAAATATTCGCTTTTTATAGCTGCCCGCTTCAAAATCGATATTACGGTACATTTAAACATTTCGAAGGAGGAGTCGTTCCATCCAACCCTTGCGCACTAAGATGCTACACAATATTCAACATAGCTGATGCTTCCACACGCTAATCGTCAGGAAGCACTGTGGTCTTTATCAAAGCAAGGAAAATGTTTTTGGTAAACATAAACACGCCGGTTGATGAAATCCAGTCTCAACACTTAAGTTTTGGTGGAATGGCGTCGGCCATGTTGAATAATGCGTAGCATTCTAATGCACAAGGGTTGGATGGAACGACTCCTCTTACGAGATGTTTACCTGCGTCATGGTATCGTTTTAGAAGCGAGAGGCTTAAAAAACGGCATATATCTTACGCAGGCTGTGAAGTTGGGAGTGTATTCCACAGACTTTTCTCATGCGTTCATCGTAATTTTGGAGCTATTTCCTATAACACTAGAAAAAAAACCACCTTGGATCTAGAGTCCAGACTCTTGAAAACATTGACAAGAGAAAATACTCTAGATTCAATCAGATTTTTGCTTAAATCAAAAGGAAATCCGCTCAAATGAAGAGGCTTGGTTCTTGATATAAGCAAAAATCTGATTGAATCAAGAGTATTTGGACTGCATTTTGCAATATGGAGCTAATTCTGGCGCATCTGAAAAAACACTTATGTGCATGGGGGGAACTAATGGCACAAACGTTGTTTTTAAACCGGGCCGGAATTTATAGTTCCTAATTGCAAAATATAGTCCATTTGTTCGTGTCGATGTTTTTAAGAGTCTAGACTCTAGATCCAATGTGTTTTTTTTTTCAGTGAAGGTAAATCTCTCTTTTTGCTCTAGCTGATGTTTGAGACGGGCTCGCAGAACTGGTGCGCCGAAAGCCAAAACGCTAACACGCAGTTCACGATGAAGATCGTGTCCGGTTCCGAGAGAAACCCGACATCGCGCCAGGAAACTGCGAAACTGCTCGTGCCATTCCGCAGGGAAATGAATACGGGATGGACCGCAACGCGTGAATTTTCACCCGCCCTTCCGCGATCTACCCTCTGGCTGTTTTCATTGCGAAATTCTTCCGCGTACCCCCGGTCAGATCAAAAACGTGCTCAGGTTGAGTACGAGTGGCATAAGCGTCCAACAAAAAGGAACTAAGTTGTATCTAGAGGATAGTTACAGAAACTGAGGGACGCAGTGTCTGTCAAAGTGTCTGCAGAAACTGACTTTTCCGGGTTTTTACATTCGTGAAAATACATAGACCATATTGAGAAAATACGGGATGAAAAGTAATGACTTAGGGGTTTTCGATTCATTTCAGTTTTGCGACACGGAAAAAAGTGTGAGGGGGTATCGGTATCCTCTACCGCGTCATTACCATACTTTTTTGGATGATATGAACATTTCCAATTAGTTGTGATAGTACCGTAACATTAGGGTCAGTAACCTACTTTAGTGGGGTGCTACCAGAATTAGCCGGGTTGCAACCGCAGTTAATTGGAAATGTCCATATCATCCAACTACTCCGTACATCTTTTTCCTCCGTCGGCGCAACACGTGAGAGTCCGCCACTTCCGTGAACGTTTCCTTGGCTTTAAGATAATTTTATTCTTCCCCTCATAATTTCCCAATTTTCCCAGATGCTCTATGGCCTCCCGATTTTACAGAATCTTTCAAGCTTCCACATTTCCACGCGCCTGCCGCCTTTCCACATATTTCTCATCGGCTTATTTATAAAATGTCCGACAAATTTCAAAAAGGATGACCTTTTTCTTCCGTTCCCCTTAAACTTTCGGCCGTTAATAATTTGCTCTCCTTTCTTTTCGGGGGCATAATCAGGTAGTTTCTGCAACTCTGTGGACACTGGACACTCCGATCCACAAACTTCGAGGGGTCAACAAATTCCCGGCTTTTCATCGACAGGCAAAATGACCTTAGTCGATAGAACTAAAAAAAGAGTCATCGCCCTGGTAAAAATTGGCAGTAGAATCTGTGTTCCGAAATACCATAGACCTACAGCCGGCTGTAAGATTTCCAATAGCTTCTATAGCCGGCTACACAATTTCTTATAGTCTTTTATAGCCGATGGCGATTAAGCAACAGCCAGGCGATAAAGTGTATGCTAAACGTTACTAATTACGAATGCTAGGACTTAGTGAGTTTTTGGACTACTGCTCTCTTTTTGAGCCGTAGTATCTTGATTTATTTTGCGAGGAAAGCTCCGTATTTCTGATGGATGCCTGCCATTCCTAATATAAAAGAGCGCCTTCAGTCTCGTATGATACTGTGCAATACCTCTGGCTGGTGTGGCCGTGGCACCCCGCGGCGCGGCAGGCGGGCAGCCAGCGCGAAACGCGCATTGGCGCCTACAAACATAACAGGGATACTTCACGCGTTGCGCGATGCGTGAAGTATCTCTGTTAGGTTTGTAGGCGCCAGTGCGTCGCCGCTCCGCTTCGTGCTAGGCTCTGCTATCTGGCGGAGTCAGCGTTATTCAACTCATGATTTTGAAATGTTTGCACATCCTGTATAGATTATTCTCATTTTAATTGATGAAAAAAATATGTATTAAAGGAAAATATGATGTGTGTTTTGTAAATATTAAGGTGGTTCCGTATCTAACTTAATGATTTCCGAAGCACACAAATTTCTACACAACTTCTTATAGCCTTTTATAATCGATGGCGAAAAAGCAACAGCCAGGCGATAAAGTGTAAAGCCCGGCGATGGGAACTATAGCCCGGCTGCATAATTTTGTATCGCTTCGTATAGCCCAGCCTAGCCCAGCCGTATGATTTTCTGTAGCTTTCTTTAGCCAGCTATAAGAATTCCTATGGTATTTTGAAACGCAGCTCTTATCGCCAATTTTTACCAGGGCGGTGATGGAGAGCAGAAAATTGTAGGTATTACCCATCGACATTTTGGGGGCGAACGACGCTCAAAAATCGTCGTTTCCCAAACGAAGAACCCGGTGTTGCCACAGACTTAGGAAAATGAAATTCCCTGATTTCCCTGACACATTTTGGTGAGATCCCCTGAGAATTGAAGATGTGACGGGTGGTTAAGAAGACATACTTGAAAATAGTTTTCAGGCATTTGTTGATCGAAACCTCAAACCCATTCTAGATAGCAGATGAAGGTGATTTAACAAATTTTCCCTGCAATTTTCGTCACTTTCCCTGACATTTCCCGGCTTTCCCTGACTTTTTGAATTCCCTGACATTTTCCGGTTTCCCCTGACTGTGGCAACCCCCAGGAACACTGGAAGAAAAAAAACACATTGGATCTAGAGTCCAGACTCTTGAAAACATTGACAAGAAAAAATACTCGGAAAAAAATCGGATTTTTGCTTGAATCAAAACGAAATCCGCTTAAATTAAGAAGCTGGGTTCTTGATTTAATCTAGATTCTGATTGAATCAAGAGTACTTTTTCTTGTCGATGTTTTTAAGAGTCTGGACTCTAATGTATTTTTTTCCAGTGAACGTAATCCCATTCCAAGGTTGCCAAATTTATTCAAAAAATTAGGGGATAACCCCTATCACTTTCTTCCGCGTTTTCACAGATCCGCGGTCACAAACTAACCTTCCTTCCTAATTTGCGTCCCGAGTCGCGTAAGAAAACGAACTCGTTCGAAGTCCGTGACGATACATACGCAGCTTTCGGCGAGCGACCCCGAACGGAGTCTGGCGTGACTCTCGACATTTTTACGTGCTACACGGAGAAAAAAAACTCGTGCGTGGGACCCGAAGTTTAGGTCATATGGATCTCTGAAGTTTTCAGATTGAGCATCTGAACACTTTAGGTCTAGCTGCCGAAGTTCGGATCATACGTCTGAAACTTCAGTTCTTACATCTGAAGTACTTCAGATGTGAGAACCGAAGTACTTCGGATGTGAGAACCGAAGTACTTCGGATATGAGAACCGAAGTACTTCAGATGTAAGAACTGAAGTTTCAGATGTATGATCCGAACTTCAGCAGCTAGACCTAAAGTGTTCAGCTGCTCAATCTGAAAACTTCAGAGATCCATATGACCTAAACTTCGGGTCCCACGCACGAGTTTTTTTTCTCCGTGTATAAAAGCTCTATTAAAGTTCCGCGGTAGTTGTGTGTGCGATGATAGTCCCCCTACCCCTTCCTTGGGGGGTGGATTATGATAAGGGGTAAGGAAAAAAGCTCACGACGGAAGTTGGAACCCCACTCCCCACCCCATCGACTATCGCATCGTCGCACGGTGGATCTATTCAATTAGAGAGGTCGAACATGAAATGTTTAACAAAAACTGCAAATGCTGTTTGATTCGTCACAGTTGGAATTTCAAGAGGTGCTTGAAGAAGAAAATTTCACGATAAAACAGGGTTGCCACAAAAATTTGGAAATGATTTTCCCTGACTTTTCCAGGTTTTCCCTGACGAAAAATGGAGAAATTCCCTGACCTCTGAGAACGCGCGCCATGATCGCACAGCCAAATTTACACCTTGCTAGCTACCACCGCACTAATATAGCGTCTCATTTGAAACACGCTTAAGCTAAGGAGTCAGAAATTAATTGTAGAACATTTGGCAAAACTTAACTGTTGAACGCATTGCGACATATGCCACTTCATCGCAATTTATATTGCGTTCAAAACGAAAAAAAGAAAGATTTAAAGCAATTCGTGAAAATTGTCAATTTTTCCCTGACTTTTGGCTGTTTTTGGTCAATCCTTGACTTTTCCAGGTTTTCCAGAGCACTTTTTTCCCCCTGACTTTTCCAGATTTTCCCTGAATTCCCTGACCGTGGCAACCCTGATAAAACCAATGAAACCACTATTAGAACTTCGAAGTTTTATTTAAAAGGAGTTATAAGCGTTTAAAGTTTCCACATTTTGTCCGACCTCTCCTATTGACTCGATCCGCTGTGCGTCGTGCCGCCGTTCTTCAGGTCAGGCGTCGCAGATATCGCTGCTCTCCCGCTTCCTCGGTTCTCTCTGTCTCTCTCACACACTTCTCGCTTCCGGAAGAAAAAAAGCGACAAATTTTCTTAAATTTCTAAAGTTCTGGTACTTTCAAGGTTGTCGTTCGTTCCGTCTCTCTTTCGCGCATATCCTCATTCCTCTGACACCCTGTTTTCGCAAAACGGAAAAGAAACAATGCGACAAGTTTTCGTAATTTCCAAAAATTCCTGACCTTCTAAGGTTGTCCTCGTCTTTCCTACTGTCTTGTGTTTTCTCGAGAACGCTCGGACTTTTCTTAAGTTCTCAGCCTCATTGATACCCCTGTTATTATTTTTATGAACGAGTGGCTAATCTGTAGAATGATCCATATATCGACAGTGAAACTGTTGGACCATGCACCTCGTTTGCGGTGTTTAAAAATCTCCGTTCCCATAATATTTTTCTGAAGGACGACAAATCAATATTATTTCTTGAAGGTTTCGCAGAATTGAGAATTTTCTTCGCACCGTGCAGAAAAATGACAGAAGCTCCCAAGAATTGGCGTTAAACAGTTTCCCGAGTAAAAAAAAGAAGTATAAAACAGGAAGTCTGCAAAGTTGCAAACAGAGATACGTAGTCTAGTAGTGTCACCGTCGCTACATTCAGTTCATCTTCTTTTTAGAAAATTTACCAAGAAAGTGCTAAATTGGAAGGTAGAAGGTAGAGAAAACTTACGTGTTTAAAGGCAGATGTTAGCGCGACTTCAGCGGATGAAACACGAGCCCTGCAACAAAAAGTTAATCGTTAAAATCTGGAACTCGTGTATGACGAGACGTAGCGTTTGTCTCCAATTCAATGGCTAGGCACAACAAATCCTACGGGACGAGACTGTTGTCGCCTCCAAAATCGACCAACGATTTGGAAGTTGTGAGATCTTCACTAAGCTTGGACTGCATGTAGTGATACAAATTTTTTTACTTCTTTTGAAGAAGGAGTCTGCTAGGGAAGGAATATAGGAACCTTTCGTGCCGAGAAACTCGGCATTTAGTTATGGGCGCCACGCAGCTCGGAGAAGAGATTCACTGACATTTTGGCATGAAAACGCCAGAAAATTTTAAACTTAACAGTGATTTCGAATGTTTTAAGTCTAAAATTCAATTCAAAGAAACGTAATTTAGAGAAAAATCTGTCAAACTTTTGGTCTGCCGTGTTTAGGGTACATTACTGTTGCGTTAGAGTGCAACTTCACGCTGCAATACACAAATTAAAAAAAAAAACCAACTCGTTATTATTTCTTGAAATTTTCACTTGGTTATTCTTAACACTGTCACGATTTTGTCGTGAAATTTTCAAGCTTCACTATTCGTCGGTGGTTTTTTTCCCATTCATTTACTTTTAACTTACCTACTATACTTTTATACTTTTACCTTAAACGGATGTTTTAAACCGCTATATTTAAGTTCTGTGTTCTTGGATTTCAGCCATCGGGCTCTCTGTATTTTCTACTGATCTTTGCTTAAATCAGCATGATTTTTCGGTTGGTTAATGTTCAAAAGGCAGGAACGTTTATTTTCATTTCTTCGCTTTCAATCTTTGCAGGGATGCAAAATCTATCCATCTCGTGCGCACTGGTCTGCCTGATCATTTTGGGATGCTCAGCCCTTGTGGGAGCCTTCGGCATCCTCAAACACCAAATTAGTGCGGTTCTAGTCACAGGAGTCATGTACTTGCTAGCAGGTAAGTTGTTCACGTTTTCAAAGATAAATGCTCATTTAGTGAGCAAAAAATTATCAAAATGGATGAGAAAATAACAAGATCATTTCAAAAAGTATTTCCAACAAACTAGCCTTTTTGCTAACTCGTTTCAAAAAATAAAAACTTGTTTTGTCGCACACGAATGAGCTTGACGAGGTAAACAAGAGACGAAATTAAACGTCGAGAGAAAAATCGATTCGTTATTTGAGGGGCCTGGAGGACACAGCGCATAAGTGCATGCAGCTTTGAAAAATAAGAGATGGTAACGATTTCAAGTAAAACTAGTCCCAATGCACATTCTGTGAAAAATTCGCTCCCAAATTCCAATTTAAAAGCATCAAACAGTCAGTTCGAACTTTCTTTCTGCCATAAAGATCCGTATAATTTCGGAACTTCTGGTACATCTGGCAGGTACTTGGCTCTGTCGCATCTCTGGACTACCGTGCTGTGGGAAAACGCCGTATGAACATTCGAGAGTTGCCAAACCTCCGATAAAATGTTTACTTCGGAGGGAAGTTACGCACACAGAAAAAAATAGATGGTGCTGACGACAAAACCTTCTGTTCAGCAGTTTCTTTGTTACACTTACAGAATTTTTCTGTTGTGAGAACAGAACTTCAGTCGTAGGAAGAGAACAGAAAAATTCTGTAAGTGTAACAAAGAAACTGCAGGAGCCCTGTGAACAGAAGGTTTAGTCGTCAGCACCATCTATTTATTTCTGAGCATATTTTTCCTCGAAATTTTTAGATACTTTATAATAGACTATGAACAATGCAGTTTGAAAAGTTGGAAGAAAGATACTCATAACTTTCCCGAAAAATTCGCAATTTATCAAAAGAAACTTGGCAACGTCTGAAGGCTTATACGGCGTTTTTCCTAGGCACGGCAGTAGAGGAACCCTAGCGATACTAATGCACGTTTCGTATTTCTGTTGCAGCAACGTTCGCGCTGTTCACGCTGACGATCATCCACTTCAAGCGAGAGCAGGTGAAGACGCGCTCCGAGTGTCTCTCGGGGGGCGGCGCGGGGGTGGGGCCGCCGGGGAGCCCGGGGGCGGCGGCCCTTCTGGGGGACGGCGTGGTGGCCGGCGCGGGGCCCGTCCTGGAGCCGGGCTACGCTCGCGTCTGGGCCGACCTCCACCGGGCCCGGCTCCTGAGCCACGGCTGGAGCCTGGACCTCGGCTGGGCCGGTCTCGCCCTCTGCGTCCTCACCTCGGTCCTCTGGATCCTCCTCTCCAAGATCATGCGATACAACCCCATCAACGCCACGTGAACCCAAAGTCCCTGACAAATAAACTCGTGAATAATACGTGAAACTGTAAACGCTAATTTGACTGCATTTTGCAATTTGGACCTATAAATTCTGGCTCATCTGAAAAAACACTTAAGTGTATAGGAAATTAATGGCACATACGTTGTTTTAAAACCGGGCCGGAATTTACAGCTCCTAATTGCAAAATGTAATCCAATTATAGGGTTGAGATGTGCTATAGGCGGATCCAGGGGAGGGCCGTAGGGGGTACACTGGGAAAAAGACAAAAAAAAAAAAAAAAAANAAAAAAAAAAAAAAAAAAAAAAAAAAAACACATTGGATCTAGAGTCCGGACTCTTAAAAACATCGCTAAGAAAAAATACTCTTGATTCAATCGGATTTTAGCTTAAATCAGGAACCAAGCCTCTTAATATGAGCGGATTTCCTTTTGATTTAAGCAAAAATCTGATTGAATCAAGAGTATTTTTTCTTGTCAATGTTTTCAAGAGTCTGGACTCTAGATCCAATGTGTTTTTTTTTCCAGTGTAGTGACATTTCTGACATCTCTGGAATTATAGTTTGATAAATATTTTTATTACAATAATAGCTCAAAATTACTCATAAAACAAGAAAATCTTTAAAGTTTTCTAAGAGAGGTCCCCCACCCCCTCCCAAGACCGAGGAACTCCCCTTCTGGAAGTGTGTACATCTGTGCCCCCCCCCCCTTCAAAAAAAAAAAAAAAAAAATTCCCAGTTCCGCTGATGGCTTCTTCTAGAGGTTGGCAGCCCTGTTTTTTCTTCGCTTGGATTCAATTTAAATAATCGATTCTTGCGAGAAAGCCTACTTCGATAAATGTATGTATACATTCATTGATTCACAAAAGATTAACGAAAATACGTATGTGTTTTCAAACGGGGAGAGACACCAGATCCTGCAAATGCCGCTTTAAGTATGTACAATTCGAAGTTTTTGCGTTGGATTTTAAACTTAAGCTACTTTTAAGCTTATTTTAGCTATTTTTAAGCTATTTATTTTGCTACTTCTCCTTTTGTAAATTATAATATAAGCTGTTAAACACACTTAGGGTTACGAAAGTGGAAAACTGAACAAATGTTATGCTGGGCTTAGCTGCGAATTTCAAGTGCTTGGCAATCATATTAATAAAGATGTTCGAGTTTCATTATGACTTTTCTTTTATTTTTCTACAATTGTCTGGGGACGGTGTACAGCGCCCGTCCTACCCACAAACGGGGGACCCACAGAGGCTCATCGATGGAATTACTGAATGTTGCTTTTCAAAGATCGTCGACCCGACGATTTTATAGGGTAATGTGCGCGTGAGACACAACACAGATTCGATCTTGAGATTTTTAACGAATTGTATACAAAAATGGCTGAAAAATTAAATAATTAGTGCCCGATTCAGAGCCCCAGTTTGAGCGTAAGACAGGCGCTTACACCTGGACCTTAAACCACCGGCAAGGGACCGGATTGAAGTCGGAGGAAGAATGCGAAAAATTCATCGGGGCAAAAAGTGGTCGCAATGGCAGCCTCACAATTCTCCCAGTCTTAGAAATATACTCACTTCGCAGAGAGGTCAAAAAGATGCCCTGAGCCGATAAATTTAAAAAATTAGCGCCTATTCTATTTATTTCATCTATATACTTGAGGAAAGAAGTGATTTCTTGTACAAGTGGTACCTGGAGAATGGAGATCTTCTCAGCCGATTCTCACTATTTATTTGGGGGGGGGGGGGATATCCCAAGATTTCGGCTGCAGAGAGTGATGGAGAATAATGACCCTCATTCGGTGCATGTATCGACGGTGAAACTGCGAAAATGCGTACCTCAATTGTTGAGTTTCAAAATCCTCGCTCCTTTTTTATTTTTTAAAAGGAGACATCTTGGCTTAAAATTTTTGCAGAATATTTTTCACGTGGAGAGGGAAAATCGCCAAAGTTCTCAAAGAATGAGGTATAGTAGTTCTTGATGTAGAAAATACAATAGGATGGGTAGTCTGCAACGCCACGAACTGAGATGCTTTTCTGCCATTTTACCATTCTACCGGGCTGAGGAAGCTGCGCCACTTGAGGCCTCAGACGTTGCCATATTCCCTTCAATAAAAAAACGGATTTAAGGGGAAACTTGCGAATATATTTCTTCAAATTTTAGGAAAATTTAGTTCGCAATTTAATCCACAAAATCTAAAAATTTTATAGGAAAACATGCATAACTTTTCTCAAAAGAGCATGTTTTATCCGCAGAAATTCGGCAACACTCGAATGTTCAAACGGCGTTCTTCCTTCGCGAGGTAGCATTGATTTGAGGTCTATTCTAAACTCTGAAGGAGGAAGATAGATGTTTTTCTTCTTCTTCTCACCTCTCCAGCACTGTTTCTTTTTTTAAAAAAAAAAAAAAAAAAAAGGTGACAAGAGAATGAATCAGCTGACAAACGAAAATGCACAGGCATGGGAAGGGGGGAGGGAAAGCAGATGCTTCAAAAAGATTGAAAATAAAAAAGAAACGAAACTCGATAGAAAGTTTACGGTTATTTTTAGCAACTTTCCACTTCGTGTGATAAATTCGAATATTTTTTAAAGTTTTCTCAGTGAACAATTTTCCTAGTTCCTCACCAGAAGCTGCCCTTCCTTCAAGGTATAGACTTAAAAAATTGTTAAGTAGCCAACTTTTGTTGGGCGGGCTAAAATATTTGTGGGATAATTATTTGTGTGTCCTCAGATCAGCAATAAAAATTACTTAATGAAACAACTAAATTATAATTACCAGACATAGTTATTTATTCCCTGACAGGGAGATGAGAGAAATGAAGAGGAATAAATAAGGAACCCTCTATTATGGCAGAAAGATGGGTTGGATTTACAGTGGCAGTCAAATGTAAAGAAGCGATAGGTGCCTATGAAGGTGTTATAGATGAGGTCAACTGTGGGAGACAAACATTGACCCTTTCTGATGTGATCAAGGATGGTAAGCCGTACAAGTCATACAAATTGATCATCAAAGCTCACGATATTGAAAATGTCATCATCATCAAAGAAGCAAAACAAATGATCCACTATGATGCAAGAAAGATTTTAAGCAAGCGCACGCAAAACTGTCCTGTAGACCAGTTCCCGATGAACAAATCGAAGCAGTCTTTCCCTGCTCCAAAGTATAACAAAATCAATTGCTTTGCTTTAAACAGAAATGACAGAACTTGCAAAAAACCATTTGTTGATCAAGATTTAGTGTGCTCCAACTCGCACACTGTTCCTGAGTTATCGAGCCAAGATTTTGATTTCCAAAAGAGTTTGGTATTGTTTGACAAGGAATCAAGTGAAAAGGATTTCATCAACAACCATTGTCCAGACATTATACGACAAGCAGAGAGATCTCAGATATACCACCCTAGAGGGAATTCAGACAAACGAGAAATTATTTTGAGTTCTACCAAAGCTGAGAAGTTCATAAGTCGTGACAACTTGATGGTTTCTAAAATGGCACCTTTACCCAGTCCTATCAGATACTCAAAGACCTCTTTGAATACTTTAAAAAGTGAAGATAACCAAAGTTCAAACCTTCGCCAAATACTGGTTAGCTCGCCTGGAGCAAAGGAGTACGTCACCAATGATGGTCTTATCATCCCCAGTATAACTTCAGACCTACGCCGACGGCTAATCGACATGGCTGAAGACCAAGGCCTGTCATTTGAACGGCAAAACGAGATGATAGGTCACGCTGCATGCGAGCTAGTGTTGCAACTTCTTGACAAATCACTCAAGTTCAATCTGTCCAACAGCCAATGGCAGCGAGTTGTCGTAATGTGTGGCTCTCACAGACAAGGAGCCATTGGAATAAACTGTGCCCGACAGTTAACTGCCCATGGTTTGAATGTGTTTGTCTACCTCATGGAACCATCAAAGTTTATTTCACAAGTTGCACATGAGCTGGCTCTGTATCGATTAACCAACAACAACACTATCCTCGATATTTCTGAGTTACCAACCACTGGTGTGGGGCTGATCGTTATTGCTTTGGCAGACGAACACACCGTTCAGCTTCCACCGCCCATCTCATTATGGATCCAGCAAAATCAGGCGATTCTACTGGCTCTGGATCCCCCGCCTGACGGAACACCTGGCTTAGTGGTTCACTACTCCATCCTACCGGCACTTCCCTTGACACACTCACCAAATAATGGACATCTGTTTCTAGCTAACATTAACATTCCCCAGCAGATCTTCACCAATGTCGGAATTTACTACAAATCTCCATTTGGAATGAAGTCAACGATTGCACTACATGATTACAGCCATAAATGCTGAACACAATGATCTTTTGCGAGTGATTGAAAAAAATCAGTTGTTAGGATCTTAAACCATTACTTTACTACCTATAATTTTTGCAGTTTGTTTTTACCAAGAACACGTCTATTCTAAAAAGTAGTATGTAAGTTTTAGCAGCTTCATGTTAAATTTTAAGTCTGAGATAGATGATGTAAAGTAGAGGATATTTTAGTGATAAGAAAAATGTGAGTTCAAGAAAGCACAAATGTGATGATTTTTTGATACAATTAATTAAAATATAAAAGGGAACAAGAGAAAAACTTATTTTTAAACTTAGTTTACATTTTTTTTTTCAAGCTCAATTAAAAGTGAAAGCATATTGCAGTTGACATGCATGTAATAAGTGTAACAGTCCAGATTGAGAAGACAGACTAAACCTTGAAATTTAAATGAATTTAAATATATACTGGTATACGGCTATAAATACGGTATACTGATCATACCCGATTACTCACAATGCATCAAGGATTTTGTGATGTGTTCGATAACAGTCAAATGGAATTTTAAAGAAATAGAATACCTGATTCAATCAGATAAGAAATAAATTCAAAATCTGAGTTTATATCATCAAAATCTGAAATCAATTGAAAAACAACTTAGATGCACACATTAGGGAACTAGTAAAAATTTTTTATCATTACACATGATATGATCATGTTATTAATAAGTGGATGAAATCACTAACGATTTCACACTGAAATTTTCTTAATAATTTCTTAGCCAGTTTAAATTTTGAACCGGCCAAGAGTCCATTCTTTTTCTATCTGAACCTAAAGTATGCAGGATACAGCTATGTCATGATGACACAATTGGGAGATTCATTTGTAAATCTGAAACACAAGAAATCAAGAGTTCGAAGATTCTTGGTAACTTTCTGTGATCGGACAACGTTACATTTCCATCACAAAAAATTGAAGGGAAGCAATTCAACAATTTTGGCCCTAGAAAAATTCAACTGAGAGGATGACTGGATTGGATAGGTAATTTATGAAAGATACTCAATTTTATATGGTTCCTAAGAATAAAAGTTTCAAGGTTGAATTCCTAATTGAATCACTTAGTTCCAGCCCCCTTTCACAAGGAATTGATATTTTACTTATAGCATAAGTATGGACTATTTCTCTGACTTGTGAGCGTGAGAGATGCGCCCTCAGAATGTTTGGTCAGTTAGGATCTGTTGCAATTAGAACAGAAATAGTTCTAGGACTGGGAACCGCTAGGATAAATGAGAAATATAAGTCATCTATGACATAAGATGAACAAGTCAAGCCTCAGTCCTGCTAAATGGCTATCGCTGTAATATTAAGCAGATGGAACTGTGCATCAGTCAGATGCAAGACCTTCCAAGCTTTACCTTAACAGCTCATAAACAAAGCTCCTTGAGCAGGAAAGTAAAAGGGCCGCTCTTCTCCATTAAAGTTGTGTTCAATCTGGGATTGTCAGCAGCAACGGCTCAAATTCTAGACTACATCAGAGAACTCAAACTTGACTCCTACTAGAGGCTCAAGTAGATTATGACAGCTTATCCACCTAACCAATACCACAGTGAGTAGACAGAGGCTCGAAAGGCTTGGAGAAGAGTTCAAGTATTGTATGAGTGATAAGCACAGGACTTGGAGCTACCAACAGTACCTCATCACTAGCACGGAGAGCCACTACAAGACGGAGGAAACCATTACTAAATCAACCTCTCCTCAGAGAGAATAATTCCATCGTTCACTGTGAGTACTCTCCAAGCTGTGACAGAATGACTTACTAAGGCACAAAATTAAACTTGGAACTCCGTAGAAAGAGACAAAACGGTGAAAGAGCGATGGATGAGACCATAAGATGGGGCTCAGTGAACAACCAAAGAGGACATGTCAAAAAAGTTCATGAAGTTTAGATGAAAGAAGAACATTGCAGGGAGGTAAAAGGGTTCCCTGGTAATCATCATACGAGTCGAGGAGATGAAATAAGGTGATAAAAAAGTGGTAATGGAGCGATTTCAGACGAACAATGCAAGTTGAGGTTAGACAGATGTGTACCCACACCAAACAAAGGAAGAAAATCTTACCGGGTGGAACAGAAGATCCTTCAAGTTTTAGAAATCAACCGGCTGCTAAAAGTCGGAGGAGGTCACTGAGTAACTTTCAAACGATGTTATGTCTTTTAAGAAATTTCTCGACGTAAAGTTCAGACTTTCAGACACCGGGTTTCAGAGAAAAAGAGCGAATGACAATGATTCACCGACGCACGCACACTCGCACACAACACGTTTTTCTTACGGACGAATCTGCGCTCTGCGCATGTCACGCGCCAAAATGAGAAATCACGCGCGAAATACAAAATGACGGGCTTGAAAACAGCGAGCGCTTCAGGGCCGAGCGGGCGGGAGGGGTCATACGGTCATATGAGGTGACGTATTTCTGTTACCAAATGAGCTGAAATTAAGCAAAGTATGATTTGTGTGCACAATTTTTTGCTATTAGAAATTTGAAAATAGTCATTTTTAGTATGATGAGTCTAACTGAACTGGAGGGAATGATCGTAGGAAAACAAAAAGGAGTTCGTTACCTACCTAACTATTTGATAGACCTCCCTGCTGTTTTTTAGTATGCGCAATGATGCTTGATGTAAATAAAGTTTTTCTCTTATTTTCTCCAAATTTTCGATGAGAACTCGTCATTCAATGACATTGAACGAAAAAATCTTGTTCCCTGCATGATATCCTAATTTTTTTCACGAGCNGGGGGGGGGGGGGGGGGGGGCAGAATCTCTGATGACAACAACTAGATTCTGCTAATTTTCTTCGCAATTCAGTGGGAAAACTACATTTTCACATTGAGCAAAAGCAATTTATTGATTGTTTTTATCTTTTGGCAATGCCATGGCAATGAGAAAACGAGCAATCAAATTTTTTTAACTGAATAGTCTCAGAGAAAAGAAAGCAGAAACTCCCCCTTTAAAGATCAATTTTTAAATGGATTATCTGATTTTTTTCGGGGATTTTTCGTCTAAGCCCCACGATTCATTTTGTATTTTTGGGGGTAATTATGAATTTTTTTTTTTTTTTTTGTTGTTGTTGAAATGTTCAGATATTTTAAGATAAAATTGCGAACTAAAATATTTGAAAAATTGGAAGGATAATATTCAGAAGTTTACCTAAAAAATTCGTACCTAGTATGCCAAAGTATATTTGGTGGCAACGTCAAATTATACTGTAACAATTTTATCATTTAACGTTGGTTGATTTCTTTGTATAAAAAGTAAAAGAGGTAGGGAGTATCGCTAAGGGTGCAAAGGTTTTGACCTTTGCAAAGAAGTAGTAAAACTGCTGTGCCTTGTAAAAGTGAATATTGCAGGGTAAAGAAATAATATCACAAGTTTTGCTGGAGGGCAAGAAATTATAATATTTTATTATAATATTTTTTAAAAAAATAAGAAAAAAACAATAGTGCAGCGCAAAACAGAGTTTTGAACAGAAATGAAACAAAGAAAGATGGTGGATTTGATCAAATTTAAATTTGTTTTAAAAATTCAGTTTTGGATAGTAAATTATTGTGCTTCATTGCAGAGCTTTGGAGAAGATCATGAATTAAAACAGAATTCGCCACAAAAGAGATAAATTTGAGTTATAGTAAAATCTCATTCATCTCACATGTGTTTTTCTTTGCTCAGCCTGGCTTCAAAACCAACAGGCTGGATAATCAAGGTTCTATCGTACTTGACATTCAAGTACAGCCCTCAACACTATACTATTGATCAATCTGGGATTCAAGATTTGCAGCATCAAAATGTTAACTAAAAATGTACAATTACAAATTAAAAGGAACTTTTACAACTTAATGTGATGAGATCAAATTCGTGCCTTACAGCAAATCCATGTTAATCTTAAAACACAACACATTTGCCCTATTTTGAGATGGTTTTCAGTTTTATTTGAACTATTTTCAAAGAATCAAGATGATTAATTTTTAGGTAAAGTATCTAAAACTACAGGCAAAATACAACATATCCACGATGAAACTTCCCAACCACGTATCTTGGTTTGCGACGTTGCAGACTTCCCATCATACTTTATTTTTCTAACGGAAACAACGTCACTACATGCTTAAAAACTTCCATGATTTTTCTTCTCTGTGCAAAAATTGTGAAAAGTACAATGTTCATTTGCTCTTCCTTGAAAAAAAAAAAATTGTAGTGGAGATTTTAAAATGCCACAAACAAGATACGTGGTTTGGGAGTTACACTATTGATGCATAAGCTCAGCTGTTCGACTTAGAGCCATTCAATTGGCCATCATATTTTAAGATCAACCTAACACTGAATCAGGCAGAAAAATTATTGAAAAAAACATACCTTTCTTTTATTTCGTATTTATTAATATTTTGTATGATGTTCCTCGTCAATTCTTATTCTATTCCTAATCGGAAGATGTCTTGTCTTTTTTTTAAACGTCTCAACTGACAGAGAATAATATTTGAATGAATCAAATAATTTGAATAGAAATTAAGTGCAGTGAATTGCATCTTTTACACCTCTTGGCGTTTGATAGTTGTTTTTCAATCGTGCTAAAAACTGAAAGTTAAAATGATTATGTAGAAGCAGTTCTTGTGATATTAGCAACTACAGATATGATTTCAACAGAATAGGGCATTTAACATCCAATTTCTTTGATTAGCAGCACTACTCGATAGAATTTTCTAAGTAAGTTCATAAAAGTTGCTGAATTTTGCCATCTACATGCAGGAGCAATGGATACTTATTACAATTTTTTAAAATTTCAGCTTCTATTACATTTTTTTTAAAGGCAACGAGCCACTCATTTTGCTGGAAATTTTTACAATACAGAGAAAATAATCACAGAAATTTTGAAGTTTATACAAGGTAGTTTTTCAATTTAAACGAGGCTTTTTTCTTTCTTTCTGAGGACGATGAGGCTTCCTCTACCTGCAAGGGAGGCAAGGAGGTAAAAAATATTACAACAAGTCTGACACATCAATAACTGAGGAAAAATATTTCTAAATTTAGATACAAATTTACTTTTCCTGTTAAGTTTTGCTATCAATTTTCTTTTTAAAATTTGTTTTTTGATGAATATATCACACTATTAAGACAAGTTACAAAATATCCGATGAAAATCTGTGAAAAAAGGGTTTCAAATCACACTTAAAACTACATATTAATATTATCATTAATTACTACACAAGGAAGCATTTTTCATTAGCACCTGCACCCCAAGGAAGTTGGTGGCAAGGATCAAGAATATAGCTCAAGCTGTCAGCTTTCGAACTTTTTGGATTGTGGATATTGTCAAATTTTTTTTTGAAATTCTTACCAGAATGATCTTTGAACAGACTGCGCTGAGAACCCAGTTTGAGCTTCTGAGAAGCATTTCCCGGATAAAATTTGAACCTTCATCGGAACTCATAAAGAGAGAATTAAGTCAGTGATAAAAAAATTGTACAGTCAAAGATGAAAAATTCATTTCATTTTCTATACAAAGACAGATATAAACAAGTTGTGGGGTTATACGCTTCCAAAAAAAGAATTCAAATTAAAATAATAAAAAGACAATCTCATTGCAATTCTATACTAAAGTCATGGGGTCAGTATACGAGAGTTAAACCAAACGGGCATGTAAAAAGAAGAAATAAAAAGAGTATCACAATTTAATGATCAAAATATTCTCACATTACGACTAACACTATTTGGATTATATTTTGCAATGAGGAGCCACTATCTCTGGCTCTTTCAATAAAGCACATGTCTGCATAGGGAAACCAATGGCATGTATGTTGTTTCTAAAGTGGGCCAGAAATAGTGGTTCCTAATTGCAAAATGTAATCCATGTATTGTATAAACCAAATTCTGGTGTGATAACACCGGAAATAACACTAGAGTAGAAATGCTAGTCAAGAAAAGAATTACCAGAAACAAAAAAACTTAACTTGAACATTAAAATACAAGTTTGACTGACCATTTCGATTTTTTCTGATGGTTCATGGAGGCCTTAAGGCGTCAGTGCATATGAAAGAGAGACTTGTTTAGATTCACATTCCTTCAAATTTGGGATCGATTTTTTGCAATTTAAAATTATAGCAGGCAAACTTGAACTTCCAATCTAGCTTCAGAATAATCTGATTTAGAAATCTGAACAACTTGGTTGGCTCTATCAAGGGTAAAACTCTTTGGTTATCACAATCTCATACAGGAAGAAAGTCAAGGTCTAAGAACAACTCTCGACTGTGTTTAAAATATGACTAGAATTAGAGGAATAAAGAATGTAATCCGAAGCTGGATGTAGGAAAAATTACTTCTCTTTCGGTTAAAATAAACCATAAATCACCAATTTATACATCAAAAATATTTGAAACATCAAGATATACATGAGATTAGAATACTGAAACTAAACTCATAATATGATTCTGTCTCATGGCAGTTGATTGACAATCAAAGAAAAGTAAATAATTTCTTGCCAGAAATCCTGAGATGTTATGTTTTTCCATTGATTCTGAATAATGATATAAGTGATCACTTAGTTAGCAAGGCTAGTTTCTTCTTCAAACTATTGTTTTCTGGTAAGGCCAGGACCCATTTACGTACACCAGTGAGCACTACACAGCTAGTCACCAAGATTGCCCCAGCTATGCTGTATCGGTTCGGCACTTCACTGAAAAATAAAACGTGCCAAATAAAGGCAAACACGATGTCTGCCGACCGTGCAATGGCGACAGGACCTGCTTCCTCAATCTGGAGTGCTAGTGTCAATAAAATCTGCCCGCTAAAACTCAACAATGCTAAGGCAACTATCAAATATCGATCGATGCCACACGGAGGTAAGCACAAAACTTTCAAGTGGTATGTTATTGCTAAAGTCAGTACTAACGCAAAGGCTCCAAAGTTGGTCATAATAACTGAGAAATGAAGCCCCTTTAAGGCACGGAGCAGAACATAAACATTAGCTCCGAATAGGGTTGCAGAAAAGGCTGCAATCGAACCCCAGACAGAGTCGTACTCATTCTCATCATTGGATGCCAACGACGGCACGGAGGCACCAAAAATATACATGGGCCGGGTTATGAGGATTAAGCCTACCAAAGTTATCATAGTTGTAATCAGGTTGAACAGACCAAACGGTTCTTTCAGAAATATTCTGGCAAAAATTGCAACGAATACTGGAACGCTAAACACTATAACTGAGGCGTCAGCTAGTGGCATATGGCGAAATGCATAAAAGCTAAGCATAAGGCCCATTGATCCAAGGAACGACCGCAAGAGCAGCATGGTTCTCTTACCTTCCGGAAAAGGAGATTCATTACGGTATATTAAGATAGGAATGGTAGGCAGAAGGACACCAACAAAGCGACAGGTTGCTAGCTCGATAGGATGAATATTCACCATCCATTTTACTATCACAGAACAAAGTGAGAAGAAAAGAGAGGATGTTGCCGCCAGAATAACGCCAAGATATGGACACTTCAGGTAGATTGGTAGCCCTGAAAATTTTGGGATCCGTACTTCTTCTTCCTTGTCATCATCTTCATCGACCAGATGCTGCATTTCTAGCCGTTCCTCTTGTTTTGAAAATTTTACGACTCGTCCGCTTCTGAAATCACACAATAGATCATTACTATTCCATAACATAGGGGCCTAACTCGGGGACAGTGACTTTCTTAGATCAGTTAACTACCAGAAGGCCTTTATACCAAAAATTCCCTTTGGAGAAAACTGCGCAATCTAAAAGACAGTGCGATGCTATCAGTCCCTTTTGGCAAAATGCAGTCATGTGGTATGAGAATGCTTCATTAGGGAGAGAAAGTAGAATGTGCAGAAATCTTTTGCATCATAGAATTGTAATGCTTAGCACGCTTATTTAACTTTGAACTCAATAATTCTCATAATGTAAGGAGTTATGATGAGGAAAAACAACCAGCTTCCGTGATAAAATTTGTTATCTATGGCCTTTATTACTGAAAGAGACCTCATTTATGGGATGAACAAGGTGGAGAAATAGGGCTGGGTCCACACTATTTCACGGGGAAATCAAAGCCAAGAAGTTCCAAAAATTAAATTAGTGTCAAAAATAAATTTTTTTAAACCCTAATGAGTACCAGTACAAAACTGAGGGGGGAGGGGGGGGGGAGTGTTCACCTCAGGCAGTTTGTATTGGAATATTAAGTTGAAGTCACAGCGAGAGATCTATACCGGTTTGGGTCTTTTTAGACCTCATCAGTAGATCACACTCATCAGTGAACTCAACTTAACATGCCACAAAATCCAAGACAGCATTAAAATGCCATCATGGATGCCGCCTTGCCGCCGTTTTAATGCTGTCTTGAATTTTGCGGCGTGTTAAGTTGGATTCAAGGACGAGTGTGATCTACTGATGAGGTCTAAAAAGACCCAAAACCAGTAAAAATCTCTCGCTGTGACTCCAACTTAATATTCCAATGCAAACTACCTGAGCTGCATACTTCCCCCCCCCCTCCCAGGGTTGTACTGGTACTCATTAGAGTTTGAAAAATGTATTTTTGACTCTAAATATAAGTTTTGGAACTTCTTGGCTTTGATTTTCCCGCAAAATGGTGTGGATACGGCACCATTTCTCCACCTTGTTACATACAGTATTTGGGCCACTTAGTGTTTAGTCCCCTCATTTATGGGATGATTAACCCCATTACTGAGGTCAGATATGTTTGAGGTGGACTCAGGGTATATAAAAGTTCCTAGAATCCATGTTCAGAAAAAAATAATTTCATAAAGATACTTACATTGCTTCCATTGACTAACTTGAGGAAAGAATAGATACAAGCGCAAACGGGAGAATCGCCCTCTTTAAAAGTTCCTTTACACTTGAACGGACCGACCTTCAATTCGCCTCGAATCATAGGTATCTTTATTCTTGATTGACGTTTATTTCGGGTATTCAGATATAAGAAGTTAAACTTGACATTATTGAGAGGGAGAAAATTGTGATAAGGGATTTGTGAGATTGAGATAAGGAGCGCACATAACCTCAAAAGAGGATAATGGTTTGATAAAAAGTCAAAACAAAAAACAGCGCACTCTGTGCTCAAAGCAGTGTACAAAACCTGCGGGAGCGCGAAGCGCTGCGCTGATAACACATTCAAATATTGATTATCAGTGCATCCTGTGCGCAAAAGTTCAGTAATGGTGTTACAGGAATAATATTCCGTTTATTTTTCCAGAAAACAGAAAGATTCCATCAGAGTTCATTTCCTTGTTCTATTTCCAAAGACTATGACCTCAAGCTCGCCAGACCATCAAAAACTTGGATGAACTTTTTTTCCCTGCACTATCCAACATCACAATTGACTTTAACTGAAAATTTTCTTCGCACCACAATTTAATTTCTATTCAAATAAAGAGCAGAAAATATGTTCATCTGGGCAGGACAATCACTTATGAACTGCTGAATTTTAAAATTTCGGGAATGAATTATAAGAGAAATAATGGCAAATCCGGTAAGAAAAATTATGGCAATTTTGTTTCGCACCTTAGCAGATGAAATATTTGTGCACTCAGTTGTTGTAGCATCGTTATTCTGCCAATTGATGTTTGATTATACCATTCTGTCCTCTATGAAAACATATCAACAGCGTACTTTCGTAAACATGTATCTTGTTCGCAGTGTTTGAAAATCTCCGCCTCTATATTATTTTTTTGAAGGAGAATAAATCGACATCATTACTTAACATTTTTTGCAGAATATTCTTGGTACTGAGAAGAAAAATCACAGTGGTTTTAAAGAATAGCCGTTGAGTAGTTTTTCATTAAAAAAGTAAAGTATGACAGGAAGTCTTTGACGCCGTAAACCGAGATACGTGGTAGCGGACTTACACCGTCAATATGTACTAGAGCTTATTCACAGATTTTTCTAAAGAACACAGCAATGTTTTTATGGTTATTTATTTATAGTAGTTTGATCCAAATAGTTAGTGTTTCCTAGGGGGAGGGTGGAATTTGACTAGGAAGATTAAATAAACACCAACCTCAATTGTTGATGAAATTCTATGCTTTTTTTCCAGTGTTTGAGAGCGTGTTCTCGACCGATTTTTTGCCAAAAATCAGGGAGGAAGGTATCGCACAAGAAATACCAACTCACGACAATATTCAGCGGTTTTTTTTTCATTGTTGGTGTGATCCTCTTGTTTGAATGTGAGGTAAGATGTGGATACAATTGCACGCTTTATTTTCCAGTTGTTAGGAGAAGGGTCATATTCACAAATAGAACCATTTTGAATATTGGAATTATTGTAGACCTATCCTCCCAAAGTGTCACCCATCCGCAACGCAAGTCAGAAATCCTCTCTTGCAAAGCTATGTCACACTTTAGCCTTATACCCCCACTCAGTTTTGATACGTTAAAAACTGGCAATTTTTGTCAATTTAATCACCAAAATCTTTAGAAGTGTTTCAAAAATACTTCATCGGTGCTTCCCAAAAATTTTTACCTGATATGTTTCAGAATATTGGAACCCCTACCTTCCTCAAAGGCATTATATTATTAATGGATCAGAGGATAAAAAAGTAACAAATAAATTTGTACGGTAAATTGGCACTATACCAAATCAACTCCTGCTGATCGAAATGCAATCTTTCGGCCACCATGAGGTTTAATTCCTTTGTTAATATTATTAAATGATTCCTGATCAATTGTTAGTTTTTTTTTCCACAGTGGGAGGCAGGGGATGTGAACACAAGAGCTGATCAACTTCTGAAGTCAATTGTTTCCCTTCCATCTCCAAGAGTTTACCCAGAGAATGAGGGTCTCCTCGTGCATGTGACCGGGATTGTTGATGTTGACGAACCTCTAACAGAAGTTGAGTACAGTGTCTCTGTGCCAGCCGTTAAGTTGAAACGACGGGTCCAGATGTATCAGTGGGTTGAAGAAAAGGATTCAATGTAAGTTTTAAAATTCGCATCTGATAGGTGATAAGACAAGGAGCCATCCCGAGACTATGCATAATACAACTTCACTAAATGGGGTGGATGGGGCTTTCCTCTAGCATTAGATACAATATATGTTACAGGAATACGGGAAAGTATGGACCGAAGCATTAGGTAATGGTTAGGAAGGAACTTGGTCGAAAGAATTCTCAAAGCTTTTCAGAAGCTTTTTTTCAGAGTGAATGAATAAATCTCAATCAGGTATTGTTACTTTATTAGCCACATTACTTTTGGGTAAATTAAACGTAATTTGTTCTAAATTTTTGCAATAGTGAGTGCAGGATTGAATCGGTCGTTCATAATTTTTAGAAGAGTCCGGAATTGAGCAATGGAATGTTTCAGAAGGAGTTAAAGGGGAGCCAAAAAAATTGCAAATTGAGCTTTTCATAATTAATTTAGGTATGATTAATAATTTAGAAGCTTAGGTTCCATGATGAATTTGAGAATTTCAAGATTATAACGTATAGACCGGCAATTAAATGAAGAGTAGCAAACAAATTTTCAACTCCAAGTAAGACAAGAATGCTATCTTATGAGTATCTACTGTTCAACGAGCAACAGAGAAGAAGGTGTGTCACATTTGGACTTGCCCTGACTGTGTCAGCTTTTGATTTACATCCATGAAAGAACTCATGTCTAGGTCGTTTGTAATTATTTTAACAAATACTGAAAGAAAAAATTTGTTTTAAAAAATTTAACAGGGGCTTGTGTCAAAAGGCCTCTCAGAAAGTTAAGAGCTTGTACAATTTTGACAACGCCTGATGTGTCTTACTGCCACCTTTCCCTGTAGTCCTCATTAGTTTTTAACCAATAGAAAATATGGGTACATAATTGAACATACATATAGCACTATTCAGGTTATATTTTTTTTTTATTTTATAACAGCTGAGATCATTCAAGAACCTAATTATCATAATGTTTTTGGAATATAATGGATATCAATATCACCCATAACTCGCTGGTATCACTAAAAACGATGAAACATGTAAGGATCTAGAGTGCTGAGAATATGTCAGATACGTACAGAACTATAAAAATTAAGTGATGACTATTTATTAACTTTTTCATAAATGATGTAGAGTGAGAGAAAACTCACTTTGTTGTGATGAATAAAAATATTGTAATAGCAGTAAGATTGCAAAGCTTTCACTTGTGAATTTTAGGCCTTGAATTTATTACTAATCAATTATTTTTGTTTCAGATCACGTGTGAATGAGCTGAGTTTATCTCGGGAATACTTCACCGAATGGCGTGATAAAATAGTTAACAGTACAAAGTTTATAGAGCCTTACGGACATGAAAATCCTAAGTAAGTTGATGATGCAGTTAAAACAAAGACATTCCAAAAAATTAAAACAGGAGATAAGCTTTTGCAACACCACAATGTTGATCTGGCTGTTTTGCTTACCTCTGATTGTCAGGACTGAATTAAATACTAGTTATACCACTTTTAAAACAAAAATTTCTCTGGGCACCAAGGTTTCAAGGGTCTCCAAGGTCTTGTTAGTGGACAGTCAAATATTTAGAAAAATTTAACTTTGATCAGCCTGACTACGTTTCACATGACCTAATTTCTTCTCAAGTTACACTTTTTCAACAGAGAACCGAACAACACAGCACATAGAAACTTTCTGTTAATTATCCGTACATTACAAAGAATATGTGCTCCCAGAAATTAAGTCAGAATATTGACAAGTTTTTTGTTGAAAAATGAAGTAAGATAGGATATTAGGAAAAATCTAAAGTTGTTGGACTGATTTTGGTATATGTATTTAGTCTTTGAACAAGAACTAGAAACAACTAAGAAATGTGGCCTGAACAGTATGTAACAAGGTGGTAAAAGGTGGTTATTCTTTGATGAGGCTTTTGGTGAAGAATAAAGTGATTTCACTGATCGGTCCCCTTTGCAGTGAGAGTGATATTTTCTGTAACAGATCATTCAAACTCATGTGTCATGCAACTTGCGATTGAGACCAAGTTCAGGATTAATAAAAAACTCCAAACGTCAGTGGTGACATTGTAATCTTACTTTAATGTTTACCAAACAGGTCCATACCATTAAATACAACAATTTATGTGAGCGATATCGTTTCTCTCGGAGAATTCACTCTCAGTTCAGAGCTGAAGGATATGTTTTCAAATTGGGTTCAAATTACTGGTGATCAGCGGCCAGAGCGAAATGATGTAAAGCTTCATGCAGGGCTCTATTATCACTCAATGGATGTTTGGGAACCAGAAGTCGGGGATATTCGATTACAGTTCTCTTATGCTGGGTTGGCAGGAGATTTGGTGAGCATGTTTTTAATACCGTTACTCAACTCCTAAATCATATGAGAGTCTATGACTCAAAATAGCTCAAATTCAAGATGTACATCTATGATGAAAAAACAAGAGAATCGACAGTTTCAGTAACATGCCCTTTGCTCCGCAGCATCTATGAGATGTTGCAAGCTTTCAGGGCGTATACGGATTTTTATTTTTGGATTTGTCTGATGTTTGACATTTCCTGATTTTTGGCACTCATTTGATTTTACAAATCAACTTATTTGTTGAATTGAATCAAATGTTTCACTGTTGTATGTGCTATACTGTGTGTAGTTGAAAAATGCTTGATAAACTCGGAATTTCCGAATCCACGACCGATCTATTTGATATTTTCCTGATGACATCAAATTTCCTGATATTTTCTGGTTTTAACCGACAGTCAATCATGTTGACATACTTTTTTCGGTGAAGAAAATTTTGATACTGCTTTCTCATATTGATGACAAATATAATGGAAGTGATAGCTTCACCAGAAAAATAAACTGCACAATCTCGGTAGCGCTAGGGATGAGATGGCATGTCCTCGAAGATATATATTTTCATCAGAATTATTTTTCCAGTGTGAAAAGAGACCTAGCAGAAGCAGAGATACGGGAAGGTTTGTCCTAAAAAAATGTCACAGGATCTAGAGGAAAATTTTTTTAAGAAGGATGGAGAACTCCAGGATTCTAAAAAATATAAAATGACACATATATCACATGAATTCCCCAAGTATACTTAGTGAGAAAGGAGAAAAATATACAGTGATCTAAAAGTCCTGCATCACCTCTAAGTATAAACACTTGGGCTCTTGCGTTTTATCAGGGAGGTCCTACTAAAACTTTTTGGGAGTCAAAAAAGTCGTTTCCTTTGACCGAGGAGCACTCACAAAATTTCAAGTCGCTGGCTAATTTTTATCAAACGTTACAGGGCTGGTGCTGGTAGTGCGGCACTTTAGGATCACCCTGTAAAAGGCAAAAGGTGTGAGCTGAGGTATACTGTTGATTAATTGATTCTGCAAGCATCTTGAACATTTGTATTCTGTTCAAACTTCTGTTACATGTTTGTGAATTATTCCATTCCTAAATTTTGTAACTCTGGTTATTTCAGGTGACTTTTATTGCACAACAACACAAAAATGAGCTGAGGCCCTTCTGGAACGAAAGCGTAACTCAAAGAGATTTGAGCTTGCTGGCTTACGGTAGAAAATCGGTGGAGGAAATGTTCAACATACTCCATCGAGAACAAACATGGCAGACAAGGGTAAAGAGGAGCCTTTGCTGTGTTCTTTTATATTGTGGAATGACTGGCATATCTCAAATCATTAAAATGATCGGTAGGTTTATTTCGATGAAAACCTAAAAGCAAACTCTTGATCTGGGAAATAGGAATGAATTCAGTCTGTTCAAGAATGACAGGGGTAACCACAGAATTTGGAAAATAAATTTCCCTGACACATTTTGGTAAAATTCCCTAACAATTGAATTTATGCGGGATGGTTAAGAAGACATAATTTTGAAATATTTTTACGTAATAGCTGTTGTTCGAAACGTCAAACCCATTCTACCTAGAAATCAAGTAACGGTGATTTAACAATTTTGACCTAATATTTCTGGGTTTTTCTTGTCTTTTTAAATTTCACTGACATTTTCCCGTTTTCCTGGTACTCCCTAACTGTGGCAACCCTGAATGATCAAACATCTAAGATTTTCCTTACGTGTACCACAACATTTGAAAAAAAAACCAAAGTTTTACATTTATTCATTTGCAGCTCAAAATTTTCAGATCCATGTTTTTGGATGGTAACTTTAAGATTTAACGATGTAAGATCAGGATAATCATTCATCTGAGTCACTTTATGTACAGCACGATGAAGATATCCAAATTCCTTGTCACGGATCAGAATGAGGGGAAAAAATTCTAATTTGATTTTTTATTTTTTTTTCCAGTCTGCCCTAATCGAAAAATTGAGTATGTGTCTCCTTACTCGATCATCATGCTGATTTTAGGATCTGCGTGGCTATACTACTATCCCGTTTTGAGCTCAATTTTGATAGCTGGTGCAGTGTTTCTTGTTGTACCTTTCTTCCCCTTCAGCAGATCTCAAACTGTGGACCCTGATAATGCAGCACAGTACCAATACCTTTGAATCGGACTTAATAAAGATGTTCCTGTTTGTACTAACTTGAATGAAAATATTCTTTGCTGCATAGAGGAGATTTGATATGAGAGCTATGAAAAGTAATTTAAAATTCTTCGATTTCTTGTTTCCCATTCTTTACAGATTATAAACTAACTTTAATGTCTGTAGGTCCTTCACCTAGGAATTGATTGTTTATGTAATTCCAGGACAAATTCGTAATTGAAACGCACACACGGTGGAGAAACCTGCCCTCTCTTTTTAGCAGCAGATATGTGTTTGCTGCTACTTTGAGCAGTTAGTCCTGCATTTTGTGCCACCAAATAATTTGAAAACCCAACGACTTGTAGCAACAAAAGGTTTGAAAACTGAAAGTAACTATATTGAATCGACAGACAAGTATTCAACTGACACAGTTAAGTTACAAGGAAAAATCATTTTTATGCCACTTACACAGAAATTTGGTTTCGATATTTGAGGACTTTTTCCATTAAAAGACGTACAAGGTACCCAATGCTGCTAAGATTGTGCGAAGTAGTTCTTTCATTACAAGTAACCTATTTAAAAGCTTTGCATCAAATTATTCCCAGAATCTGCTCTGAATTTTTTCTCACTACTGTGTGGAGGGAAGTTGACAATAAATGAGTTTCATAATCTGCAAACGATGTGAAAAATTGCATAATATTAGCAGCATTGCAAGCCTCATCCACCCATTTACCAAAGAAATTCTCATTTCATTTTCTTAAATCAGAACATTCAGCCTCTGCTGATAACTGAAAAATGATGCTCTGAAGCCTTTCCGACAGAAAATTTTAAATTAAAGACTTGAAACGTTACATCTATGAGCTAAAATGGTCATACTTTCGAGTCTAGTGCCAGCACATATGGTTTCCTTGACTCTTCAGTCATGGTATACTTTTTAAAGAACGATCATGTTTCTTTTTCTCGTATTACCGTATATATCGTAATCTCGTATATACCATTATCTTAAATGTAGTTACAGCTGAGTCAGCGATCTCCATTACATGATAACATTAGACTATGTTTTATTACAGTGTTGATGAAAATATGTACCAATGTTTTTTTTAAAAAACTTTTATTTCAATAAATTGTTAATTAACATTCCATGGGATCGAATTGGTTTCTTTGTTGTGACACTTAAACTTATTAAACTTGTTTTTATGTTGTTGCTTTCAGCATAATAGCAATGCAGATTGTGAAATTTTGTAAGAAAATAATTAAAGTCCATGAAAGACTTATACAGAGAGTATTACTCCCTAAAAAAATTTAAAGATGTAACTAAATTAAAATGGTAAAAATAATATAGTCTAGAAAAGACTTGTACTGAACACATTCGCCGACATAACAAAAAAAAAGTTGAAAGTAAATTAAAAAATTAAAGTTTATAAAAGATTTGTACAGGTAACACCCTGTCCCACCTTTTTAACCCGAGTAGCCTTTTAGGACTGACCTCATACTGCTCATACCTCACCCTATATTACCAGCAGAGCAAGTAACCATTGTCTAAGACCATGTAACATGGGAATGGAACCAAGAATCTTCCTAACACAGGATAAGCACTTCAGCTACTAGAAAACAGCGGGTGTTGCATAGCCTAAGCTAGTGCAGCAATGGTTAGATAGGAAAGGCTGTTAAAACAGGAGCGAGAATGGCAGACATGTAAGTTGTGTGATCAGTATCAATAATTTAAGCTTCATCAATTTTTGGATCAATCCTTGTTTAAGTTCATCGTATGATTTGCTTCAATTAAAAGAGCATTGTCTGCAAGTAATCCTCTTGTCATTTCAGGCCATTCAAGTATGGAACACCATCTGCGTCATTATTAATTTTCTTAATATATATATTTTTCCGACATACATATGTTACAGTAAAAACCCGAAATCCGTCAAAATTAGTTTTGACTAGTCAAAACTAGTTGTCACAAGCCCCATCGGCCAAAACTAGTTTTTACTAGTGAATTCTAAAATTAACCGCTGGTTTTAACGAAGTAGTCAAAACTAGTTGTAACTGAAAAGAAATTCATCATTGATTGTAGTCCAACGCAGCAATTGCGATAGCACTGATTACGACGTAAGTTGGCAACCGCGAGAGGCTGGGAACTGCGGCCGGCTATCATCAGGTGGCTCGCCTCTGTACGCCGTAATCTAGGTATGCACTGATTTGTTTACGAATCAGACGCATCAATATTTTGGGCCAGTTCAGTTAAAGTACGACGTTCAAGTAGCAATACGGCGCTGTTATATTTGTAATTGTTTTACTTTTTTAAGTTGTGAATTAAAAGTTCATTATGAGTGGTGTTACGCATGTCAGGGAGTGCTTTTTGAAGAAGGTGAAGGAATGCTACAAAGGTAAAGACAACCATTTTAATGCTGATTCTGTAGGAACCCTAGGTTAATCCTAATTTTTTAACCGTCCACACCCACCTGAGCTGGTAAGCTTGTTGTTGTTTTTTATTTCTTAAGTATAAGAAATTTTGCCCACCGATGCATTTGTCTCACCAACCGTAGAAAACGTAAAGTGATTCTTCAAGGTTCCTGGCGTGCAACATATTATGTTACAAATTTCAGTAGATTTTGAATTTGTAGCCAAAAAAAAGATGATAGCCCTGGCAAATAAGCCTAATGAATCATTCTACATCTACAAATTGGCGAAAGTCAAAAAAATGAAAGCAGAATCCTGTTTTGAAAAAAATTTCGCATCTGATGCAGTTATCAGTTTCTGCATCCAATGCAAGGTTCTTTCTGGACAGGATTCCGCTTTCTAACATACGCGTGACACCCTTGATGATTCTTTTGAGAGTTTGTTTATGACTATTTCATTGGAGAATTTCTGGAGAATTTCTTGGAGAATTTCTTGGAGAATTCTTGGAGAATTTCTGGAGAAAGCAGCAGCGTGGATGACACTACTACTTCCACTTTGCTTAAAGAAAAGTTGCCCAACATAATGGAAGGCTATGAGTTAAAAAACATCTATAATGCCGATGAATTTGGTTTGTTTTACAACTTGTTGCCGGACAGAACGTTTAGTCAAAAGAAAGGAAACTGCAAGGGGTTGAAACAGAGCAAAGACAGAATTACCAGTCTCGTTTGCTCCAATGGCGATGGCAGTGATAAGCTGAAGATTTTAGTCATCAGAAAACAGCAGAACCCGAGGTAAAATAATTTCGAATTTAATTTTCTCTCTCCCCCCCCCCCTTCATTCTCTATTTTCTCTATTCTCAATCTTTCTTTACACCTAATTTTTAACTTTCATCAAATTCATCTTTCATCAATTTTATCTTTTCTTTGTGTCAGACACTCTTTTGTTTTCAACGATTCTGCATTCGTAGAAGTGGTCTGTTTTATTTTTTTTCTTCTTAGTCACTAAGTTTACATTATTATACAACAAAAGTGTGCGGCAAGATCTATAAAGAAGGAAGCATCTCCACGTGCTGCGCCGAGGAAGAGCAATAGGAAGAAAGAAATGATACCTAAGGAAATGAAGTATTCAAGGTAAATTATAGTTTTCGAGAAACTTAATAGGTACGTTATATTCTTTGTCTTATTCCATTTGTCAACGACTGGAATTTCAGTTCTTTTTCCCACTTTGAATTAAGATTCTCTCTAGCCCCTTGATTTCCCTTCGTTCAACTATGATAAGAGTTGAATTGAAGCATTGAGTCTTTGACCTAGGTTTAATGTGTTAAGCTTATTTGCTCCAGTGCCTTCGTTTTGAGATGTTTTTTCATCCCACAGGAATGTTCATGACACAAATATTAACAGACGAACAACCATAAAAAACAAGTTTTATTTCTTCTTTTCGTTAGAGGAAGCGTAAACGCATGTTTCCACTGAACAACAACAATGAGCTAACCTCTAATCTGCCATCCGCGGTTCATATTTCCCGCCCTCCAAAGAACCGGGACGACTTTTTCGTATTTTCTTATGATCCGGCAAACTCTTCGCAACTCATCTCTGATCGGTCGGATTCTGACGACTGCTTTCAACAACAACAACGCCCAGTTTGCTCGACTGCGGCACTTTCGCTCGACCGATCATCAACCAAAATACGCTTTAACTCTCCAAAGAATGTTAATAAACAGTTGTCTATCGGACGTAAACAAGAACTACAGCTTCATATCATCGTAAAGCAGAGATATCCTTTAATGAATTTGTCAACTTACTCTATTGTCAGACTTATTAGAGTTTTACTTCAAAGTTTGTAAAATCAAAGAAGACGAGAAAGTTGATCATCTAATCTTACGACTAACTCCTGAACGATTTCAAATTTTGAAGAATCATCTAGCACCAAACGCGGTAAAAGACTCGTCCTTTACTGAATGTGTTCAAAACCTCAAAGAACATTTCAGTCCTGCAACTAGTGTCATTGCCGAAACGTTCAAGTTTCATTCACATAAACAGATTCAAGGTGAAAAGCTTTCTGATTTCATCGCTGAATTGAAGAATGTGTCTCTCAAGTGTGACTTTGGTACTCATCGAGATCGCGGTCTCCGAGACAAGTTGGTCATAAGTCTGAATGACAGTCGAATCTCTAACTTTTGAGAAAGTATGCAAGATTGTGACTGATTTTGAGAGAGCGTAACAGTCTGCCTCTAGAATCATGTCACATACTCATCCACAGCCATCATCCTCGAGTTGAGCAAGTTTGTTAGCAAATATTGTTATTTGTTAAACTAGTATCTAAAAGTACCAAAGTTGAACTCTCCATTGTGACTTATGGCTGTTCTAGAGCTCACTGTTGCCAACTCGGACGAGGTTTGAAAATGCATGGTCCCAAGAAATGCCAAATGATCAGCGGAGATGGGCAGAAGAGTTACCCAAGGCTACAAAGATCCCCTACAGTAGACCCAATAGACCGTTACATTTTAGAAAATGGATGTGGATATGTTAAAAAGGCCACTTTTGACCAAAGAGAAACTTGGCACCTATGTGTCTCATGAGAATAATGCTGATGCCACATTTTGGCGTCCGGCCGTCGCCTCGTCTCCTCGCTTCAGTTTAGTTCGAGCTTAGACATGTAGGCCTCTCTCACGTATAGTCCCTCTTGTAATACTTATTAAAATCAAAGTTCGTTTCCGATAAATGGGATTAACTAATTTTATCCAAAAATCCGAAATTCAACAGGTTATGGGCCCAGGAGTGAATTAAAGTGCGCGTTTTTTTTGGATAATCAATCATCTCTTTACACACAAAATTTTTTTGAAAATGGGCATCTTTGCTTGGTTTAACGAGGAGAAAATCAACCTCACCGACGAGATGAGCGCACACGACATAACCCGCTATGTACTTATTGCTGTGCTAATACTAGTGCTGATACTTTATTTTGTGTACCACAAGTGCAAGAAACTAAATAAAACCGATCTTGCATTAAAAAATGAGATCGCGGAACTACGTGAAATAATACGCAACCGTTAACAATGTTGTAGCCAACTAAAAAACTTTTTCAAGCCTCTTGAGGCTAACGAACTCCTTCGTAGAAAACAAAATCGGGCTCGTATATCTAGCCAATCAAAACTTTTTTGAGTGCTTTTTTTTCACTAACTACAAGATTTGAGCTGAGATTTATGCGACCTACTATGGTACAGTAGTTGTAGTGCTTATCCTATGATCCGCACATTCTACCTTCTATTCCCAGCCAGGTGACCTGAGTTTGATGTTCTCGGATAATGGTTAACAATGGCTGATGATAGGACTAGGTATAAGTGAGATTAATCGTTGGTGAACTACTTAAAGTACATATTGAAAAAAAAATTGCATTTTGGTCCATGCAAATGAACTGACAGAAAAGTCTGAATTATTGTCGGATATAATGAACTACAAGCACTTATTGTTACTGTACGTGGACAGTTACTTATCTGATAAAATATCCGAAAATCTATTTTGAAAATCCATGACTAGAGGCAGTACAGCTTTTCGTGATGCTTTCGTGTTCAACACTTTGAAGACGGATAGGTTTTGCAGCGCTGGATTTTCATTACACACAGGAGCAAGTTGTAAAAATGCTGCCTCGTTTTTCAGGAACTCAACAAACTAAAAGACAATAAAGTATATGAGACAATTTCTTTATGATGAAGTTTTGGTGAGGTTTAACTAAGTAACATCAACAATAAGTATTTTTCCTTCAGAAAAATTTATCTTTTTCAGTGACGGATGAATTTCTGGTTTATGAGCATTAGCATTCTGCAACGATATTAGTACTTCCACTTTAGCACACTATGGCCTCAAGAAGTACAAGACAATGTGAATGGGCAACAGACAAAATTCTGTTTCAGTTTTCTGCAAAAGATCTAGAAATCTAATATCCTGTTTAGTTAAGGTCAACCATGTTGACATTAATTTAATCAAAAATTCTGTTGAGAACAAGATCCTTTCTTATGACTGAGATTTCCTGTTACTGAAGTGGTGAATTCCTTGTTATCAGTAGGTTTTATTTTTTATTCGTCAAGGCCCTTTATTGATCTTTACTGTGTATTTCTTACACTTTCACACTTGTTCATACAGGCCGTTAGCCTGTCTGTTGTGTAAATGGATGAATGAATACATACATAATAAAAAGCAATATTTTGTTTGAGAAATAATTTGTTGAAAGATTCTCTTTGAACCTGCTAAAACAATGAAAGAATAATACTAGATTCACATATTTCTGAGAGGAAAGAAAAAGCTAAAGAGAAGCAAGGAAAATTCTAAAATTAAATTAAGAGGACATTTCTGAGCAAATCACTTCAGGAAGGTAGATGACCACTTCCTTCACTGCGTTTTGTATTGATTGAATATGTATTTTGGAATTCCACTTTCCATTTCGTACTGCCTTAGCTTGGATTCCCCTGAGAATGGTGCAGACCTAGCATTATTTTATGATAAGGCTACATATTCAGTGTTTTTTCCCTCCCAGTGTACAACCTTGAAAGCTGGAATTTTTAGCATGAATTAGGGCAAGATAATAATGAAGTGTACTTTGCTACGAAAATTGGATTCCTGTGGAAATAAAAATAACATTTCTCAGCAAACATTGACGCCTCAATCAGTGTTCTACCTTCCTCAAGCACCAAGCGCCAAATACGCCTGAAAATCAGGCTTTGGTATCTAACAATTGGGGTAGCTGAGCCATCGTAGCGCCTAAAAAGTTGACATACCACATCAATCTTTAACTCGCAATTCCATGCATCATGATTCATATGCACAGTAAGTATGTGGTTTATGTAAACAACAGTTGGTCTCACTGATTTAAACTAAGCCTCTGTTAAAAAGATTCTCAGCAGGATCGTAAGATGAGGGAGCGCATGGATATGTGTCTAAATCTATTACATTCCACACAAATTATGGCTAGACATATTTAAAAAATCTTGAATATTAGAGTTCAAATATTTTATCTGATATTTGATTCAAACTTAAACAACAAAAATTTACCTTCTCAGATATTGAGGAATGATTTGAATACACGCCGAGATCCCTCTCTATTTTATCATTTGCATCACTGCCGGCGTGCAGACCCAGAAGCACCACTAACTTTGACTTGTTTACAGTCCCAAGATCAGCAACTGCTTGCGTGAAATTTTCGAAAATCCTCTTGCCAGAGACAATATCCTGAAAATAGTCAGGATTTTTTTAGAAGTAGCAGAGGTGAATCCGTCTATTTTTGCAGCAAAAGCCGTGTAAAAAAAGAGAGAAGACTTCAGGTTTTTCCAGTGATAAAAAAATTAAAATCTGAAACTTAATTTACACTTAGAAGTCGACATTAATTGCTTACAGAAGTTAGGATATTCAATATCCATGTAACAGCAAATTAAATCAACTTAAAATTTGCATTCTTTTTTAATTTATATCAAGCCCAGCAGCATTGCTGAATCAAAAACTACTAAAGAGAGAGAGAGCCCAGAATGATATATAATTACGGCTTTGTTTTGTCAAAAAAAACCTCTGAAATATGTATCCTGCCGTGTAGCTCAAAGGGCTCATAAATGCCAAAAGTTGCACTCTTTGGATAGTGGCTAATGGGTGGCAAATCTGGCCTTAAGGCTATTTTTAAAAAAGAAACAGGGTTTCCATAATTCACTCAATTTCCAATTCCCTGATTCCATATTTGTGAATTCCCCAACTTTTCTTGACCTTTGAACCAAACTTCCATTCACATTTTCTCTCTTTAATCATGCTGACTTCTGCAGAACACTCCTTGCAAAGTTTACTATGAACTTTTACTTTTATGATGAGTTTTCACACTTTCCCAGACTTTTCCAGGTTGCTGTATATTCCCTGATTTTCCAAGTTTTTCAGACCGCCAGAAACCCTGTATTACATTTATGTTTCTTTCTGCTCATCATTGAGAATAAATTGGAAAAATAGGACACTTCCCGGAAACAAAATAAAAAATTCCTTGCAGAAAGACCACTAGATCAAGAAGACCAGTTTTTGAACTGTTTGAGCCCCTGCACCGCTCAACCTGTAAGATAATTGTTTTTTCCAAGATGATTTTCAGAGTTACAATCAATGATGTTTTTGGATCTAACTCAAAAATAATGCTTTTGATAAAAATGAGAGGATACACGGCTCACCTGAATGAGGAATGGAAATCCAGCTATAGGCACAGAGCCAGCAACTTTCATATCTTTCCCTAAAATTTGTTCTGCTGTCAGTGAGGAAACATCTTGCTTAGCATCGCTTAACTGCTGAAAGAGATCAGCTGGTGGAATCAAATCGTCCCAGAGTTCATTCAGTTTGGCATAAACATTTTCATCTACTTCAGTGCTTTGGCCATACGTTTCAGAAAAATTGGCGGTGTCAAGAATGATCGGACCTGAAACAATTAAAATGAGATTATGCTTAATGTAAACTGTAGGAAGAGAAAACAAATTAACGGCAAGAACATTGCGTATTACTCGCAGAGTGCCACAAGTATTTAGTGATCTTCTATAATAGTTCTGATACGTGATGGTAAGAATAAAAGCTAACTCTTGCTCATAATAATAGGTCACTAAACTTAGTGTTTTCTATTTAATATTCTAAAATGCCACATGAGTAGATTACATGGTAATTTATTGTGTATTTTTGGAGCCAAAATCCTGGACAAGCCTGCTTTGAAGGAATTTCAAGCGTGGCCGCATAGCAGAAAAATGATGGCAGCGTAGGACTGTGCCCGTCAAATTAATATCTCTTCTCATTTTCTCACTTTCTACTTCGGTTAAAGTGCACAATAGACGTTAATATGATACTTCTGCAGTACAAAAATATGGTCACATCAATCTCGGTTCTTCAACTCAACTGTTGCACGTTGCACTTTGAACAACACTGGGCAGGAAAGGAACACTGCTTAACTGAGAAATCTCCCAAAATGCAATGCACAATTTGATTCAAGTAGACTCCAATTTTCCTTGTTGGCAGGGAATTCAAATTTTTTACGACCAAAGCTGAACGAAAATGTTAAAGTCTTAGTTGATTTCAAGAATTTCTGTTGTGCAAATTCTGTTTCACAAGAAATTTTGAGGAGGACACATGTGTCAGAATGCTTACACTCATACCTTGCCTGATGGACCGTTAGAAAGAGGAACATTTGGTGGATTAACAAGAGGCCTTATAGGTAATCTCAATTTGGGAAAGAACCCCGCACAATCCTTATGGGGAATGGCTCTCTCTACAATCTGATGAAACTTGGATATGTTGCTCAGCTGGTCATTCTGATCAAAAGTTCTCATGGACCAAAAGAGATCCCACGAGCGATTTTCGAGATATTCGCCGTTTTATGTGCGTAAATTGAGGTTTCGCTGGCAGAACCATTGTGCATCTAGCCTCAGGTATGAGGCTTTGCTCATCGTCGCTGAGCCGGGTGGTCTTATCACCGTGAGCATCGGAGTCAAAGCCTTAGGTATGGGAGGCGGGGAAGCTGAGAGCGGCCAGAGTGGACTGGAGGGGAAGGGCACAAGAGGCGCCGCACAATGGTCTGGCCAGTGAAACTTTAATTTATGCACATAGAACGGCGAATATCTCAAAAACCGCTCCTGGGATCTCTTTCGGTCCATGAGAACTTTTGATCAGAATGACTAGCTGAACAACATATCCAAGTTTCATTAGATTGTAGAGAGAGCCATTTCCCATAAAGATTGTGCAGGGTTCTTTTATGCCTCTACTTCAAAGATCTTAGGGGCTATTTGTAAACTGAACAATTCTCTCCTCAACTTAAAAGCTTTAAAGAAGTTAATTTTTGAAAAAATCAACTCTAAGATAACAATAGAAAAGAAAATTCTTCGACTCAATTTCAGAGTGACAAGGCAACAAAGAACTTACCAGCTATCAACTGCGCAACTGTCCTGTCAAGACTGCAAAATTCCGATTCCAGAAGAATTCTGCCGACTAGGGATGCACAGGAACCAACACGCTCAATGGTCGTTTTCACATCCTTCCACACAACACTCAGATCTCGTGGGCGGTGGTCAATGATTTCGACCACCGAAGAGGCAAGATTAGCATCTTTGTGTGGCAGAACATGATAATCCACCAAGACTAACTCCAGTTTCTTCTCGGAGCTGAGTTTTGCTAAATCGAGACTGTCTCTGAAAAAAAACAATCAGTTGTGAGATATTTCTGTTGGCCTAAATACCCTTGCAATTTTGACCTAAACAAGCTGCAGCATTAATTATTTGGTTGGGTATAGATTTAACGTTCCTTGGAAAAGGGGACCTTAGCCCATGCAGCACAAACGCAAAATGTACATTTTTAGACATAGATTTAGGAAATGGCAAAGTTTAGTATTTAATCAACATTTATAGAAAAATTAGTGTCGGCTTCCCCATAGATGAAACAGCAAATTGTACCTTCCGCAGAAGTAAGCTTTTCACAGAGAGTGTTTTTGAAAAATATGTTGGTGCATAGTTCCTTTTAATACTATGGTGGATGTGCAGTTTTTCAGAGCCCTTATGTAAATAAATCCAGCGCCGGGGCGGGAGATTCGCTGGTAAAGAAAGTTCAAGATTGAGATATGTAGACAAATCTGGCAGAAAAATCTATCTAGGAATTTGAAAGTTTCGAAAAATTTGCTCATAGTCCATTTTATATAATGTACACAATGGTAGCTATGCAGTTATTCGAAAGTTCTTTGGTAGGAAGATGAAGCAGATGGGAGGAAAGAGGGCGTTAGACCCTTGATACGTTAATAAACACAGGCTATCCTTTTCATCCGTTCCTCAACAGCTGAGCCAAGGTGATTGTTAGGAGAATGATTTTCTTTAGAAATAATAACGAGAGGAACTTGAGAACTTACCGGAAAACTAACTTTTTCAGAGGTATATTATTGAGCTTCAAAAAGTAGCAGACTTCTGTTTTTATCGGGAGGTCTTTTTCTTGAATGTTCAGGACAGGAATGACAGATACTTTGCGACTCTCCGAGGTGGATTCAGTCATGTGCAAATAGAATGAATAAACTAAGGCACACACAACTGAGTCCAAATCGCATGATGTGTTTCCTAAGACTACTTTTACCGCGTTGAAATCATTTATGTGTTGCTGAAAAAATTTTGGAGGGAAGATTCATCAGATTTCAGTCAAATTTTTAAATTTAGTTCTAAGTTAATCAAATTTATAACAAGCAGCTGAAAGGTGTATGAATTCTTGCAGAGATGATTATTAAAACTTTCCATTTGTAAAAATAACAGAATTGAACCTATGATACTGGGCGCATAGATGAAAATTATGCCAAAATACATGTGAGGTAAATCTTGAGCTAACAGATGATTTGAGAAAAAGATTGTTCCTTTTTCCCTGACTCATTACTTTAAGAAAGTTACTTAAGTAAGATAGGAAATTTCGCTATGAGGAAAAAAAAAGTTACTTAAGTAAGATAGGAAATTTCGCTATGAGGAAAAAATACCATAATGCAAGAAGTGGTCAATATTTTATAATTTCTTACACTCTGAAAGTCATGATGAATTTTGAGTCACCTTCAATGCAGACTTTCATTTTTGCCATAGCTTTAGTTCACAACAAACCCATTACATAAATTTTCCTTAATAGTTAAAAGATTAGTTGAATCCTGCTTAGTTCCGCAGAAATGATAGTTGTCTAGTCTATCAACAAATTGAGAAACTACCTCAAAATGGATGGATATTTGAAGGGTTTCTTGGATCGAGGAGTTAGGTAACAATTTTTTGAGGCTTGCGGTGCAAATAATTTCAAATAAAAGTTGTGTTTGAGAGTATATTGTGGAAAAATTGAAAACTTAGGCTCATTTTCTGCCGGGACATTAAAATAATAGGTTCATCCAGGCCATGAACTATCATTGCTCTTTCAACTAGAGGCACATTTTCCTCAATATTACAAGAAAGTCACAAAAGTTCTTTATTTCCAAAGGCCCTTCATTTACAAAACCATTAGCTTTGAAATGCAATCAAACTCCTGTTCTTACCAGATGATAGTGATATTTGTAGATAAATTCAAGGAATTGTTTAGTCATTATGAAGATCACAGGAAAGGAATCGTTTGTTGCAATGAATTTGATTACAGGCTATGCATACTGACTCAGACGATTTTGATAGTAGTGTTTACCTGAAAAATCAAAAACAGAGAAAATGTCATGAGTGGAACTGTAAAAAACAGAGTTATAGCCTGAAATGAAAAGACATTTTATGATGATCTTGATTAGCCGAAAAAAACTCGGTCAAAATATTGTGTACAGATTACCACTTGGCCATCCTTGGTGGTGTAGTGATTCAGGCAGTTTGCTGCCATCACTGAGGTTCTCGGTTTCATCCCTGATGACGGACTTTTGAGGACACTTAATAATCTGTCATCATGGCCTTGGATGACCATGCTTCTCCAACATCCTGCCAGTCCCTTTGGAGCAGGAGGGACATACCTACATGGTAGTGATGGTTCCGCATTTCCCAGGTGGATTGTGATTAGATTGTGAATCTTATTTAATGTGGCCTACTGCCAGTGCTACCTTTCAGTGGGAGATTAAAACAACAGAGCCAAACTCCGTCGGGGTATGGCAATCATCGGAGAGACTTGAGAAGTCCAAAACCCCAGACAAGTCAGACACCTCATTTGATGGATAGCGCTTAGGTAAGCCCATGGCTACTTTGATTGCCCACTTTTGAAGAACTTTTAGTCTTTCAACAATACCCTCCCAGGTCCCTCCAAAATTAGCAATACCATAAGATGACAAGGATTCAAACAGAGGAAAATAAACAGTGCTGAGAGCATCTACCTCGAGGTATCTCTTAAGGCTGCCTAGGCTGAAGATGGAGGATTTCAGTTTGTAACATAGATATTCAACATGGCCCTGCCATGAGAGGCATTCAAAATAATATAGCACTCTCCGTTCAAACCAAAAAAAACTAACTTAATCTCATGTCCGAATTTTTCATGAGTTAGTCGTATAAAGTTAATAAATTTTAGTCATTGACTGGTCATAATGGCGCAAAGGGCGCGAATCAAAAACAAGGTTCTGTTTGTTTACATTTGAACCAGGGTTTTGATATTGTTTCAGATGACGTGGCCACTAAATCAGTCTATGGGCACCGCAATGGATCTAGTTCTAGGATGGCGGGCCCATGCTGAACTCAGATCTTGCAAGTTAAGCCCTTCGATTTACTGGTTAAATGTAATTGCTCGGCTATATGGATAGTGAACAGTGCTGGACTTTGCCCAGGCTTTCCCTTCGGCGAAAGAGTTTTCCAATTCAACATGTGGTCCCTGTAGAGCTTTAGTGCAAAAGTTTTGCGAGGAGATTCATGCTTGCTTACCCAAGTTGAGAGTGATCTGCGGCCAAGGCTCCTATGTAGATCCTACGTCCCATTGTGTACAATTTTGATGAAAAACTTCAAGATGTAACCCGTTCGTTGTTTCACAACCAGTAAGCCGTGACCGTGAATCCGCAATCCGCAGAAATAAATAAAATAAAAACGTACAATTTGCCCATGTCATGTCATGTGGTCGCAAGGTTTGTTTACTTTATCAATTGATAAGACTTGGCATCACTGCACACTGCATGGAATGGACCGTTGACTGACTTCCATCAATCATCAAATTTACCGGAACCACAACCACCGGAACCGGACCGGGATAGAATATTTTGTGGTTATGTTGCTCCGCTAAAAGTATACGTGTAATCTGCAGTATTTTTATTAATCTCTGGGTCACCTGAAGTTTGAAAAAAATCAGGTAAGCTCTTTGTGACGAAATTCAAGAAGGATAAAACTCGCAAGTGTGCAGTGCACAGGAATTCAAGCGCATTCAAAATCGCTATTTTATTCAGGACCGCATGGCACTCACGTTGCTCCGAGTGTGCCTATTTCAAAGCATTTCGCAAACCCTATTATTTCTGTATTATTACCTCTTTATTTCATGCCTCACGCTCCAGCTGAACATATGTCTACAGATTTATTACACTGGTCAATTATATATTCTGATTTAGGGGCTCACATGGTGGTGAAAGAACTCACCTGCTCATGTAAACAAGAGCAGGAGCTGCAGTAGGTCTTCAGGAACATTCATAATGCTGTCAAGGTTCCTTCGTCATCAAGAACCTGCAATTTTTTGTAGCTGAATGTTAGTTTTTAGCCAGAGGCCAGAATGTATCAATTAATGAGCGTGTTCGTAATCTGGAAAGAGCTCCTTGTTGAGGAAGCAGAATTGGGAGAAATCTATTGCTCGACAGTAGTGTTTGAAAACTTTAGTTAGAGCGGAGGCATCGTATGTTGAGACAATAGTCAAGCACTATTTAGGGCACCACTCATCAGTAGTGCCATCTGACTGCATGTATTAACCTGTTGAGTGATGCTGATTTTGAGGTAATCAGAGATTGACATTGGGCTCAAAATACGATGCTTCCGCTCTCGTGTTGTATCTTCTCTGTAATTTAACACAGTTAAATATCGAATATTTCTGACACGTGGAAAGGAAATTCATTGGAGTGCTCTTGATAGTTCCAATTGAAATGTAAACCAATTTTAAACATGAAGCATGCCAATTGCTTTTTGTACCATTGCAGAGGAAAACATTTTCCCGTAAGGTTTACAAGCGTTGCGTAATTAGCGCAAAGTCAATGAATGCTGTTTGTGCATTGTCATGGCAGTGTATTTGAGGTTTATTATTGTGGAGGATTGTATGTAACAGCATTTCTTACCATGACTCTTGGAAACCAGATCCCTCTTAGTGCATATGCCCGACAATGGAGGTTAAGTTCCATTTGCTGTTGTTAGTGATACTTTTATCAAAATGGCAGTGAAGTCAAATACTTAAATACAGCCTATCATTCTCATAAAGGAAGTACATTCATGATAGTTCCGGTACTGGCGGAAGCCTTAGCTTAAGGTGAAATGTCAACCTATGTGTAGTATGTCTATTGTTCTGACTCGATAATTAGAGCTCGCTTATGGAATATTTAGTTGTTGCGTTACAAGACAGTGTGAAATTGTTGCAGGTAGAACAATCAGGAAGAAAAAATTAGAAGGTATTGAGCATTGCTAGTTGTTTATTTTGTGTAACAGTGAGCAATCTAATATCATTCTCCCAAGTTTTGAAGAGAACTCCTAGGAGATGAGCAACACAATTTCTAATACCTCTTTTTCTTTTTTTTCTTTTTCCAGTCACAATGGTGCGGATGAGTGTGCTGGCTGATGCCTTAAAATGTATTAACAACGCAGAAAAGAGAGGCAAACGTCAGGTGTTGATCCGACCCTGCTCGAAAGTCATCATCAAATTTTTAACAGTCATGATGAGGCACGGTAAGCAGAAGCCAAATTTTTACTCCCTTGAAACATCTCATCTAGTCATCATCGTCCTCTCATCTCCATAATCAAACTAAGACTCAATTTGAAAAGCATCCAAATAGCAGCCTTGACTGTTGACTTAAAGTTGTGTCAACTTTTGCACTTGAAGTTAGTGAACTTTTGGGATTAAAGGTATTTCCTCCTTAGGAGACTAAACTGCCACTGCTGATACGGTTGTGCTGAGGAAATTTGTCAAGGAAGAATCAGACACAGTCTAAGTTCCTCTGACAAATCACGAATTTTCGGGAAAATTGATGCACGTTTTTCTTTTAACTTTTCGGAAAAATTTGTTCACAATTTGACCAAAAGTGCCTGAAAATTTCATGGAAAAATACTCATGATTTTCATCCAAAATAAATATTTTCTGTGAAGAAATTTGGCAGCATTTATATGTTCATGCTGCGTGCTTTTGCAGCCTAGTAGAATATACAAAGAAGAATTTATCATATGTATATTGCTATCGCAAGGTCAAATTGAAAAAACCCACTTTGCCATATCCATATTATCCGAATTTTTGAGGAATTTTCCTCTAATCCACATACTTGCCCCCCTTTTTGCATTCAAAGAATTCAGTGAAAATTTAATTTTCTGCACCTTAAAAGGTGGTTTTAAAATTAATCCTACAGACATCACAGAATCTCAATTTTCATAGGATGCTCAATTTTTTGTGATTAGTACTTCCGTATTCTCAAAGTAGACATGATTCTTGGCACTAATTTCTTCCACTACCAAGTGTTCTTATTAAGGTTGTAAGTATTAGAAAAAGCCAGAAGTAGAGGAAGGTGCATCCTACATACAAAAAAAGTATAACTTAAAAAAAGATTTTATCAATAAAATGAAAGAAATAATTAACTTTTTAGAAAGGTGCAGATCTTGCCTGAGTTGATCTGGAAATGGTGTTTTTTTGTCAAAATTCATCAAGATGTCCATTATTTTATTTTGGAGAGAATGACATTTTGTTGGTGTTCAATATTTAGAAAGTACCTTCGAGTAAAAAGTTTTTTACCACAATCTGAAAGGGGGGAGGGTCTAGTATTCAAACTCTGCTGGAAAATCTTTTGCTGCCTAACTCAAATGACTTCCGAAACTGAACAGTAACAATGGCCACAATAAAAGCATTATTACATTTCTGAATTAGATAAGTTTAAAATTCTACTTTGAGCTTTTTGTCCTTAGCATTCAAAGTGTGTGTCACTAATCTGTTTTCCCTTCATGATTTTCTAGGATATATCGGAGAATTCGAGATTGTAGATGACCACCGAGCTGGCAAAGTAGTTGTAAATTTAACTGGCAGAATTAACAAATGCGGAGTAATATCACCTAGGTTCGATATGCCAGTGAACAAATTTGAAAATTGGACAAACTCTCTGCTACCATCAAGACAGTTTGGGTTGGTATTTTTGATGAATCTTATTTTTTTGTGGCAAATGTCTGGCGATTTACTTTGGTCAAAAGATCTTGTCTTTGTTTTCGGGGCCAGGCAACCTGCGGGCTGATCGTTGAAATTGATAGACAAAGTAATAGAAAAAAAGACATAGGGAGTATAGAGCGATCCTATTGGTTGAAATTGGTGGTTCTTATAGACTAGGGGGGTAAATGATGGACTAACCATAAAGTCTCTAGTGGGTTGCTGTTAGTTAGTCTATTATCTACCTCCTTTGTCCATGGCAACCACCCACTTCCAACAATAGGAGCCCTCCCTATCCCTTTTCTCTTATTTGTCTATAGCTTTGTCCATCAGTTTCAACAATCAGACTGCTGATCATGATGGCCTCAAGCAAGGTTCATCTTTAACAAGATTTGGAGAAGGAACTGAGGGATTTTATCTCAAGATTAGTCCCCCAAGCTTACTCAATGCTAAAGCAATCTATTTTAAAAAATACAAATGTGCTGCAATTTTTTGCATTTTTTATCCGCAGTGTTCTTGTAGTGTCAAATGCCATATTGATCAGCGAGGTGCCCTAAGGCATGTACGTCAGTTTCAAAAATTTGTTTTTACTTCATTCTTTTTTCTCTTTCTCTGTTTCCCTGCTCCCTGATCCTCCTGATAGTATACACAGTGTATATTATTAATAGAAGTAGAGAACCAGAACCTGTTTTAGTGATAATTTCATGTACACTAGAATATTATCAATTTTTCCGAAAAGCATGATACCCTCAGCATTGAAAGGTTTATTATTCACTGTTTTAATTTGATCTCCTCATAAAAAATTGTTTTTATGTTTTTTAGATACTTAGTGCTAACTACCAGTGGAGGAATTATGGATCACGAAGAAGCGAGGCGGAAACATCTGGGAGGCAAAATCCTAGGATTCTTCTTCTAACCTAATTTTAAGACCAATGACTTCTCAATAGCCTTTTTTAATAAACTCCTTGTTTCCAACGTCGGAATTCTCATTCTTTCCCCCATCCTATCGTTTTTTATCGTCAGGTAATTCTTTTAAGGGACATCTAAATCTTAACCTCTTCTGTCAGGATGCATTATTGAAGAAAACAGACAGTATCGAAGGTTTGATGAGTGTATTGGAATTTAATTAACGCTTCCTGTAATCACCGAGGCATCTTGATGAAAGCATTAATCAAAGGCAGCACACGTTATTCTCTCTCGACATTGCTCATTAGGGCAGCGGTGAATGATTAGACCAGACAACCTCCTATCTCTGTTCTTCATACTGCATATTTTCTGTCACGTATAAGTTCAAGAAGATTAAGCAACCATGTAAATTCGTGAAATGGTTCTGTTTCCTTCACCTAATGACATTATGAAGTCTTGGTTGATTTTTTCCCCTCTCTTTTCTCTCCGAAAATTCTGACTGAGAAATTATCAATCTCTCAAGGAGATGATGCGAGGTTTTTCTTTATTTTTTCGTTTTGATACCTTCTGTCTTCAGGAAGGAAGTCATGATCCCATTCCAGGCTCTGAATTTTGATGGTTTAACTTGGAAAGCCAATGTTGCAGACTCATTCAACAAACTTTTAATTGAGGAACATAAGGTTGAGATTTCTCTTCCCTGTTTGAAGGGGTTTCCCTTTAACCATTTTCAGCAGTAAAAGTGGTTCGTTTTCTTTTAAGAAAATACAGGAAATTTTTAAGCTCTAAGATAGAGCTAGCTCTGTAGCTTAGAAGCTAAGTTACAAAGGGAAATGAGGAAAAGACTGAAAGTGCTGTTCACAATTCTGCCAACCTAAGGAAGAATGCGGCATGAATATTCAAGAGTTGCCAAATTTCTCTTGATAAAATATGTATTTTTGACGGAATTCAAGTATATTTTCCCTAGAAATTTTCAGATATTTTAGATCAAATTGCATACATAACTGTCTGAAAATTTTGGAAAATAATATTCAGAATTTTCCCAGTAAGTTCGGTTTTTATCGAAGGACATTTGGCAACGTCTGAAGGCTCATATGGCGTTTTCCCTTAGCATGGCAGAATGAGTGTCTTAAAGAATATAATTTAAATAATTCATTTTTACTGATGAGTAAAGGCAAGTCAAGGAGACATCACTTGAGATGGAAGAAGATATTCTCTTCTTGCCAATCAATTCTCTTTACTCAAAGTCTGCCCTATTGTATCACCATGAAGATTTCTGCATTGACTATCGCACCAAGGAATGAACTGTTATTGTGGTTCATTCTTTGACAAACATAATAATCTTCCATTCATTCGACTCCTCTATGAAGTACGTCGTTGGCACCATTCAGCTTTTTCAAGATTTTAACATTATTTGTTAACCCCTCATTTTTAGGCCAGACAATAGGATCAAAATCTAAAAATCTCTCTCTGTAATTTCAGCCGCTTGAAATTTTTTTTCCTAGAAGAGGGAATAATGAAATCTTCTAACCGTTAATTTTTAACATCTTTGATGTTCTGAAACTGGGAACGCTTTTCGTACTAGTTGTGATGAGCTCTTTCTAGTACCTATTGAAGATTCTATCTCTGACCAATCTCGTCACATTTAACCAACATTTTTACTAGAGAGACTTCTCCATTGTCGACATTTTGAAAAAGGTAACATGAACAAAAGAAAAAAATATATTGTTCTTCTGAGAAATTTTTGAATAACCACACACCGCAAATTGAACGCTTTTAGGTGAGAATCTAATAATGAGACATCCTAATAAAACGAAAAAACAGGAAATCGTGGTAACACATTGTGAGCTTAATAATGACATAAAGAAAGCCCTTGGAATTTAGCCTTGAAAAAGGGGCCAGGGAGCCCCAAAACGCGTCAGCGATTTTAATTTATTTGGGTGCGTTTAAGTTTTTTAGTTCCAGCTGTCTTAATAAAACATCCTCTCTGACGGAATGTTTCAATGCTGAAAAGTAAACACTTTTAAATTAGGATCAGGGGAAAAAAGAGAAACGTGTACAAATAGATCAATGTATTCATGACTTGGAATCAAAGCATAAGAAATAGAAAAATACACTGGTATCACAATACTGAATATGGAATGTGTGCTTAGTTTACCTCATTCACTCTTAAGAGCTAAAACCTGATTCACAAAAAGAAAAATAATAATTATCGTTTGGACTGTAAAATATAACAAAATAAAACAACAGGATGAAACAAAAAATGAAAAGACTAGGGTAAAAGCCACCTACTTTTCTAAGAAAAGTAAAAAAAACTGTTCTGCGACTCTCGCAACACAAAGATGTAAAAAAACCTAATGGCACTTCTTTCTTGAAAGTTTTTTTTAGGTTCTTCTGTCTAATGTATAATTTGACTAATTTTTTTTTCGGAAAGGGGTCTTTCTGCATAGAATGATGAAACAAATGCCAACAGAGGGATCACTTGTAGAATCAGAGACAAAGCAAAGGGACATCGGCTTTGAAATAGTGAAAGTTATTTACAAATAGAATACTGAAAGGGTTACATTTTTTAAGTTAGCTAAACACCACTCCTTAAATCTCACTGTCACATGAACCCTATGCACTTAGGAACTAATGAGTTCCTACACTATCCCAAGGCGGATAAAGAGTGGTGGTCGCATTTCGTACCCTCTTGATGTCACACAGCATCGGGTACTTTTCGGGTACATCCTGATTGCATGGCAAAGCATGTACCCTCTGCACGTCACAGCCTTTAAAATGGCAGTTCAACTCGAAATGCGACCACCTTTCTTTATCCGCCTTGACACTGTCCATTTTGGGCCCTATATTAGAGTGCCCTTCTACTTGTGTAACTTCATTATTCACGATTTTAGTTACAAGCAGAATTGGAAAAGCTACTTTCAAAAATTTTCCAGAATCATTGAACTACATCTGAAATTGTGCAAGAAATAATTTTCCTTGAGGGTCAAGAAGAAGACACCTTCCAATGTACGGTCTCAAGTCCTCAAGTGGTGATTCAAAACAGGAAATGTGATATGACAACAATTTAGACATACAATGAGAGAAAGACTTCGTAAAAGAATAAACATTAAAAACTAATTGTTCAAGTTCCGCCAAAGAAAACACACAATAGTACTTCAAAAGAAAAAACCTTTGGATGTTTATAGTGCCCTTGATGCACTTGCCAGGTACGATTCCATGAAAGACAGGTAATTTTTTTAATACTCGATTGTCACACACTTCACCTTTAAATATTCTGACAATGCCTCCTCACCTGAAATAAAGCGGAATTAAAATCAGAAGTTACAAATTTGATGCCTTATCTACATGGGTCAACTCTTGCAGAGTCAAAGGATAACTTTACCTTTTGTTTCACTAACCAATTTTAGCTGGTCTATCAGACTGACTATATTAAAATCGCTAAACTACTTCGGCAAAGGTTGTGGGGAAGTTTTTATGTACTTATGAGACATTAAGAGTAAGTTGTAAATTGTAGTATTGATAAGAATGGACTCCGAGACGAGATACAAATTTAAGCATTCTTCGATGTTATTCCTCCTCGAAATTTCACGAAGAACACAATTTGCATTACAAAAATTAACGAAATCAACTTCTAGCCAAAATATTCACGTGTTTATTTACCAGTGGTCACAAAATATTTGAATCTCGCCTGCTTAAAGAAGAGACCATCAGAGTCTATGTGAATCAAATTGCGAACTACAACAATTTTCGTGAACGGTCTTGGTCGAGGAGTGATCCTTTTCCGCCCTGTTATATTTAATCTGTTGACATTGTGCAACAGCTGAGTCGAAGCCCCAAGATTAAGACTGCATCAATTTCATACCAAACGGATTGTGACTTTTAGTATTTTATGTTAATAAACTGGATTAAGTATGGTTTTTGTATAAGCAGAAGCTCGAATTCATGCGTTGAAAAACGTCAATATCTCCGTTAGGAGTTTCTTTTGATAATTTGCACAGCACGAATTGTGTTCTACATGAGGCTCTGATGAGAAAACTATCATAATGCTTAAATTCGCACCTTATCAAGAGGTCCCTTCCTCAGGAAAAGTGACACATCAAACGCATTAACTTATCAACGAAAAAGTTCTCACAATTGCTAAGCAAAGTCTTGGAGGTAAGTTAATGAAAAGTTTGTGGTGAAATTGTGAATGATTCTTCATAAAATTCCAATGAGAATATTAATAGTTCAAAGAACAATGACCCTACCTTAAAAATCATAAATTGTGTACTGTTGAAACATAAACAAGAAAAAAAAAAGAAAAAAAATATGGCCTGAACTGTATGGAATAAGGTGGTTCCTCACTAAATAGTGTGGTTCCAGCATTATTTTACCACCTCTTTATAACAATAAACTCTCATCTAAAGCTGTGCATCACATTTCTTGTTTCACATTCTGTGGAAAACAAGGGCTGGCCTGATGCTCATTAGGAAGACAAGAAAAAATGTAGAGAAGACTGAGGTGAAAAAATATCTCTGAGGAAGTCTTACCAAGATCTTTGCCGATTCCAGATCGCTTATAGCCTCCAAAAGGAGCAGCAACATCTGTCTTGTTATATGTGTTGACAAAAACTGTGCCAGCTTCAATTCTTCGTGAGAATTCCAAAGCACGGTTGATGTTCTGCGTGAAAACGCCGGCTGCAAGACCGTACTCGGTATCATTTGCTCTTTGTAATACCGAATCCAGATTACTGCAACAGTTAAATGAGATCAACATTGTCCTTGACTGTGTAATATTGAAAGTAAGCTCTCCAGTTGCTAAACATGTAAAAACTATGAACAGTACGGACAAGCACACCCCCAGTCATCTGCCATAACTGTTTCTTCCCCTTCTAAGATATCTAATATAAAATTCTCTTCGGAGAATTATCTATCTCTCTTGAGAATTAAAGTTTTTGGTTTCATTTACTTTTTCTTTCTTCAGAATAAAATAATCTGAGGGAAACTTTGACTTCTAGCACTGTTGCGTCTTTGTGTAGGTAAATGTAGTCACAAGATGCAGGATGTGCTGTAATTTTCCCTTTGATGTCGAATTTAACTCTTGTATTTTAAATCTAAAGAAATGTTACCTACTTTTTCACCGATTAAAAATTGATTTTCTTTGAATTAAAATAACTTCATTGAAATTAAAGAAAATTTCTTTGATTAAAAAAAAAAAAATTCATTGAATTCCATTTCTTTCTGTTCATTTGAATTTGTTTTAAATTAAAAAAAAGGTTTTTTGACCATTTTTCCAGTGTTCAATTAATTTATGACACAACTGTGTTTTTGATTTTGATCCTAGAACAGAACCTCTTTCTTTAAGATTAAAAAGAGACAATAAATTTTAGGAAAAGACCCTTGCCATCAACACAAAACTAACCTTCTAGAAATCAAGCGTGCCTTTGCTTTGTGTTCAATAGAACTTGAAAAAGCAAACAATGTAAAGAGTTACTAATAAAAAGTCAGCCAAGCAAGAAAATTTCTGACTTCTACCTAACCGGCACAGACTTTCAGCGCCTCATGTTTTTCAGCACTATTTTGATTCAAAAGTTTATAAAAAAGTTGTAATTTTATTTTTTAATTTTTTTAATAACACTATATTTTTAACTTCTGCCATTTTTTCCAAGATGATGGTTTTGAAATACACAGAAAAGCACAAACCTGCCATCGAATGAAGAGATTGCCATTATAGGTCCAAAAGCTTCTTCTTTGGCTATATTCATGTGATCTTCGACGTCAGTGAAAATTGTTGGTTCAAAGAAAAGTCCAGGTCGATCGCAACGTTTGCCTCCATGAACTAACTTGGCTCCATCCCGCTTCGCTTGATCACAGTAGGCTATTAACTTTTCTAAATGTTTCTTGTGGTTTTGAGGACCATGACTCACACTTCTGTCCAAAGGATCACCGATGACCTGAAAATTTGAAGACAAAAATAAACAGTTTCTTTTGTGAAAAAAATAGTTAGCAAGACTAAGAAACCAAGTATCTCAGCTGACAACAAAGTTCACGTCTTAATGTACTATATTTTTTGATCAGACAAAAAAAAAAGGTAATTTCTTGAAAATTTATGAGATAATCTTTTTCTCTATCTAAAGAATATTGAATGAAAAGTTTGGGGAAGTAATCTGGCTTGTTTTTCTTTGAAAAGTAAAACTGGAGCAAAAGTTCTGAAACACAGCCATCAAAGTATGCAGTTCCCGAGTTTAGTCATCAGAAATAATGATTTTTAAACTACAATTAAGCCTCCAGTCAGTTGCTTTCAAGACCGATCTACACAAGTCAGTCATTCTTGAAGGCGAGTCTTGGAACTTAACTGTGCAGTGACGTAGAACTGGCTGTTTGCAATGTATTTCTTATAGGAGCAGACAATGTGACATCACACAAGCTGCAGCCGATGTGACGTCACACAAGCTGCAGCCAAGTTAAGGCCGGGCAAGGGAGTGGATATCAACAAGATGCGCAATGAGTGACCTGTTTGGATTGGTCTTGAATGCTTTCTTTTTGATAAAATGATGGAAAATATAAAAAATCTTCTGTCTTAATGATGTTTAATTTGTCCATTTGATCCCTTGTCAAATTGAAGATAGCATTGTTTACCACTTGGTTTAGGAAAGAAATTGTCAATTTGAAAGACCATGAAAAGAAAAGAAAGACGTGAATTGCAAAAAATTCACTTTAATCATTTTTCTTGACTTTCAGCATAAAGAAAAAACTCTCAAAAATCAAAATGCATCACACATTTTGAAATCTATCAACACTATTCTCAAAAAAATTTCAACAAAAAGTTGTAAAAACTAATTGAAGCATTTCAAAATAAATAAATTTTCAAAAAGGAAACAGTGTTTTCTCCTTAAGTTCTTAATGGGTCTGCCCGGTCTGCTGCATGCAAGAGATACAGCCAAGTGAATAGACTTCCTACGAGTAAAATCAAACAAAAACCATGATAGGCACACCTAAAATGTCTGAGAAGAACTTGTAGGTTTACAGTTTGCATAATTTGTAACACACTTTTTCAATTTTACCACTTCTGCCGGCAGTTTTTCTTACTAGTTGGTAATCATGTTTGCACAGAGAGAGAAGCAAGAAAATACCTAACCTAAATCAACAAGCAATGCAACATGTGATTTCAAATGATTTCAAACTTTCGTTTTTGCCAAACAAAAAATAAGATGGAAACAAACGGTCGAGAATGATTGAAATCATACGAGGCAAAACCTTTGCAAGATTGTTTATTTATTTAGATTAGGTTTCCTCATGGATCCTTCTGGGCAAACCTGGTTGCTGGCGACTGGTAAAAAGCTGCCTGCAAACAGGGGAAATTTGAAAGGAACACGTTATAAATTATGCAAAGTGCGTGCTGAAGAGTGGGTTTCATACTTTTTTATGTGCTTGTCATGATTTTTGGTACTCTCGTTTAAAGACTCACAATTTTTTTTGTTTCTTCAACCACCTTCTGGACGAATTGGTCGTAAATACTGGATTCAACAAAAACTCTGCCAGCAGCGATGCAGTTTTCTCCCTTGTTAAAGAACACTCCACCCATACTCTGAAACAGTAAGAAAGTTATTGTGTGTATTGATAAAACCCACCTGGCAATATGATATCTGTTTCCCTTCATTCTTCTCTTCACATAAAAATGTGTCTCCCCTCCAAAAAAGACTCATTTAAACTTGAAAACGGAGAACAAAATCTCATTTGAATCGATTCGCTCAATCCTGTAAAAGAACAATAATCATCTACGCTTGATCTTTGTACTGATCAAATTTAAGGCAGGTTTAAGTTTCAACCAATAGTTGGAAAAACACTTTCCCTATAGCTACCAAACATTGCACACTGCTATACTAAGACGAAATTCTAAATAAATGAGGGACACATGGGAAGCTAATGAAACTGCAGGAATCAGAAGCGAGCTTTATAGAAAGCAAAATGCTGGTGTTGATTTTACAATAGTATTTTAAAACATAATGAAACACTTAGTGTACTACTGCAGAGGGATAGCAGTACTGGACCAGGAACTTTTCCCTCTTCTCAATCATTTTCTGCAAGTGTAATTTTTCAGTTAACCCAACAATTTGGTGCACTAAATTTGCGACCACATTTTTTTTGTATGGAATAGAAATAGACAGGAAAAGGTGGGGACAAGGCTGAAAAACCACACAATAATTACTGGTAACATTGTTTTTAACTTTTGTTTCTTTAGATATTTTAATTCTTTTTGACGGTTGATCATGACCGGGAGACCGATCGGAACGTCCCGTGATTTGTAATTATTGTGTATTTTTTCAACCACGTCCCCCTGTGACAGGGTCATAGTTCATGACTCTAGACATAAATCATTCTCTTCCTCAGGATGTAATGGACAAGACAATCAGTGTTGAAAACTCCAAAATAAGCGGAATGTCACTCTAATGCTTGATGCAAAAATAAACTGATCAATGAAATGACAGAACAAGCCAACTGACTACCTCAAATGAAAGGCTAATAACATACCATTTTAACAGACTTCTCTAAATCGCAGTCACTGAAGATAACGAGAGGGGATTTTCCTCCAAGTTCAAGAGAAACTTTCTTGAGATTAGAGTCAGCTGCACTCCTTAAAATTGAGTGCCCTACCGCTGTGCTTCCAGTGAAACCTATTTTGCGCACTTTTGGATGTTTTGCTAGGGCCTCACCTACTTCTTTCCCTAAAAAAGAAACACACAATGAAGAGTTAATTTCAAGAAAATAATTAGAAAACAACAAACATTTTAGATTGATGAGCCTTATTTGAAATTAGAACCTGTCCCTAATGCTGAGAAAACAGACAAAAAACAAAAATAATCAAATAACTCAGTTGCGCAGGTCATGAAAACGTGTTTTGAAGGCCAAGTTTTATGAATTAATGAAGAAAAAATAAATACCCCTCTGTTGCCAAAGATTTGCATGAACTAAAAATGCAGCAAACATTCTTTGAAAGAGACAGTGGGTCACATACTTTTTAATGGAGCGTAATTTAATGTAAAATTAATTAATTCATTAAGTTTCTGAAAAATACCAGTACTTGTAGATTCTAGGTTTCACTTTATCGGAGCTGCCTCTGTAATTAAAAAAAACTCAGCATTTTACCTCTATAATCCGAACCTCTTAAATCCCGGCATTTCTCCTGATGTGCCCTCTTTGATTTGAAACCTTGATAATTCTAACAAATCCCGATTTCCCTTGAATTTCGAATTATCAAGGGGCATCTGTATATGTACAGGGGAAATGCTGTCATCTCTTAATTTCTGATTTAGCAAATAATCAATGTGCGATAGAAAAGGGGGCGATTCTTGAAAGATGACAAAACTGGGTTTTATTCGTTAAAATGTACGTGAAACAAGGAATATTCATCAAGACGAACTGCCTAATTTGGACTTGATTATTTATGATGGATTCGAATGTGGGAAAAACAGTGTTACCAACTTACGATAGCTGCCACTGATGTTATATTACCTGTTCCAGGTATAATATTGATCACGCCAGGAGGAAAACCTGCTTTTACAGACAGTTCGGCAAACTTCAAGGCAGTCAATGGAGTGACTTCTGCAGGTTTTAGAACAACTGTATTGCCTGCAGCTAGACACGCTGCCATTTTCCAAGAAAGCATCATCAAGGGGTAATTCCAAGGAATGACTAATGCACAAACTCTATAGAAAGCAAGACGGAGAAAGAGATAAAAAACAAAGTAATGATTGAGCGCTGGACCGGGGCTGAAGCGCAGGTCGCAGATGGATTTGTATAAATAAGCACCAAAATACGTAATAATCGTAATGAAATGCGTAATGTTCTCAATTCCTTTTTCAAAGGTGGGATATCCGTAAGCGCCATTTTTGAGCCCACCCTGAATTTCCTAGACTCGATGATTTTTTGCTCATTGAAGGTCTACCTTCGGTGGACAGCATCATGATTTGGTCATTTTTGGGTCTTGTACTGACCTGAGCATGGGTCTGAACACCGATTTTGATGAAAAATATGAGTTTAGCGAGTTTGCGATCGAATGCCGAAAAATCTGTATTTTCCGCCAAAATCGGCCGTCAGACCCATGTTTAGGCCAGTATTACCTGAAAAAAGATCGGAAATGACCACATTACGATACACTCGATAAAATATGGAGCTTCAGTGAGCAAAAAATTGTAGAATGGAGGAAATTCTAAAGCGAGCCCAAAAACAGCCCTTATCGATACCCCTCCGTTGCATGATAAGGTTGTGTGGCAAAAATGCCAAATTGCTAGAAATCGTTGATATACATGGACTTTTTGTACACCAAGTTGTTTCCTTTTTTCAAAGGTAAGGAATCTTTTTTAAAGGTGCATATTTTGATTGGTTTATGTACAGTTAAAGTTACATCCTTACGTGAATTTTATGCTTACTTGCTCTTCTTTAACAGAGATTAAATGGACAGAAAAGTGGTTTGGCATAAAAATCTCTCATCAGTTTTGGCTGATTTATGAATATGAATATCAATCAATAAAACGAAATTTTGTGAATAAACTACTGACTATTTCAAGAAAAAATTTTACGAAGCAGAGCCGTGCAAATGTCCAGGTTTTTATGGGTAATTATGGGGAGATAGCCACTCTGACTGCTTAATGAGTACTGACAAATGTTTAATGTTGTTTTAAAAAAATTTCATATAAGAGCGCAATACATCGCCACCTTCCAGGCAAAGTATCACAAGCGCCATGCGACGTTTAAAAATTTCCGCCGCCATTTTATTTTTTTACAGAGAAATTGTTCAACGAAGCTGTCCGAAAATTTCACTGAATTTTCTTTGTGCTGCCGATAAAATTTAGTGAAATTTCCAAACAGATTCAACCAACAATTTCTCAGTAAAGAAATAAAATGGCGGCGGACATTTTTAAACGTCGCATGGCGCTTGTGATACTTTGCCTGGAAGGTGACGACATATAACGACAATTTTCAAAATTACCCCTCACCTGGACCAGAGCAACTATGATCAAATTTTATTGAATGAAAAAATAGATGTGAGCTTTTATATATTTTGCATCATTAATGTTAATTATTGGCATTGGTGATTAATCCAACAAAATTAAAATGCACTATGCTCTCATCCCTGGATTGGAGAGACTTGCAATAAAGAAACTTTTAAAATCTTGCTCTTCCTACGGAGCAAAGAAAGACAAATCAATAAAATGAGCTGGCTGAAGGGAGTGAATCGAGAGAAAATTGAGGAAAACAGGAGGTAGGTTGGAGGGGAAAAAGTGTGGAAGAAAATCTTAAACGAAAGAAATCTATTATTTCTGCATCAAATTCATACAGGTCCTTCGTGGATCTGAAATGTGTCCTCAAGTTTTACGTTTCATGTGGCACCTTCCCCAAGTAGCTCATCCAAGGGAGTAAGGATTTATTGACAACTTTAATTTCATTCTTTGGTTAAAAAATGGTCCTTCTCCATTGATTTCGTAACATTCAATTGCTTAAAATAATTTTTACTTGATGGCAATTTGATTGAAACAAGTTTAAATTATTACAAATTATTCCTAATAATTTCAACTTCTTGAATCAACAGTACTGGTGATACCTCTAAAAATTGCAATTCTATCTCAACTCTCTTCCAACTGCTCCCTTGAGGTCAACTCCTTGCCCTCATAATGCAATAATTGGACTTTGCCATTGCTATTAATCCCAATCAATACTACTTAGGTTAAAGACACATTATGACGATTTCTAGAAGAGATCAAAGGAGGGCATTTCATTGCACAGGGCAATGGGAGTAAAGAAAAAGAGAATTTTTGTGAGGTGTGAATAAAATGGCGGAGAAGATAGAACGGAGACACATGAAGGTGTTACAATGGAGGAACAAAAATTTACCAGAACATTGAGAAGCAGAAGACATAAGCTGAGAATCTAGTGCTACACACCCAAATGGCTCTTTGACCGTGTAGGTGAGGTTATGGTTCGGTCGAGCGTGGCTGATAGGAATTGTGGAGCCTTGTATTTTATCCGTCCAACCTGCAAAATAGCGCCACGTTTCGATGGACATACCAATGTGTGTTTTAAGCGCCAGAGTGTAGACTGCACCGGAGTCCATGGATTCTAGGGTAGCAAGCTCTTCCTTATGCGCTTCCATCAAGTCTGCTAGGCGGTTCATAAGGACCCCTCTGTCTCTACTGCTGATTTTTGACCATTCACCTTTGTTGAAAGCTGTGCTAGCTGCTTCTACAGCTGTATCTACATCAGCTTCAGATGCACATTGAACCTGATTGGAGCCAGAAGAAAATGGAAATAAAAACTCTATCAAAATAGCAAGTTTGGGAAAGAGCCCATCACTTTTAAGGAGGGAACTGAGATGATGACTGCAGGGCGGAAGTTTAACTTTTCTCGATGTTACTCTATGTGCTGCAGTAAAGAAATGACGGAACGTAAATAGAATTTTGCAGGAGGATTTATATTGTTCAAGATACATTTATAAGGGGCTCTCATTAAATTACCAAAATGCTTAAGAGAGATGGGTGAATTGACAAGTGTTTTTGTCAAAATAAAATGACTTTACAAAGAGCAGGTATGTTAGAACACAGTGTATCATACATTTTTTACATGATTTTATACACTTAATATTGGGCAATTAAACCGAGAAACTGCCAGTTTTTATAATTCACTTTTCATGTCTTAAATGTAATACCTCCGTAATCCTAGTTTTTGAAGAGTGGTGTTAATTTTTAATTTTAAGATTCTTCAAAAATTAAAAATTTAACTTATTTATATTTTATTTTATTAATATTTTTTTAGACAATATAATTTATTTAATTGAGACTAGGTAATCTTAAGTTTAACCGCAACTGCTAACACTTAGTTAGCTGATAATATACATTCCCCTTATGCTTGTCTCTAATGGATAGAATTCCGTGGGGCCGTACTGACTTGCAAACAAGGGCTTGATTTTGTGGTTCGATTTTAAGACTCTATTAGGCTCCGAAGGCCATCAGGGACATCACATCAAATAATATCAAAATTTAGCTGGCGCCAAATTTCTTGATACACCACCTGCAATCCTTTCGTTGATGCTGAGCCCCTTCATAATCTGTATAGTACCCTTCAACTTTACATAAATTGTAGACAGCCACCAAGATCCGATTTGCAAAATTGCTGGTTTAATTACCTGACAAATAAGACTTTCATCTGCAGGGTTGATACAGTCTAGTGTCTGACCTGAGGCTGAGTTAACAAACTTCCCATTGATAAACAGCTGAGTAGGGAATCGAAGCTCGAGATTATTGACTTGAATATCTACTCCATCGTAAACACATGATTTTTCCGATGAACTCTGCCTGGATGTGAGAATGACTTCTTGACAGAAATCCTCAAAAGCAGGGTTCATATAAATTACTTCATTTTGGAGAGAAATCTTCAGTCTGTCTTTAATTTCCTCGATTAATCTGCAAACCGACAAAATTACTTCATGTTATAGGCGGCAAATGCGAATAAAAATGAAGACTGATTCAGCCTGATATCTAAAAAGCAATAATCATAACAAGTTGCAGTTCAGTTGATAGGTTATTCCACTTTTATTCACTGCACTTAATTGAAATAATATCTGAATCAAAACTCGTCCTTTACCGCTACTTATGCATTGTATGAAAAGAGAGATGGGGATCGGTCAGTTTCAAAACCTGAAAGGTCCATTTTCAAATGAGTTCTGACAGGTAGATAATCAGTCTTGTGACCTTTGAGAGACATCAGAAAACAGACTTGCCAGGTTTTGAAATTTGCTGACTCATAAGAGTCATTAATTTTACCTGACTACATCCATGGATCCAGCCCCTGAGCCGAAGAAATGAGTAGACTCTGTGATGTCATTATTCAGAATACTCTTCCAGATGGATTTCAAATCACCAATGAGTTTTTCTTCTGTTTCTGTGAACTGAATTTTCTCGGATTTTGAGTTGGCGTTGAAAAAGTCTGCTGCTTTGATCATCTTTCCGCCTATTGACAGTCGTTCTACATTAACCTGTCCGTAAAAAGAATAATTTAACCTGTAAATATTGAAGATTGAATAATGACCAAGCTTTGAAAGAGAATGTTACCCAGTTGGAACTGGTCAGGTTTCATGACGGCTTCTCGAAGCCACAATCAAGGACTTTGACAATTTCCCAAAATACAATGATAATAAAAAATTTACAAATTTGAAAATATTAAATGTTTTTTCAAGATGTCATGAACCCTTAAAAGGTTCCTTTGAAGTACTGTCCAGAAGCGAAATTTAAAGTAAGGTTTAAATGATTTGGATGAGAGACATTCATTTTAGAACCACTTTATTATGATACATTTAAGCATTTAAATGCCTCAGCATCTTTGATTTAATTAAATACTACTTTCTGGATTCTTACAAATGCAGTTGAACTTGTTAGAATATGATCAAAGCCATACAGAAATGCGTACCAATTTTTTATCGGAACCAACTATTATCAGACCCTTCTCATGAACGAGTCCTTCCCCTTCCATTCCTGATATTTGCAGTGCTGTACCTTGCGGCAATGTTCCTTGCCACAACGATGCACCAAACATTCTAACTTCCTCGCCATTTACAGTTGTCCAAGCACCGGGAGCGCTATCCAAACCACGAATAAAATTATACAGCTCTTCTGCGGTTTTTGACCAGTCTACCTGCAGAAACAGATGAAGCCAATACAGATATAAACATTAGGATAATTAGGACTCATAGATTTGATTATTTCGAGGATTGACTATGTGATAATTAATCAATTTCCCAGAAAAAATGAAGAGTGTAAGTTTTTACTGAAGTTAGCTCATAATAAAAACAAAAGGCATAAACAAAAGAGAGGATATATAATAATCAATTCAAAGCAAATACTTCATCTCATCTAAATGGGCAGACTGCGACAAACATCAATTCATAAGCCAAACAAATTTCTTGCTTATGACATAGCAGCCAACAAGAGGGTAATTTCAAAGGTTGAGGATACGAGCTCTGAAAGTAGAAGTTTCCATCTAGTCAAACTCAGTGAGTATTCATCATTAACAAATTAATATCAGCAGACTCGTACGGTTATGTCCTGGAAAAAAATGTCAGAAGAATAAAACTTACTTGCTGTAAACTTTTTTTTCGGATCGAGGGTTCAAAGGAAACGTTCTCAGTGCTTTGAGCAATTTTAGGAGCTTTATTGTTGGCTACCAGTGTCACCGCTTCAACCTGAAAAAAAGAATCGCCACTCATTGACAGAGAGATTATAAAGTACACTTAGAAATACAGTAAGCAAAAACATCACGCTTTAAGGTTACAGAATAAATGTAATTCCAGAGTTTTCAAAGTTCCTGACTTTCCAAGGATGACACACAAACATGTTTCCTGCAGCATAAATTTAGTGTAAAGTTTAAGCTCTGTTGAAAGTATAGATGGGCCTGATCGGAGTCTTTCAAACGTTTTGATGGAACCAAAAAGTTCAAGTTTTTAGAGCAAAATTTCCTGTCTTTCCCCAATGGTTTTTCAGTTGAGTTTAATTAACTGACTTCTCCAAATTTTCTTAGTCCTCTCGAGAACTTTTCACACTGAATTTTTCAAGTAGTTATATATAAGTGAAAAATTTGCGAAATTGAAGTAATCTCAGGGGATGCACACTTACATCAATAGTTTAAAGGTTGATGAAGATAAAGAGGGAAAAATAAGAGATTATCATGTCGAGACGGAAAAAAAAGTGGTAATTATAAAAAAATAGGATGACCTTATAATTTAAATCTTTTGTGTACTTCACAACTTTCTATACCTAATTTTCACCAAACTGACAGAGACAACAGCCGAACAGCTCATTACAAATAGAGTATGCGATACGAAACTGTGAGGGTGCTCATACTGTCACCCTCCTGACACAGGGGCGGAACTGCTTTTAGAGTTAAGCCCTATTGTTGTATAACTCCATGCTTTAAAGGGCTAACATGGCAATGGAGATATATCTCCATGTCAGAGAGACGGCAATATGTTGGTGGCTCTGAGAGAGGCTGTCCAAGGGGCAGGTCAGCCCGGAATAAAGAAGTTCACATAATAATGCGGCCTGAGCAACTGTCGGGAACTGAGAGTTATCGATCAAAATCAGCAAGCAGCTTACATAAGAAGATGCGTAGGAGATGCAGGCTAATGGACCACTAGACAAGGTACGAATTTAAGCATTCTGATACATGTTTCCAAACCAGAATTTCACGTGGAACACGACTTGCGCAATAAAAATTACTGAAATCAACTCCTAAGGCAGATATTAACGTTTTTATTTCACACTGGTTAAGAGGAATTTGAACTGCCCGCTCACAAGAAACTCAAAGCTCTACGTGAGTCAAATCGCGCACTAGAACGGTTCCAACAAGCTTCTCAATCAAGTAATGTTCATTTCCCACCATGTGTTATTCAAACTATAAACAATTTGCTACAGCTGAGCCAAAGCGTCAAGATTGAGGTTGCCAGATTTTTATATCGCAGAGACTGTTATGATAAACGTTTAGCGCGCGATGTGAATCACGTAGAGCATTGAGTTTTCATGAGTGGATGGTTTGAATTCACGCATCAAGAATTATTGAATATCTTCGGAAGGAGTTGATTTCGGTAATTTTCGTTGTGCGCATCGTGTTTCACGAGAAATTTTAGTTAAGATAAATGTATCAGAATGCTTAAATTCGTACCTTGTCTAGTGGTCCATTACAGCAGACATGTGATCTGTCAAGGTGCCACAAAGATATAGTGACCATGGAATCCTTAAGATGTTGATCTTTTCCATAAAAAAGGTATCAAAATAATGAAGTATCAAAACATTTTTGCCCAAGGGACAATCATGCCTTTTTGGTAAAAATGCAATATATTCATGCCTTCTGCACTATAAAATATATGACTGGATAATCTTTTCAAAGTAGATTTCTGCATGATAGCCCAGCAACAGCATATTAAAGATTCATTGTTTATCGATTTCACAATCGGAGTGAAAAAAATAGTGTTGTTCTTCACTCGTCGATAAAGTCATTGAAATTGCGCTCAGGTGGTGTTGTTTCTTAGACAACAAAATGTTAATTAAAACTGATTTCATTAAGATGGAATGGGAAAAGGCTTTAGTGAATAATTCAACTTACCATTCCGAGAATTCCTTGAGGGTAGAGAAATCGATTGTACAAAGTATCAACAGTATCAGTCGGTTCTACTTTACAAGATTTTTGAAGTAAAATTGGACCAGTATCGAGACCATCGTCTGCCCAAAACACAGAGAATCCAGCTTCTTTGTCTCCATGGATTAGAGTCCTGCACATGAGGATATCAAAACTGAATCGATGATTCTCAACATATTACAAGTCCATATTAAAATTGCTACCAGTGCAATAAGACACTTTAAAATAAGGAGATTTATAGGAATTACACATTAAATTTTTTCGAGAAATACAGGGATTGCAAAACACACAATACCACAATATTGATAGCAAAATTCGAGAAATGCATGAAGTCTCAATTGCAAAGTTTGAAAATCTCCAGTTATATTTTATTTTCTTCAGAGAAAATTAATCAGGACGTTCTTAGCGATTTTGTGTGATTTTTTTCAAAAGGAGTGAAGAAAATTCACAGAAAATTTCATCAGAAACTTTTGGTTAATTTTCCAAAAATAAATAAATAAATAAATAAAAAGAGCAGAGACTTACAGTAGTTACAGCGTTGCAATCTTACACCTTTTTAACCATTTATACCTTGACCATCAGTGGGAATTTCTTCTCATTGATAAAATATAAGCTAAATTTATGTACTTATTTTTGGATGAAAATGTATTAATATTTGGCTCTGTTCATGAATTTCTATTATTTTTGTTGCATATTATAGTCAGAAAAATGTTTTTAAACACTTTAAATGGGTAATCTTGTAAAAGGTAGAAATTTCCTTTTATACACGAGGATTTTCAGGATGGATTGGCTTATGGTTCTAAAAGTAAAAGAAAACCGATCCCCTCAAGAATGTCACTTCATTACCTTCTCAGACTAAAGTAATGACCAAGAATGCAACAAAATATGTTTTCAGCGCAAGGGCACTAAAAATTTTCAAGAAAAGAAAGACCAATTTGGAAGGCAACTTACCAATTAATAGCTGAAGCACCACGATGCCTAGGGAGAAGGGAAGGATGATAGCAAATAGTTTGAAACTGAGGGTAGTTTATTACTTCCATTGGAATGAATTGAGCACAAAAAGGCAATACATTCAGTTGCGCGCCAGTTTCTTTGTACAGATTTACAATCTCTGGAATGGCATCTTTCCCTTTCCGCCAGTTGGATATTTTAAAAACAGGGATTTTATCAGCAGCCGCAACAGAGGCTGAAATGGGAGTACAAAATCGGTCAGAAAATCCTGAGTTGGTCCTTCTATGAAATAACTTGGAACAGAATAACATCAGTATCTAATCAAATTTGACCTATTCCATAGAGGAATGAGTAGACACTCAAGACATGGTTTTCTCCAAGACAGTGTAACTGAAGGTTGGGACAGTTAAATTGTTAGGCAACAATTATCGTTTTACCACAAAAATTCAAAGGCAAGATTGCAAGATCCAGAATTATGAACACCTTTAATAAAGGCAAGAAAATTGTGGAGAGCCTGGGCTTTTCCCTCTTTTCGTTTATTTTAAGCAATATTGCTTCATTGGGCATTTTCTCTAAATTTAAATTATCATGATTAAATAATTGGTTCTTTGGGATACTGCTAAAATATGGAAAGTTTACTTTGGGTAGGGAAAAAAAGACCAGATTGGGGGTTTCTAGATCATGAGTACTGTCCACTGAGCCATTGAGCCACTTTGCAATATTGGTGGACATCTCCTCTTATTTCAGTCATATTTTAGATTATTGTGATGGAAAAATTTGAAATGTATTTCTACGGAACTTGCTGTAGTTTGCCCCCCCCCCCCTCAAAAAAAAAAAAAAAAATTTAAGCCTTCGCAGCAAAACAGATGAGGGGCAATCTCTAGTTAAGGATGGGAGTGCATTTCAGAGATAACCAGTGTTATCCTTGTGTTGCTCGCAAAAATTTACCCATGAAAAATTACTTAAATTGAAAATCCTAGACACATGCAAGAGCTTCATTTTGAATGATGCCCGACAGGAGTTTTTTTTCTAACCATAAAAGAACTTTACCGAGAGGGTCTTCTCGACTGCCTTGGTCAGGAACTGTGAACACACCCACGACTTCATGTCCATTTTTTCTTATCAGCTTATACACTTCTGAAGCAAAAGTGCTCTGACCAATGATAGCTATCTTCAATTTGTTGCTTGTCATCTGAAATTAAAGAGGAAAATTATTGTGACTGCTTCAGATTAAAACATTTGTCAAATGTGTTGGTGGTATACAGGTAGGAAAAAATGGAGAAACAGACTTGATATTTAAAGTTAGGTAATATTATCCTTCGGGATTGGTTCAAGATCGTCCAAGGGGGAGAAGGGCATTAATGCCAAAAACTTGAAACTGAGAAATTGATACAGCTGTTAGTGGATTTTTTTCTTAAGAAAAAATTCTGGCAGGAAAAAAAACTGAAAATGTTTAACTAAACCGCAGTCATGCTGGTTCTTGAATTTTCCGGTTCGAAAAATATAGTTAGAAGAAAAAAGCTAGTTTTAATCTGCCAAACTTGAGCTGAAAATTGTTTGAATGTAGAGTAATGTTGAGCCTTTCTTGGCAAATAATAAATTCTACTGACGAAGATAAATTTTTTGGGAGTAATAGAGAGTACTTCATGTTAAAAACTGCAACTTCGATTTTTTAAGCTAATTTGATGAAAATCACACTTCTTATAAATTTGCAATTATCTACTTGGGTTTCTTTCCCTGAGGACAGGAATAATAATATAAAAGGGTTTTAAACAGCTGCAAATAACAGGGTAGAAAAAAAGATCTACCCACCGTAAATCCTTCAAAACTATTACTGAAGTATCTAACAAAGTAGGTAGGTACAATTGAAGATGCTACACAAGAGCTTGGCACTAACTGAAACTATAAGCTACTTAAATGTTAGTGTCTGCTCTTAAAGAGGTTTGAAAGTTCCAATCCTCAAGTTTTTAAATTATTACCTTCCTACAGACACTTGAAAACAAAATTATCTTATCAACGAGTAGCTGCTCACCTGAAAACAAGTTTTCAAGTAAGTAAATCAGAGCTAAATGGTGCTTGTCTAGATAAAAGCAGGAGGAGTGTGGTGATATTCATGATAAGAAAAATGGTAGGGAGCACTGATCTCTTGAACAAAGGAACGTGAGGCTCAGATTATCTCTACCTGCAACCGAGTGCGACTGCTACCTAGGTTCAATGCAACCACAGATGAGGTGACTTGATAAGTTACCTATTTGGTTTCCTTTCCTTGAACTTTTCAGGTATTTGGTGAAGGATGATTGGTTCAGTGAAGAGATGTGTCATACCTGAACTACCCAAGGGGTAAAAGTTCCAATAAATTGCATTGCGAGGTAAAATTATAGCTACTGCATCCGACCATTGTGTAGGTTGCCTGTCTACTAATGGAAGGGGAATTGAAATTTTTTGCAGTTGAGGTGATTCTATGGGCGCCATATTTTGTGTAATCTTTGACATGCAATATATTGCATATATTTGTTTCTTTCATGTTGTAATACCTGTATAATGTACCTGTAAACCACCTGTATAATGGCTGTGATTGCAGCTTTTATGTACGAGAATTTCGAAAAAAAATAAAAATGTTTTCAGCTACTTGTCATTTGTATCAAATTTTGAGATCGCATTTCTTTTGTCACAAAGATTGAAGAATTTACTTATCAAATGTAACAAACAAATTCAACAAAATAAAGGCAGGGTTTCTTAGATGAAAAATATCGCATTCAAGTGCAGTTTTGATAACAGTGTCGAATGCGATAATGTGCCTCTAAAATGACCCTGCTTTTAATAAGTTGAATTTGTTTGTCAAATTTGATAAGTTAGGTAATTCTTCAGTCACATGACAACAGAAATCCGATCTCAACATTTTATAAATTGACAAGTAGCTGAGGACATGCGACTAATCAATGTGATACATCACACATCGTTCTAACACGAAATAGGATGTCTATCGAATCACCTAAACTTAATCGCAATTTTTCTCTGTATTACAGATTGTCTACCTTTCAATTACATAGGACTCCTTCTAATCACCAAGTGGAGAAGTTCATCTCATGTTTTAGCTTCCAGACATGGAACCCAGCAAAATGATTTATTTGAGACATTGCAATGCTCCTTGTTCTTGCAAGGTTAATCTCCGAAAATTTTACAGGGAACGGTCACTCGAGTACTTGGTCATCTTTAAGCTTTTTTTATAGGTTCAGCTCCATTCGTTACAAACTCCGAAGTCAAAGTTTCTTTATCATACTTGAGCTCTCAATTTTTCGACAGCGTAAGTCCGCAATCACATATCTCGTATGCAGTGTCTGAAAATATCCACCTCGATCTATGTTATTTTTCTGAAGGAGAACAAATTGACGTCATTCCTGGATGTTTATGCAGAATTTTCTTCGCATAGAGAGGAAAAATCGCGCCGTTGGGTAGTTTTCCGTTTAAAAAAAAGGTATGACAGGAAATCTGAGACGTCGCTAACTAAGTTATGTGATTGCCGACTTGCACCATCAACTTTAAAAAAGTGCTTACATCCATCCCAATTTAATCTAGGGACTTTCCTGAAAAGTCAGTCCACGAAATTGCAGTGTTCGTATAACTGTCTTTTGTCAATGTGTAATGAATCCTTAAACCGTAGCTCGCATCGATGGTTGATCATCGAGAGTACCTGTATAAATGTAGCTAATGAGTGGAAATTAAAAGACTAAATCTATTCTGAAAAGCTTGGATTTGGGGATACAAACCTGTGAGGAGAAACCTCTGCTCCCGAAAGATTGTGATAGGAACCCTATGCAAACAGGGATCATTTTCCGATTTTTATTCATTTCTGACGGTACTGGTGGATGGATTTGAACTCGGCAAAAATTCGAGAGGGAGTATATCTTTGAAAAAACAAAACAGCCTTAATTAAAAAAATACCCTTGGATAATTAAGTAGCTACATCTTGAATCTGATAAAACTGATAATATGAGATCAACAAAAAAGTGAATGGAGAAACCAAAGACAGCCATCCAATCATTCACGTGGCCATAGCCGCTGGCTTAGTTGCCAATGGTAACGACATTGTTGTCTAAGAAGGCAAATAAACATTAAAAAGGTATGTCAGAAAAATAAAATTGCGCAATTATATGGTACTTATGACAACCCTGTTTCGACGTTACTTTGAAACACTTCCAAAACACGGAACGACAGCAGGGGGAAAATAATGCTTAATAAGTTAATCACAAAATTAAATGCTTTCTGTTGGAGCCAGAATTACTAATCAAGCCTTAATCTTCAATGATCTACAATAATTTAGTATGAAAACGTATTATTTTGTTGTAGTTAGAAAAAATATATTAAATTTAAAAGGCCCGGGCTGAGAGATTTGCAGTGATGCAGGCGCTATTTCAAATTCTTGCACAGGGCGGTCCTTGCAGTAGCCTTCTCCGTACTCTGTGATGTTTTGTTGTTTGACGGAGCCTGTAATTTGTATTCGTGATAGTGTAGTGGTTTCTGATACCGGATTAATTGGTAACTTTCCACAATTCTTCTACCATCATTCTTCAATCTTTTTCGCTAATTATCACTCTCAATTCCCATAGCCTATATAATGCTTCGTCTACATGAAAAGTTTCCACGCGTAATGTGACGGTCCACGTGCAAGTTCGTACCACGATCACTGACCCTCCATAGACTGTCTGTCGGGCATTTTGCCATAGTCAACAACCATTCAACCCTTATTGTCTTGGCAATCTCTTTATGCTTGCGTTTTTTAAGCTTGCAGCTTTCTGTTTCCTCGTAAGGCTCGTTTTCCTCATTCTATTGAACATCCACTTTCATGCACCTGCCAGTTAACGATCAGCACTGTGATCGAGGTTATTACATCATTCCTACTAAATTGAATGCGTTAGTTTTTCAAATTGTTCCTTGGATATTTCATTGCTCTGCAAGAATTAAAACTTATGGCTCATCAAAAGTAAAGTGCACCAGTGTTGGCCATATCCGTCAACAATGTTCGCCTGAGTCAACAGGTAGAGACGATAGGTGCATAGCATAGACACTACCAAGCTTTGATCTTCTTTGAATCAAGTCTTTATAGCATTGATTGAGATACTTTCCACAAGTGATGCCATTTCATCTTGATTAATTTAATGTGATGATTTTTACCTTGTGCACAGTGTGCAAAGGAGATGAAATCAGTGTACTAAGTGAGAAGCACAGCCTCCGATTCTCATTGTCTCATCAGATGCTTTAGACAGAAGGATGCTCTCTGATTCTCTTATCTAGTTATCTGGCTTAGATAAACACACTTTCTGATGGAGGAAATTTGAAGCTCATTGAGAGATTGCTGCCCCTGCACTTCTGAATTTGCCGGTTCATACAAGTTTGGGGGTGGTTGACTGAATTTACTACACTTTGTGCTGAATTTAATATTTTAAATGAGAGATAATAGGACAAGCTGAAGCAGAAGGCAATTTGCCGTTCTCTCTCAACAAAAGATAATTAGGACCGGATCTTAATTTGAAACAGTTGCATAAAGTGTTAAGAAGACATTTCGAAGTGACTGTCAAATTTGTCGTCAGTTCATCCTTTTGAAAATCATTTTATAGTATAGCCCCTCAAGAATGTGCACTGAGTATTCTCTTGCTTTTCAGGTGGGCGCAGTTTTTGCAGAACACAATGGAGTGAACGCTTAATTCTTATCTACCCAAACTGAAGTCTGTGGATTACAACTTCCCACGGTATGAATAATCTACCTTCCTTTATCACTAAGTTTACAGTAACATATGTCTACAAGCAGCAAACAAGTTGTGAAACAGCATTATCACCAATAATAGAAGATCACAGAAGTATGAGAGTCAAATCAAAAGTTAATCTTTACATAAACTGATTTCTTTTGAAAATATCCTAATTGCGTGCTGAAATATGAGACAGCCTTATTTAGGTACAAAGTCTCAGGAAAATGGGAAATTCAGGAATTTTTGTACGAAATCTTAGAAACTTAGGAAAATCAAGCGCTTAAATTTGTTATCCTAAAGCTTCAAAGCTAGTCTGGCAATATTAGTAATTTTATGACCAATTAGCGAAGAAAAACATGGATTTTTTGGAATGGAAAGCTAATAGCCATCCTGTTGGTGCTATCACAACTGTCTTAGGTTTTTCAGCTGCCGACATATCGTACAAAATCCTAAAATACGCTAAGTTTTTTCATGGAAATAACACAGTGTTGATTTTTGTACAATTTATTCTTTAAAATTTTCTGAAAGTGTTCGATACTGAAAAACTTACAGAAATTACAACTTAGCTCTTGTAGAATTGGAATTTTATTTTGATTGAATACAAGTTATTAACAGCTACTATATTCGATTGCAAAAATCTGCCTGTATTGGAGCCCTATCATAGTATTACAGAAAGATTTTTGTCTTTTTCAATATAAGTTGGTTATTCAGATATTTTTAGGCACCGGAAATAGGCTTAAATAATTGAAACCTAATCTCATCTTGATGGATATTATTGGTGCTAGTTGTAGGATCAGGACCGGAGGTGTCAATCATGAACGAGGAAATCCTAGCAGTGGCCCAGCAGCTAATCTATGCTGTCGAGCTTTCGGTGAATCCTCTGGCCGACCAGCAGGCCCGCGCCAAAGCTTATCATGACTGCGAAGTGTTTAAGGAGGAGTCGCCGGTCTGTTTCCATTGCGGCCTGTACCTCGCTCAACGGCAAGATCTGTCCCCAACAGTGCGCCATTTTGGACTTCAACTGATTGAGCACTGCATCAAGTACAAGTGGTATGACATGCAACAAAAGGAGAAACTCTTCTTGAAGGTATAATTACTTGTTTAAATAAAGTAATATCATTAATCTTTCATATTTCAGTGAGACATCAAAATTTCTTTCTTAGGTCCCTGGTGGTGAAGCTCTTCAAGCTATATAATGAGAAGTTTGAAGACCTTGATTTTTTTTCCGTTTATCTCTCAGGAACTTTAAGTTTTTAGTTACATGTTTAGCCGTTATAATTTATTCTTGTTTGTCGTCAGTAATTGTAGCTTTTTTTTACTAAACCTCTTTGGAACCTCTATTTTTTAAAGATTGCTCTTTTCTTTGGTGAAAATTTTCTCCATGGATAATGTAAATGAGTATATCAAACAATCAATGACTGAACTAAATCTGGTCCCAGGGGTGCAGAATATTCTAAGCTTCCCCATTTTCCACAATTATCGTTCAAAAGTTCAGGTGAAAACAAAAGAATTGCAAGTGAGGAATAATAATGATTCATGCCCAGTTATTGTTCTTAATTCATGTTGGAAGTAATCTTGGAGTAGTCATCATTTAGTCCTTTCTTAGTATTCTACTCAGCTCGAAAAAATACTGTCATCAATGGATTCCATTCTTTCCTTCATTTACGGATTAATATTTTTCCAGAAAGGTAGAACATAAATCTGAATCTGTCTTCTTTCTTATTCCAGGAGAACATAATGGAACTGCTGGGTGCAGGAATGGAGCCATTGCCTGCACAAAACAGCACCTTACTCCAAAATGCACTATCTCGTGTCATTGTCGAAATGATCAAACGTGAATGGCCGCAGCAGTGGCCAACCCTCCTTCAGGAACTGCATGGCGCTTGTAACAGAGGCTGTCCTCAGACTGAGATTGTTTTGCTCATTTTCTTGCGTTTAGTAGAGGATGTTGCTCAATTGCAGGTATTTTTTCAGTTAGAACTCAAAACGCCCAGTAACAATAGTCGGATGATAAAAAATCAGTGCGATTGTCATGAGAAATGGAAATCGCTTTTGTTGGTAAAACTCATATTTTTCTGTTGTTCCAAGATTGTCATCTTAATTCTCCGACTATCTGAAAGTCAGGTTCTTTGGGAACATTTTTAGTTCTTATGATGTATTTTAAAGAGGAAAGGCCGAGGAACATCAATAAAGCACAATCTTTAAATCTTTTGAGGAATGTCTGAGCTGTACCAATAAATTTTATTGCATTACTGAAATTTGTAACAGATGAAACCGAGAATAAATCATTGATTATTTTAGGTACGACATGTTACATGTGTTAGGTTAGGTGTGTGGTATGTTAACTTCGTCTTGGATGGAATCACCAAAATTTGACCTTTTTATTAAAGACCCTAAGTATCTAGTAGGTGAATTTGGCTTAAATTTAATCACATAAGGGCTGGATCGTAAGAAATTTAATGTTCAAGCCCTGCTGTAAATTGATAACTGGTCGTTAAAATGTGAGACGTTGGCCTTGTGCAGGTAGAATGTATTTGCCATTTCCACTTGTTAGTTAAATTGTAATGTAGAATCAGGAGGGATTTCTCACGCTGTAGCAAGTTTAACAAGCTTTTCATCCTCTTTTCAGAACCTGGAGTCTGCTCAAAGACGTAAAGATATCTATCAAGCCTTGACTACTTACATGGCTGATATTTTCACTTTCTTCATGGACCTGATCAGTAAACATCACTCCCTGGCAACTGCCTCGCAAGGTCACCCAGTAGGCCAGCAACACATCAGGATTGTGCAGGTAAGAGGCTTTTCATCATCTACACATTTGTTCATGATAACAGGGGAGGGGGGGGGAGGAATAACAGGCAGTCACCGTGCAACAATTAAGAATCTCTAATAATGTTCTGTGTGTTCCTGTGAAACTGATCGATCTTGCTTTGCAACTGTGTGTAATCTTTTTTAGAATCAATGAAGAAATGCTCCAAAAATTTCAGTAGAAGGTATTGGTAACTTTTCCTTTAATTATAGAATAAGAGCAGAGACTTACAATGTCACAATCTCGGAAATGCATTTTTTTACTTAAGCCATCAAAATGGGGATACATCATCAGTCAGAGAACCACTATGAGAACATCCATGGCAACAAATTAGTAGAGATGTGTCTCCCATGGAAGCTACAAGTGAATAATATACAGCATTTTCATAAAATAGCAGACATATGTAGCCAAGACATTTTGTTTGTCAGTGCACACGGTCGGTTTATACAAATCCTTCAAAAGTAAGTAGGATAATGGAAAAGAGAGGGGAAAAAAAACAGGATGGTAAAAATTTATGCCAAAAATACTGTATGGCCAAAGACCAGATGTGGTGCTCTGATGTGGTGGCTCTAAGAAGAGCCGTTGAAAAGGGCAAGCCGGCCGGCTGCGAGATGTCCGCTGGGATGAGTGATGTGACCCGTGTGGCTGACAGGAGCGGAGTGTCTTGAGGCGGTGAGGTCACGGCATATATAGCCGTGGTTGAGACTGCGGCGGCCAATCAGGAGCGAGCATGGGCTGCGTCGCCAGAGGTGAGCGGTGATTGGCCGCCACAGTACTTCCCTGCGGTTGAGACGGAGTCTCTGTGGGTGGTTGAAGAAGTGAGTGGTGAAATTGGATGTTGGAGTGGAAACAGGCTTGGAAAATGTGTGTAAAGTGGTTGGAAAGTTGAGGATTGAGTGAGAGATGATGAGAAGTTTGAGGATTTGATTGAGTGATGAAGGCGAGAGTTGAGGGATGGTTGATTGAGTGGATTGAGAATTGATTGAGAGGTGAGAAGCAGGAGGTGTGTGTCAGCGTGCCGGGGAGCGCCATTCGACCCGGGTGACACACGGTTGATGTTTTGTGACCATCATCTTTCCGGGCAAAGAGGTTGATGCTCGGGACAACAAGTTGGGAACGTGCTGTGTTCTGCGGCAACTTGCTGGAGCGTGTTGATTTGCGCGACGGAGAGAGATGGATACGATGCGGTGATGATGCTGGAAGCTTTCAATGTTCATGCTAAGATGATCAAATATGACTGTTCCAGTGAGAGATTTGAGTTTGAGTGCTTGAGTACGGTTGACTTGTGAGAAGGTTGAGCGTGTTCTTGAGTTGAGGATCCATGAATGAAGTGAACCAGAAGGCTGAGCGTGTTCACTCACGTCGGGAGTCACCAATATGGCCAAAGACCAGATGTGGTGCTCTGATGTGGTGGCTCGAAGAAGAGCCGTTGAAAAGGGCAAGCCGGCCGGCTGCGAGATGTCCGCTGGGATGAGTGATGTGACCCGTGTGGCTGACGGGAGCGGAGTGTCTTGAGGCGGTGAGGTCACGGCATATATAGCCGTGGTTGAGACTGCGGCGGCCAATCAGGAGCGAGCATGGGCTGCGTCGCCAGAGGTGAGCGGTGATTGGCCGCCACAACTGCTTTGAAGTAGGAACATTAATCAATTTAAAATTGTTCAGTGCCATTATGAAATTCCTCTTAAAATACCAAGTTTTGACACTACCAGGGAGCGTCTCATACAAAATCTTGCCATGACTTATGGAGGGGTAGCTTTTCATCACACTAGGCGAAATTACTTTTTTCTTAAACATCCACTTATTTCATTCTGTTCAACTCCTTTTTATCCTTATTACAGTTCTGTTTACTATGTTCTCTTGTTCTAGTTGATCTTAGAAACTCTGTGTGGATTTGTGGACTGGGTCTCCATAACACATGTAATCTCCAATGATGGGAGGTTGCTTCAAACTTTGTGCTTGCTTCTGATCGATCCAAACTTTCAAAATCAAGCTGCTGAGTGCTTATTGGAGGTAAGATTCTTCTCAATTCCCCCTTCTGGATATGAACATAAGAAGTTTATTTCATCCGTGTCCACGCATTGGTCGTAAAGCAGACTCATGAATTAATACCTACCGTAATGTGTATTATAGAACTGCATTAATGCCCCAATAATTAAATGATTTTTGGCAAAGGCCGCGCTGGATAGTGGATACCTCAAAAAAAGGTTGTGGAAATGTCATTCCAAGCTTTGTTTGTTACCAAAGAGCACAGGCTTGATCAATTTTGTATCGTATTTGTGAAACAAAGTCATTCAATTTAGAAATAACACAAAAAACCACTCATATTTTCAATTCTTAATTTGAGCAAGTCAAGTAACTGATATCTCCAACAATCAGGACATCGCTGAATATCACTATTGGTGATGATGAACAAATCAATACCATAGTTTATTGATATTGACAAAGATGCAGAAACCACAGAACCCCCTACCAAATTCATCAACCCTCCTCCATTTTTAACCAAGACTCCCTATTGCTTTCTTCCAAAGACTTATAAAAGAAAGAAGTATTACCCAAAGAATTGGATTTTTTCCACCATTGAAACGCTACCTTTCAATACCGACAGGGTTTGTCCATTTTGTCCTGTTTTCACAGGAACTTCTCTGATTTGTTCTATTCTTCCAGCAGTTTGCTGAGGCCATTTGAGAGATTGGAGTACCTCTGTATATCGATACTACTCCAGAATAATGATAAAGTAAATCGGCAAAGAGTAGGCTGTTTAATATTTTTTGAACGCCCTTGAGAAATTGCTCTCTGGAACTGGACGAAATTCCTTGGATCTAAACAAAGGATGGAGGAAGGAAATTCCTCATTCTTTTGTTGGTCCTAAGAATTCTACAGCCTCTTGCTTTTAAGCCAATGTTTTATTGCTGAGTGTTTAATTTTGGTTTTTTTACCCCATGCTGTCAGATTGTATCTCGGAAAGGCAAACTAGAAGAGCGCAAGCCGTTAATGATCCTTTTCAGCCACGATGCATTGACTTACATCAATGAAGCAGTGAAGACTTGTCAATCAATGCCGATCAGTGAAAAATCTTACCTGTTCATCAAAAATTTAACAAAGGTATCTTTAATTTCTATTTAAATTAATCCTTAATCAACCTTAAACAAATTCAAATCAGCCCTGATTAAACAATTTTCAACACAATAATAAGACAATTTATTTTAAACACGGAGTAACCAGTGCTTTATAAAGGACGAAAGTCTAATCTTTCCCAAGTCCTTTTTTCCCCTCATTTTCGACTTTTCTGTTTTCAGTGTCCCTCCTTTTTTCTTTTGAGAAAGTAGCTGTAGTTCTTTCCTCGGAACGCAAACTATAGTTGCCTAGAAAGTATTACGAGAGCTTACAACTTGTGTGAAGTTTTCTTTTCTCCCTGAAAAATTTTCCTCCTAGACTTCTGGCTCCTTTCAAAAGTACTGACTTCAAGAAGCTCTATGGCTACAATGCAAGCTAATTCAAGAAATCATCCAAAGAATTTTAGAGGAAGTCAGCGTATTTTTAAAAAAAATTGGTGGTTTTGTTCAATGGTAAAGGAAAGTCAGGGAATCAGAAAATTTTAGATTCAAGAAAAAGCAAAAGTTAAAGAAAGTCAGGGAATTTAAAGATGAAAACATTATGAAAATCCTGCTAAACACAAATAAATATGTAACATATCCTTAATTTATCCAATGATGATGCGAATGCATCATCAAGAATTGAACCATGTATTTTTCATCCTTGTCTTGATTTCTCCAGGTCTTGCATGGGATGAGTACTCAGCTGTGCAGTATCTGGGGTAAAGAGGATGGCTGCAACGGGCATAAAAATTCTCCGAATTCCCACCCGATCTCCCGACCGGACGCCTTTGGAGTTTACATGCAAGCAGTCGTTGCGTTTAGTAAACACCCATCACTCACGATCGTTCATCTCATCAATCCCATCTGGAACTCATTTCTGAAACATGACAGTATCTCTAAGGATCCTGTCTTCCTTACTTTCCTTCCTGAATGGGTGGATGCATCAGCCTCCAAACTAATCAAGGTCAGTTGACTGCAGCTCTGTAATATTTGTTGTTAGCTAAAATCTCAACTAAGAGTGTGAGAGGAAAAGTTGGTATTATTTGAATCAAAGCCCTATAACTCATTTTGGGATGTTGCAGGTCTCCTGTTTCATATATTTTTTGAGGATAGCTCATAGTCCATTGTGCAAAAAATTCAAGAGATTTCCTTTGCCTTTCTAAAAATATTCTCTACAAATATTGCACAAAAAAGTCTGAGTTGAAATTGAGATCCACAGATATTTTGGCACAAAACATACTGGAAAAAATATCTATCCAATCTAAAGACATGTCAAAATTCCGCTAAAATCTTTCCAAAGGAAAACTTTTTGAAGCACTATTTTATAATTTTGAGATTCATCCAAGCTACATTTTAAGAAAGTCTTGCCTTCTGAGTGAGCAAAATGATGAAATTTACTGAACTCAATTTATATCTGTGAATTTTTATCCAAATGTTTGACATTAACAGCTCTTTGAGAATATTTTATTCGATAATTTTGGTAGTTTATCTCTTAGTTCAGCCTAAAAGTTGTTATCATTTATGGAAAAAATCAAATGTAATAAAATAAATATTCACCTTTTTGTGAGTAGAATATACTGTGTATTTTTACCTGATTAGGTTATCCAAGAAACAGTGATAAAAGAGCCTCGCTTGTTAGTATGGTTGTTTCAATTGTCAACTAAAGTTACGCAACATTTTTGAAAATGGTATATTGATGGTGAAACTAGATAAATGTGAAATCTGCTTTGCTCTATTGTGGGTTTCCATTTTGTATTTTTTTTTTAAAGACGTTTGATCATTTTTACCTCACAAAATTTTGTTTTCTTTTTCTTTGCCCCTTTGGTTAGAATGCTCCCTAAAAACTGTCAAGCTTTTTTTTTTTTTTCATTTCTTTAATTTTGAGATCAATAAAATTTGGAAGGAAAAACTTTTCTGGTACCTGCAATGTATTTATTTTCATTTTTTGTTTACCTCCCACACGTTAATTTAAATAGAATTGGTGAAAATTTGAACATTGCTTGATAGGGTACTGCGTTCGTTTTTATTGTTGACTTTTCTCTGATGTCCAATTCATTTTCCTCTACTATTTTCAGATGGTGTATCCTGCTGTGAGACTGGAAAATGTTGGCCATGAGTCCCTTCTTTATGCTGTCTTGGATTACGACAGTGAAGAAGAGTTTAACAGTTTCTTTTTCCGATCCAGGACTGACTTTCTAGAAACTTTTCGTCAAGCTACTCTTGTTGCCCCTCTAATAACATACGGCTATGCAGAAAAGTGGCTTTTCAACAAGATACAAAATGCAGTCAATCTTCCGAAAGAACCTCTTACCTTGCAATCTCCAGAATATCTGGAATGGGAAGCTGTCTCCATGGTATGTCAGATAATACAAAAAGGTTTTTTTTTTAAACTTTTTGTTATTACTTAACTTATGCAATAAACTACCTGGCAGGGTAAGAATGGAGGCACTAAAAAAAGTTCCCTCAAGAAATTTTTTGCAGAGCATATTATTTGGTATACATGTTAAATGAATATACTGGAAATGTTCTAAATGAAGGTATAAGTGAAAAATAAGTGCTTAGGATTTACATTAGAATTGGTGGATTTTAACTTCACCGAAAAATCAAATTTCATTTATTTCTAATTAACTCAAATTTTGTCTGTCACAGTCGACTAAAAGTTGCAAAACCTAACCTCTAAATTCATTTTTAAGTTGGGAAAATCGTATTTGAAACTCAAGCTGTACACAAGCTGAGCTTTTTTTCCAGCAGGGTGGAGCCATTCTTAGTTTCTCAATGGCGCGAACCATTAATCAGCAATAGAATATTTAAGTAAACATCCTTGTCTCAACTTGCAGCTGCTGAGAAGAGTACAAGAAAGAAATTAGAATTGAAAATGTGCATTTGAGTTTCAAGTTAATAATCTTAAATTTCTTCTTTTCTGTATTTCAGTTGTTAGATAGTGTGCTGAGTAAGATCGTCATGTGTTCGGAAAGACCACCTGTATCAAATGGAATCCTTCTGTTAGACCAGTGCCTGGCGCTTACACCGTCAGATCCATTGATTTTGTCCTGTCTCCTCTCCTGTATCTCAGCTCTGTTTGTTTTTCTCAGCATGTCTCCTGTGGAAACAACGAAAGTAAGTTTCATCTTTAGTCTGGCATTTCTAGATCACTCCTAAATGAAATAATTTAACAGGAAGAATCATTGATCCGTCAAGTTTCGCAAATTAAATGCCTCTATTTGTTTACGTGGCCAATTTATCGAGACTCTAATGAGGCATAAATTTCGTTGAACAATTCATACTTTACGCAAATTAAGTAAAGTACATTTATTGACGACAAAAGTACTTGATTACGTATCCTGATTGTGGTGTTACCTAAATTTTCCGTCTTCTGTATGCTTTCAAGAGGGCATCACTGGTCAATTTTTACAAAATTTTATGCTGTAATGATGCTCACAATCAGTCCTCCCTCAAACCGTTAACATGCGACAGTATGTTTGCAACATCACAATCTGAAATACATGTGTTCATAATTTCTATATCAAAATATAACTGTTTCATTAGACTTATCTTATGTTTCATGATGGAATAAACCGCCTTTGAAAGAGGTTATTTTGGGGTCTTGCTTCATCCATCAATGAATGAGAGTCTGAAAAACTTTAGTGTATTTCAAAATTTTTTTTTGTTTCCGGTTTCATGTTCCTTCTTTGGTTTTTGCAGGTCTATCTACCCCGCACATTAGATAAAATTTTCGAAACACTCATCTATCCTTTGCCAGCAGAAAGCGATAAAGAAACCAGGCAGAAAGCTGTTAACCTCCGCCGCCACGCTGCCTCCCTTTTAGTCAAAATAAGTCAAAAGTACCCTCTTCTACTCCTCCCACTCTTCGATGTAATCAGTGTCACCATTACAAATCTTCGTTATAAGACTGCTCAACTCTTAAATTTAGAATTCACTTGCTTAATGGTAAGTAATCATATTTCAATACTTTTTACAAAATAGCCTGCTAATAAATAACTGAAATAGTAAAAAAACAAAATTCCCAATTCTTGCAGTTTTGTTGAGTCTCATGGGAGATTTTTCAAGCACAACGAAGGGAACCCCACCCATATTGCTCAACTCCTGAGACGCCGCATACCCTCAGAGAGAAATTTTGCAGCATTAAGTAACTTTCATCATAATTTGAAGACAGCAAGCTCGTCTAAACTTTTATCTTCTTATAGCTTAAAACAAATTTGCTTAAAAATTTGCTATAAATCATAAAAATCATATGTTCTCTGATTGTGAACTTGAGGAGTCTCGACAAAACCAGCTGTTTTTGATAGCAGCAGCTATATCAGACTTATCGGTGTCATTTGCCAGCAGATTTACTGAACCCTGCTAGTTCTTTTCCCTCATTTCCCCCTGCACAAGAGAATGCATCTGGTCTGCGTTGTTTCAGTATTTATAAGAACATTTTATTTTTTCATAAATGAACCATCCTATAAATCTTTCTGAAAAATTTAGTACCTTTTCTTGGAAATGCATATAAAAATCAAAGGAGGTTTCAGGCAAACCTAGGTGATAGTTTTTCTTGGAAAAAAATAAAATGCCGCCAAGAAATACTGAAGCAGCACAATCAAAATATGTTCCTTTGTATGAAAGGATGATGTTTGAAAATTAATCACCCCTCCCTTTAAAATTTATTGAATAATCCCTGCAGTTTTCTTCAAATGTTTTTTTTTCTATATTTTTCCAGGAAGCAAGCTTACTTATAAGTAACCACTTCTGTGATTATGAGCGACAGACCAAAATAGTCGAAGAGCTCATTACTCCATTTGTTGCGCCATGGTTGACCATCTGTAAGACAAGTCTGACCAATCCGATGGAGTTCATGAACTACATTGGTCTCAACATACCCCCTTACGAAGACCACAAGGCAGATCCTAATTTCAGTAGACGATCTCAGGCACGTATTTTTCAATATTTTTTAGAAGAAATCACATTGCATTCATCATGTAGAACCCTTGAAAGTGAAAATTAATAATTAAAGGGTGTAACAGGTGAATTAGCTCTGTGATATCCTTTTAATTTCAAGGAAAGGATGTTAAAAGATGAGAACTTATTTAGAAACTAACAACTTCAATGAACTTTAAAACTGAGTTTTAGTTGAAGAATGAGCCGTAATGTTCTTTTTTTGTTGTTGTTGTTTGATTTTTATATCAAGTACGCTCAAAGATGAATTTTTACTTACTGATACTATTATCTAAATTCTTTCACAAGTTCAGGGGCTTCATGATTTTGTCAGGCTCATTTGTATTTGTGTAGAACAACTCAAAGCTTGCAGCTTCATGAAGTTTGCGTTCGGGTAAACTGGTGTGCACCAGTAAGGGAGTCCAACTCTACCTTAGCAGTCAAGCCCAGTCGTTCGTATTTCAACTCAGTCTTCTTTTTGACAAATTTGCGACAGCCATCGCCTTAAATTAAAACCTCAAGATAGAGTAAAGAGTTCTGTTATTATTATATATCGGTCTTTTAATTGACAAATCCAAGGAAATCAATCAGGACCAATCCAAAAGAAGTAAAGCCTAACCATGCCTAATCATGTTTATCAATACCAAAGCTGCACTAGTTTAAGACTGTCCCTAACCTATGACTGTAATTAGACTAATAATTGAAATTTATAGTCAGTTTAAATGATGACAAGCTGAGTTGATATGGGATTTTGGGTAAAGTTCAGTTTTTTGGCTGAGTAATAGTTAGCGGTATGTGAATTGGTTTCTCTTATTCTAGTGTTTTCATCGCAGAACTTGCAAAGAATTAGATTTTTTCCTCTTTGGCAATGGAATCCCCAAAAATTTTGAACAAAGGTAGCAAAGAACTGTGTTAAAGGATGGACTTTCTATTTTTCAGGCAATCAGTAGCCTAAATGTTTTTAAAGTCCTTAAAAGTTTTTTTTTGTTATCTTTATTAGTGCTCAAACATTTTTTTGCAGTCCTTGAAAACAATATAATTTTTGATGTTACCAATTTGAACTTTTTTAAAAATCTCTTTAGATCCTTTGATTTTAGTGATGAAAATTATCATCAAGCCTGTCAAAGCATAATAAAAGGAATCATTTGATTCTTGGAACTTTTGAGCGATTCTCTTGTCAAGTCTCTTTCACTGACTATTTACTGATTTCCCCCTAATGTATTTCTATTTATTTCTTCTACAGATTTGGAATATTATTGAAGTCTTACTTGCCATAACCAGGCGGTGTGTCTGGCCGGATGATCCTGACAAAGCATTGAAAGGTGGATTCCTTGTCGGTCTGACTGAATCGGGAAATCCGATCTATCGCAATCCAGCAGCTTCACACGTTTTGCCTCTACTTCCTGGTGTCTTCAATCTCCTTCATGTCCTCCACTCTTTGTGGACACCTCAAGCTGTTAGCTTGATACCAGAAGTGCGTGTCTTGAAACCCATGTAGTAAAAGTAATTTGTGGTACAAATCTTGTTGTCGATTTATTCTGGTAAAAGGGTTGAGGAATCCATCCTCCTTAAATCAATCACACAGATTCAACTGGAATCAACGGAACTTTGTACTCAGACATTGACTAATGGAGGGTTGCCAGTCAAGGAAAACCAGGAATTGTTGGAGAAAATGAGGAAAGTGTCAGGGAAAAATTGTGAAGTCACCTTTATTTGCTCAACTGCGTTCGATGTTTCAATCAACTTTTGCCCGAAAATAATTTCTGATCATGTCTTTTTAACCATTTGGCACAACCTCAGTGGTCAAGAAATTTTGCTAAAGTACCAGAGAAAGAACCCTGCACAGAGCATGGGCTCAGCGGCTCTCGGTGAAAGTTGATGAAACTTTAATAGATTGTTATAAAGTTCATAATTAAGGGAAAGCCAAAAAATTAGCTTACTTTTACGAGTAGAAGCTGAGATATTCGCGATTGAGCCCGGACTATTTTTTGTGCGGCGGAGGTAAATGGGCGCTTCGCGTCGCCGTCGCCTTACCTTGCTCGAGCACTTCGGCCAGGAAACCCCCTCTCCCCACCAGGTAGCTACGATGTCGCATTGTTTACACTCACAAGGGGAACTTACGGACCTGCTGCCTCTGACTGGGCTGAATTTTTTTTTACAGACTCTATGGACCAATTCTAGAGGTTAGGTTGAGCCGTTTTCCCGAATGCGCAATAGATAGGGCGTAAAAAATTCCCAAAATTTGCGTTTTCGGCGTTTGATTTGGTCGTGCGGCGCGTGGCAACACTGAAGCAGTCTCTTGTACCGCTTTATCGGCCTGAAGGTTTCAGCGGAGTCCGGAGCCCTACTGCACACGTACTGGCTCCATGATAGTGATGTCCCGGGTTCGATCCTCGACTTTTTATTTTGCATGCAAAGTTTGATGGAATACTAATGCTCTTGTTAGCGCTAGGTTACCCTTTCATCATGGCCGTAATTTCAACAACTTTTTTTAACTTAAGAGTTGATTTTAGAGATAACCAGCGGCTCATTGTATTTCTTTCAAAATTTTACACCCTCGAAAAGATGGTTGAATTGAAAATTCCTGCAGCCCGATTGTAACTCCATAAACAGCTATCTTCCGAGATGTCTCAGAATAGATGTCAGCATTTTACCAAACTCTAAAAGATTCTCAAGAATATTTTTGCAAGATAGTTGCAATTGCATTTTGCCTTTAGTTGCATTGAAAAATTTCCCCAGAATAATCCTCCTGCAGTTATTTTATTTCATGTTTTGGTTATTGTTCTAGGGTTATCGTGGAGCGACTGATATGCTGGAGAGTGACAAAAACTATTTACTCGGACTGACCACCTCCAGTGAAATAGCTCGAATGAACAGTAGCCCATGTTTTCAGATGCAAAACTTCCTTGCTACAACCTACGACCTTTCTTGTCATATTTTAAGTTGTGCTTGCCAAAATTTTGGCTATAGCTTTTATCAAATCCAAGACTTATCAGCAACCATTATCAATGTTATGTTATCTAATTTAGAGGTAAGTAAATACTTTTAACTGGGGTCCTAACTGTGATGGATTCTATTTTGATAGAGGAAGAATCTTATCTCTATGATAATATATTATTTTAGCTGCCATGACTTATTTTAATTATCTTGACCTTCGATAGGTTTGCAGTATAATAAGCGGTCTCACCAAAATTGGGTTTCTTAGAGAACTTGCTAACCAATTTTCCAAATCTCAAACTTGTTTTAATGCTGAGAGTATACATGTACAGTGGAGCCCGTATATAACGAAGTTCACGGTTCCCAGAAAAACTTCGTTATATCCGGAACTTCGTTAAAAGCGGACTCTGCGGGAAAATTCGGGAAAAATTACACAAAAAAAATTGCAAATATACAGATTCAATACTTGTATATTTTGATCAAAAATACACAATCTGCTCTCTGGGCGAGTTCCGCTCGCTTGCGGTAAAACATGTGACAGTCGCGGAGTCACGAAGTTACGAATAAAAGAGAATGAGCGATAACGAAGTGAGCGCTCACTGCGCAGCCCGCCGCGCATGTCTCACACCGCACTCTCTCACGGAAAGTCTCCCCCCTCCCCTCCATCGCAGACGCGTGCAAGTGTGTCCGCGTCTCACGGAAAGTCCGGCAGCGTGCCGATTTGAATCGGCACGCTGCCGGACTCCCCCCTCCCCTCCATCGCAGACCTGTGCAAGTGTGAGAGAGTGCAGTGTGAGACATGCGCGGCGAGCTGCGCAGTGAGCGCTCACTTCGTTATCGCTCATTCTCTTTTATTCGTAACTTCGTGACTCCGCGACTGTCACATGTTTTACCGCAAGCGAGCGGAACTCGCCCAGAGAGCAGAAAATACCGAACACAATAGCGGAAATGGCGGCAAATTACTTCGTTATATGCGAGGTGCCGCCGCCGAGACTTCGTTAAAAGCGGGCTTTTTTATTATTGAGTGTATAGGGAGGTTCTAGGGGAATGAAAATTACTTCGTTATATCCGAAACTTCGTTAAAAGCGGGTTCGTTATATACGGGCTCCACTGTAGCTGGTAAATAATCAAATCAGGTATTTTATCAAATGCTTCAGCAGATGGTCAATTCTTGAATGTTTTGAGTGTTTTTACAAAGAGCTCTCGAATTTTCTGTGTTTTAAAAATAGGAATTAATCAAACTACGTTCTATCAGTGCATTTCTCTTTTCAAAATGCTCCTGAAATACTTTTAACCGTCAAAACTGTAGAAACTGGATTTTAAAAAATGTTGTATCATTTGAAACAAACGTTCTTTTCTAGGCTAAAAATCATTACCGCCATTATACAATGATACAAATTTGTGAAAATAATTCTTGTCTATGAGGACAAATAATTATTCTGTCACAAAATGCCTGATTCTATTATGTACCTAGAACATACACAAAATGCCCCTTTTCACCATGTTTTAATAATGATTATGCCCAGGAAATGTGTCTTTTCATCACTTTGATGTGCCTTTTTCAGTTTAGAGGACACAAAGTAGTGGAACCTACCTTTCCGATAACCCCTATATAATTCTTTAATCTTTAAATTCATTTTTTGATGCATAAAAAATGCCGATGGCATTCATTTTGTTGTTTTGTATCTAATCAAATCTTAGCTGAAAAATAATTTTTAAGAGTGACCTAAAGTTTGACACAATTTTAAATGCTACTTTCTAACAGTATTATGCAACTGCCCAATTTTCACCAAAACCTGATTTTTGTCAAATTTTACTGGAAAACAGCCTTCTGGCTGTAGACAATTGAACGCAGGACTGTGCGTCCCATTGATTCTAAACTGTTCTCTTGTCTGTGAGCTGAAACTTTTCCTTTTAACTGTAATATTGTTAACCTTTTGCAGAATGTTCCTGATTACCGCCTACGGATTATCATACGAGCTTTCTTGAAGTCTTTAATCATATCTTGTCCCAGTATGTACTATGAGTCTGTTCTCATGCCTGTCTTATCGCACTTCACTCCATTCAGTAAGTTAAATGTATAATTTTTTCTAGAACTTGCCATGAATTTTCGTAATTTTATAATTTTCAATGCTGAAAATATTCGTCCAAAATTTGTCAGGTTCTTTCTAGGAACAAAACAGCAGGACCTTGTACGCTAAATGCAAGGGGTCGGCGCACTGTTAAATATCGTTATTATCTGTTGTGATGTTTTCTATGACCTCCTGAGTACAACAAGCTTTATAAACGGAATGGGCCACTAGACACGATTCGAACGAGAAATAAGCATCATTTTTATTCTCTTTTGAATTTTATGCAGAATAAAATTCGTAAAATGGGGAGTTTTTGGTGATCAATTTCTTCACGAGATATTAGCAAGTATTTGTAACACAGATCAAATAGAAGTTAGGTCATACAAATGATATCATTTGCTTTTTTTTTTAGAAATGAATGCCTTGACTTTTAGATATGTGATTTGTAAGATTCCTTAAGCAATTTTGAAGAGAAAACAAGTTGCTTAGTGCCTTAATTCATACCCTGTCCAGAGGCCTATTTTCTTTGTGTCAATTTTGCATAAAGGGAGTCAAGCGTAGAAGAGTGAGTCGTTCTGCTCTTCTGTATATCACTATGTTGTTGCATATTGCACGGTTGTAAAATTTTATCGGCACTATACACAAATTACTACACAAACTTAAAACTTTTTGGGAAAACCAATTAATATCACTTACTTACTTATTTTCTATGCACGATGGCCATTTCGGGCGGGCAGGCCGTCCATCTTCAGGTGACTGCCTTATTGTTGAAAAGGCGCCGGCGCGGCTATCACGCCGGATTTTCGAACTTTTCAACAATAAGGCAGTCACCTGAAGATGGGCGGCCTGCCCGCCCAAAATGGCCATCGTGCATAGAAAATAAGTAAGTGATATTAATCGGTTTTCCCAAAAAGTTTTAAGTTTATGTAGTAATCTTCTGTATATGATTTCTTTCGGAGTTATGAAACTGCTGGTGCATTAAATCTGCTGACAAGCCTTTGTTTAGAAGTTGACAAGATATTCCCCTGCACCTTGGTATTTATTATTCGAGAATTTCGGTTAATTTTCTTTTTCATTTCGTTTGAACCCAAGAATACGAGGGCATCTGGCTTATCTACCCAGTTGTCAAGGAAAAGAAAGCTCTCCTGGATAACCAGTTCGGTGTTGCAACATTTCTAATAGATAATGCCTGTGAAAAGGTTCAAAAATTCACTGTTTAGCCCTGTTTTTCTTAAAGTTGGCAAATTGTATATTTGACATGTATAGCTTGTCCTGTTCAGGAGTTTGTACACACATCGTTATCAAATATTAACAAAATTTGGCCGACAATAAATCCGAGGTCCATAGGAATTCCCTGGTCTCCTGTTCAGGGCCCTTACAATTTACAAGTTCCGCTTGCAGAAATTTTATTTTCTATTTTGAAGTCTTTTACTACCTCAGGAAGTTTAAGGAAAAGAGTGAATTTTTAAAACCCAGAATTTTGAGCATCAATCTCTTGTTGGGAGGAGAATAGCTCAGCGCAGATAACTTGTTGAATAATTCCTCTGAAACTCATGTTTTTCTCGTCCTTTTTCAAATCCTAAATAATTTTTTCTTCTGTGATTCGGAACTATTCGTATTCAAAGGAGGATTGATGAGTGTGAATGTATGTGGTACTGATTGATCCTGCAGACAGCCAGTATTTATCTCTCCTTTTTTCTTTTCTTCCAGTGTGCGAACGACTTAGCCTCAAATGGGAACTGCTGCGGCAGATGCGAGAATCGGGGAAGATTGATGATAACGATGAAAATACTCAGGTATATATTATCAATTTTTTCCCCTTTCTTCCAATCAAATCTATTGCTGAAAAAATGCATCCTTTTCGTTCAGATTTTAAAGTCAACTTTTTGGATATTTGTTACTGTCCACAAAAAACCATAACGATGAAAAAGTGGGATATTATAGATCACTATTATCTTCAGAAAACTTTAATGCCAAATTTCGATCCAACTTGAAAAAAAGTTGTGCCTCCGAACAATTTGTTTAATGTTTTCCACTAATTTGCGAAATTTTGCACTAATGTTCCTCTCCCTATGGTTGTTTAAAATTTATCTGGTTTATCTTACCATTAATGGTTGTATCCTTTTTCTGATTTACCGAGTTACCACATTTCTGTTGGGATTTCCAGGAACTATTGGAAGATATGTTGAACCGGCAGCTTACCCGAGAATATCTAGATGTAGTAAAAATCATTCTTTATGGTGGAAGTGGCACAGAAAAAGGATCATTAGATGATGCCATGGACGGAAATGACTCAAGTCAAACACCGCCTCAGCCGACAAGCTCTCTTCATCCGGAAGTTATCAGCGAACTTGGGATCAAAGTCATGAGGAACAGTCGCACATGTCAGGGAATTGCTCAGTTCATGCTGAGGTTTGTTCTTTCTTTTCGTTTTTCTTGTAAGCATTAAAGAAAATGAGCTAAGAACGCTTTTCCTCCTTCAGTAATAGTTGAGAAATCACTCGGAGAAAGATCTTACCCACCTGACAACCGCCTAAAACAACAGTACAAAACTGCTGAGAACATTGCTGCAACTTCAATTTTGACAGTAATGTCGTGACAACGTTTTCGCAAATGGACGTATTTCTACCAAACAGACCTATGTGCAAGTAAGAAATATGGGGTGTGCTCGTTAGTTCTCTTTGCGTAAGAGTGAATGAGAATAATAAAGCGCCAGTGACGTCAGCAGCAACGAACAAGCGCCGGCACAACGGGGAGATCGTTGGAGGGAGTCCTTAACTCATGGGCCCTGTCCACAACGCTCCAGTCCTATCCTCGCGGCTCATGACTGCCGCATTCAGTTGGCACATAGGTCTGTTTGATAGAATGTAAAATCCCGCTTTTCCAACTCTACAAAAGGAATCACGCCCACTTTTACATTGCTTCTTATGCAGTTTCGACGAGCACACCCCATATTTCTCACCTCCACATAGGTCTGTTTGGTAGAAATACGTCCAAATATGTTTCGCTGGGCGGGAGAAGAGAAAACTGAGTCCAGAGATCAAAGCTTTTGAAAATGTAAAATGGTTGGGTCTTAAATTAAAGGTTATCCAGATTTTTTGAAACTTGAGGATTTCAAGACAAATTATTAAGCTCCTCACAAATTTCAAAGATCAATGTGTGATTCCTCCGTAAATGAAATTCTAGAAAGAAGAAATTTATGCCCTTTTTTAAAGTTCACCGTCCTTTTTACATCTGAAACTTGGATTCAGATTTTTTGACCCAAAAAGGACAAAAATTATTCTGTTGAAAAATTTGTCTTGGTGCATTATGGTTTGTTTTCCATGGTTAGGGGTATTTAATTGGAATGTAAGATTTTTAGCTTTTGGAATGCTTGTCGTTTCTGAAACAGAGCAAGTTGGTTACTCCCAAATGAAAAAATTAAACACTGAGAAGTGGTCCGAAACTGTATGTAACAAGATGGAGAAATGGTGCTGGGTCCACACCATTTCGCGGGGAAACAGAGTTCTACAAATTTACTTTTGACTCTAATTTTAATTTTTGGTATTTCTTGGCTTTGTTTCCCCGCGAAATGGTGTGGACCCAGCACCATTTCTCCACCTTGTTACTCCCAAATGATGTCTCGATTTTATCAATTTTTGTAGTCATCTTTTTACTTGCTTGCTGCCGTCATGAGTAGAAGAAGTATTGTCAACTTATTTTTGCACGTTGTATTCTGTCAGTATCTCTCCTTCCTTTAGAAATCTAACTTTTCCATTTTAGGCAATTTTTTCCCTTATCTCAGGCTGCGATGGCTTCTGAAACTTTTTTATAATAGCAGTTTTATCATTTATTTGTGTTTTTGCGCAGGTGTCTCACTTGGTGTGACAGTACTAACAGTCTGAAAGTGTGCAGTCTCATGTACGGCATGGTGAGGCAGTTACACAACGACAAACACATTACACCACCGTTTGCAGCCTGTATCATGGAAACCATCTTTCACGCACTTGAATTGCACGGGCAACACGATGCCAACCTCGGCTCGCTCCAACTTCTAGGCACTCAGCTCTATGAGCTCCTCAGACCAAAACATCCGGAAATTTTAGAGGTGAGTCTGGCATCACTCTTTCTATGCTGTTTTGAGTTGGAAATATTATTGTGCTTGGCTAATCAATTATACAGGATATTTAATCTTATTGTATTTATTTATCACAAAATTTAAAACAATTTTCTCAGCAAAAAGATTAAGTGTAAAATACATACAGGGTGTCTCAGATCAACCGTACCAAGCATTTTTCTCGGTTGGTTTAGGTCGTACGGAGTCGGGGACCTCAGGGTTGAATAGGGAATTGACCTCAAGGAATCCGAATTTCACGGTCCCAAAACCCCTTCAGTGTCCCTTGGGGGATACAGAGGGGGCCATGATCCCAAAAGTTGGGGTTCTCGATAGAATTGCGATTCAATTGCATTAAAATTTAAAAGTATGGAAAATTTCACAAGAAATTGACCCTTGAAAATCCAAAATCAGACCCTCTTTACGCCCAAAAATGATCCCCTAAAGAGAGGGACAGCGGCCACCTCTGTAAATCTCCATTGGTTAATAATTGACATAGATTCACCAGAAACAGATGGTTTCCCAGGTAATCTACCCCAAGGAATCCGACTTTCATGGTCCTGAATATCTCTGCTTCTACTCGTTAGAATGGGCTAATTTTTTGGCTTTGTGCTAATGATGAACTTTATGTCAATCCGTCAAAGTTTCATCAAAATCTACCGGGAGCCACTGAGTCCCCTGTTTTGTGCCGGGTTCTTCCTGGTTTTACTTTCTATATTTTTGACACTCTTCAAATTTAAACTATTTATACAAAAGCATATTAGTGGCCCTTTTATTTATTGAAAAAGAAAAAGGGAAGTTGAAAAATATTCTGGTCGAAAATAACATATTTGTAGTGCTATTTTACTTGGCACACAATAGTATTTTTCTTCGTGTACTTGCACATGACACACTGTGAGAAAACCCTACCTACATTAAATAGTGCAGTATATACCTGCAAAATGAAAGATGCGTGTATTAAATTAGTCAGTACAAAGGTAAAAATTTAAAATACAAGAAGTGGAGCCCCTATTTACTTCTTCTATCATTGGTCTATCTTCCAGGTTTTAAAATCCATACCAAATGTCCATCTTGTCGACATTCAAAAGTTTGATGAAAGGATGCTTAAAGAAACGAGCAAAGGAAGCAAAGTGGACAAATCTAAGAGAGAAATGTTCAAGAAAATAACTCAGTCGGTAAGTTGATTTTGTGCTTTTATGTTTTAAAACTCAAAATCATCCGCTTGTTGCAGTTGTATTTTTCAATGATAAGATTAAAAGAAAATGTATGCTTAAATTGTCCTATTCCATCTCAGATTTCAGTCAATGTTAAATAAGTTAGGCTATGGAAACGCTCAAAACTTCCTCAGTTACCCAACTCTGACTCTCAGCAAGCAAAGTTTCAGTTGTTTAGTGCTTATGATAGATGGGAAGTAAACTATTAAATGAACTGAATTTTTTAGTTTTATTCCTCAATCCAAGATAATTTTTTATGATCCCCCTAAAGATGAAGACAGTATCGATTTGTCAGCCTTAAACGCATCAAGAAAATTTCTCAGCAACTGTAAGAACAGGGCCGAATTTGACAGCCGCCGGAAATTTTCACACATGTATTTTTTTCTGAGACCATGGCAAGGGATGCAGAAAGTTCTTGTCCCTCCCATTCTCCAAATTGGTCCTTCCAATTTTAGAACTCCTTTTCCTCAGAAATTTCGAATTGACCTTTCTATGGTTCTATGCACATGAGCTGTTGCAATTTTGCGAAAGAACCTAAGATTTTTACCATCGTTTTGCAAAAAAAAAAAAAAAATCTGAAAAAAAACAGCGATTTTGCCAGCCTTTTGACTTGTAAAACCCATTCTTAGAGCCTTTCTATTTTTGCACGACACGTCCGGTTGCACTGTCAAGAATTTTCTGCATCCCTGACTGTGGTACTGGACTAATTTTTTACTGAAAGCCTCTGTCAATTTATCCTAACTCTGGTCCATGCAGGCAGTTTCAACATCGTTATCAATGATTCATTTTTCATCACCACCCTCCTTCTGATGACTTTTGTTTTTTCAATTCTTTGCAGTTAGTTGGATGCAATTTAGGCCAAAAATTCCGGCGCAAAGCTGCGATCCGGGAACTACCAAGAATATCTGTGCCTCCGCGGAACAGTGTGCCATCATTATTGGACTCTAGCGTTAATGGTTCTGATCTGAACTTAATGCAGCTTTTCCATAAACCATAGCATAAGCTGGCACAGTTAAAAATTAGTTTTTTTATTTTAATTGCGACTGCTGTTCACACAGCATCGAACCATGTAAATCTGTACAATTATCCTCCTTTAAGCATTTAATGAGTTCCAACGATGTAAGTTGCAAGGGGAGTCTATTTCTTGGTGCAGTGTTTCAAACCTGTCTCTGAGAGTTGCTGTAAGTCAAAATCCAAGCCTCATTGGTTTTTGTTTAATTTTTTTTAATCACTCTTTATATATTTTTTTTAGCATCTTAATTAGTGAATTTTGTTTTATAAATCAGTTTTTCTCTCATTTTTTAAATTTTCTGTTTTTAATTTTGCATTTCTGTGTTTCAATTAAGCAACTACTCTGAATGAATAGATTTTTCCTTTAATTGATGACCTGGTCTGCCCAAATGTTTCCACAAAGGTTCTATATGGTGCAGAGCACCATTTTAATTTCCAGAAACAATTGTGCATCCACCAACAAAAAAACACACACAAAAAAAAACCGTACATTTTCAATTATGGATTCAAGATGCTAGTGATTCTCTGAAATGTCATTGGTATCAAATGTGTCATTAGTGTAAAAAGTAACTCCCAAAAATAAATCTAAAAAATTAAAGGATTGAACCATTCAAAGGCTTCAAAAACTGTATGTTGAAGTATCATTGCAGAGCTTTTTCACTAGCCAATCCAAATCTGGTTTTTGTTTGACTAATGTAAATCAGTTCACTTCAATGCCATTCGATTTATTACTTATTATTAAATTGTTTGTGCAAGTATAGAAAATACATTTCCGTTTGTTTTTCTGCTATTTAAATGGAATTACCTATTTCTTCGTATCCATCACTGTGTTGGGTGCCCCAGTAATCGCCATTATTTTATCAAGTAGAAAATTTTTCTCCGCATGAATTAGTTTATTTATAATTTTAACCCATTAAGACTCTCAGAGTCAGAACTGTACCGTGTTTAGAGGAAACTGTCACTGTGATCGCCGAATTTCTTAAATTTTGCATATTTCATGAGCAACTGTTCTTGTAAGTGAGTTCCGAAAACTCTGAGTTCGATGGTTAATCACTCGCTACTGCAGTTGCAAGCAGGAAAGAAGGTGGAAAATTGACTGTGAAGTCAAATGCTCTTCTCTAACCTTTAATCATTACTTTTTCTTGTTACCTCTTTCCTCAACCTACCTATACACAAATTTTGATGTTTTACTGTCTGCTATGCCTTAAATTTGTTTATACTTTACTCTGCATTTTCCCATCTTATAAGCTCTGCTGAGCTTCTGTGGTTAATGAGTCGAATGTTGACGTTATGGAATTTTGCATTGCAAATCAGAGGCTGTAAATAAGCAGGAAATAATAAGTTCTGACATTTTTACGTCCAATATTCGCGGTGATTTTGCGCTTCCTAAAACCTGTTAAATGGTTGAACATTTTTATAAACTGTCAGGTTCACACATAAAGGATAGGTTTTCGGCGCTAATTTTGCAAATCAAGCCTTTAATTAATCCCTCAGCCTTTCTTTGAATTTTTTATCACTATCAAATTTTCAGTGGTTGGAGCCACTCTAACGTGTCATTATCTACACAGCTATTGACTCCCCTTGGCGAAGCCAGTTCCTTCCTCTCTTTGAATTTTTATAATTGTGATTCAAATTGTATTTAAACCTTTCTTTTTTTCATAATTTTTTACAAACATGTTTATTTCTTAGGTTTTCACGTACTAGTACTTTGTTTTTGCGAATGACTCTAAAGCTGGAAACCATTAAACTCGGTGATACGCCTGCTGGTTCCAGGTTTTTGGAGATTCGCCATATCTTCTCATGTAAATTAACGTAAAGTAGAATAAATTGCTTTGAGCCATTTTGTAATCTGTGACCAACCAGGGGAATAGGTACCTAAGTGAAAGGATGCAAATTATATACATAGAAGAGAAAATTTTATCAATGTACATTGATCAATCTTACTTTTAATTCTGTTAAGATAGTACCATCCGGTATTCCTAAAGATGAGTTGTGAGTGGTTTATTGTATTTTTGTGTCAGTTGAAGGCGTTGTGGTGACAAAGCTCAGCAAGCTAGAAGTATCAAAATTTGACCATTTTGAGCCTCGAAAATGGCAAATTTCAACCTCAAATAAATTTTTCTTCTTTTTCCCCAAACCATCTCTTGAAAATCTACAAGCTGTCATGACTCCTGTTCTTATGGCAAGAATTGACCATATCAGCCATTTTTCACACACATAGGAGCTCCTCAAGCGAGAAGGTTGTGGATCATATCAAACATATTACTGAGAAGTCTTACGTTTCCTTCAATAATGCTCAAGTTCTGCACAGGATCCGGTGTGTATTTTTCACGGTTGATAGTTGATCAACTCTGTTTAAAAAAATAGCTGAACATTTTTTAGCTGTTTTTTATTAAGCTTTCTGGGCCTCCTCAAAACCAAAAAATACATGTCTCTACAAGTCAAATTTCAACTCTTGAATCTGATTAACTTGAGAAGCTCCTTGTGTCAGAAATCACAGAAGATAAAGAATATAGAAAAGTGTTACGTTTTGTGGATTTACAGGTAAATGGAGAGGAGTTGGGATGTTACGCAAGGAAAGGTACTGTTCAGGCGTTGAAGTCAATATTGAGATGTTAGTATCATTGCCTAGAAAGAAGTTTAAAAAACGATTTGTTGCAAATATCACCAAAGATCATTCATCAAATTTCAAGTAACGATGGTTTGAAGTCGAAACGAATTTATACTTTTCCTCTGTACCGTGAAGGACTTCCTTCTTGATTTTGATTAAGCTTTGAGTCACAAGAAGTTTTCTTGGCACATGGAACAGCAAGTCTTGGAGGATCTATCTTAAGGTCATCAATTATTTTGTGCTACAAGCACCTAGATATTATTTCAGGGACAAAATCCCACTTTTAAAGTAGCTTTATTTTCACTCATTATATAGGTTTTTCCATCTTTATCCTAATTTCAAGTTAACTTGCCACTCTAAACGCTCAAAAAAATCCCCCCCCCCCCCCAAATAGTAAAAAATCTTGCTTTAATCCTCAACGAGATTTTTAAAGTTGAATCAACCAGATGTTAAGTCTTTATCAATGATCAATTTTAGACTATTTTTGTCAAATTCTAAATTAATTACCATCTACAAGGTTGTGATGGATCTAGTGAGGTACTTGTATCAGTATCACATCCTCGTCTTAGCTTATTTATGAGAGATGTAGAGAAAGCTCAAAAAAGTAGATTTTATGTTTAATTTTTCATGCGCTGAATTCTGAACTATGTCTCAACTAGTTTGTCTCTTCTATCGACATGTCAAAACTTCCGTCTTAGTCATTTTATCAGTAATGTCAGTGATCTTTCTACATCTTATCACAAATATGCCTCCAAAATTTTCCTAAAAATTGTCAATTGATTTTCTTTTGAAAAATTGTAACAAAAATGGAAACTTTTTAGCATTGCATTTTGCTATTTTGCTAAGTATTTGCGCAGTCATTGAAATTAGAATTTCAACTAAAGCTTCTCCTAAAAAGTTTTGCAAATCATTAACTTAATAACTCGATCCTTCACTTAGTTCAACAGCTCTTTCATTCCAGATTTCATGCCCTCTGAAGACTACATATAAAAATGTTTCTTGTCACTTTTCTCCTTTTGCCAAACAATGTCTTAAAACAACTTCTGAGCTTTCAATTTTTAGCCCCAAACATTATTGATGCACAGTTCGAAATGTTTTTTTGTGATATTGCCCTGACGTCAGAATGACTGCTCTGATTTCATAAATAAAATGTAATCATAATACTGAAGGGAGAATTCGGTACTCTCATCATAGGTTGAATAAATTTTTCTATTGTCATTTGTTTATTTCTATTATTTGTCTTATTTTTATGTCAGCGATAATTCGAATGGACTTTGAAACTTATCAAAACATGTATGACTTTTGTTCTCTTTTTTTTAAAAAAAAAAATACAATTTTTGTTATTTACATGGCTCTTCTCTTTTGTTACGCTCAACATCTTGATTAAGAGTAATCATAGGGATTCAAATATGTGAAAAATGAAGATTTCGAAATCTTTACAGTATTGCCCACATTATCCGACGAAGTCAAATTTGAGTTATTGGTAGAAAAAATTTAACCTTCTTAGCGAAGCTCGGTTTTTGGGCATGAATTGAAAATATACATAGTTTTTGTGTTTCCTAACCAAACAAATGACTTTGTCTTACAAATGCTAAAGCAAATGGACCAAGCTTGTGCTTTTCAGTCACAAACAGAGCCTTAAATGGCATTTTTCCAGTCTTTTTGGGTGGTTTTGATTATACGACTTTTTCGATATCAGACATGGCCCTCTCCACAGATCATCGTATAGTCGGGACATTGCTGTATTTGCTTGTCTTACATGTGGCTGTACTCTAAATTGACGTTTTCAATCTGAATATTTAAAAATAATTTTGCCATACTATGTTCAGGGTGTCTCACACCTTCCTTACCAGACTTTCTTCTCTATCATGATAGGTCGGATGAAGTTGGAGACTGCAGGGAATCGACCTGCCAAGGAATCTAAGTTTCATGATCCCGAAACCCCCTCCTCCTGGGGGATATAAGGAGAGTCGTGGCTTTATAAATTGGAGTTCCCTCAGAAATTTTTAAATTATTCCGTTAAATTCAGAAAGTTCGGAAAATTTTATCCCTATCTGATACCAAGGCATCCGACATTGGACCACTTGAAATATTGACTCCTAAAGGTGGGGAGCAGGTCCCCTCTCAAAATTTAATATTGCAGTGACTCAGGAAAAATATGTTTTCCCAGGTAGTCGATTGCCAGGAATCTGAGTTTGAAAGTCCCGAAGCCCCCCTCCCCCTCAATCATTCTTTGTTGTGATATGGGACCCCTAAGCCTAAAACAATTTCATTTACAGTCAACACTTACATTCAAATTTTACATTTCCAGGTGGATTATTTCGAAAAAATCTAAAATTCAGTCTCTATCTAGATCAATCATTCAGGAATGTTCAAGCCTTAAACCATCTCCCAAAATCTTTAAGTCAAAAATTCTATTACCTATATCATTGACTTAATTTTAAGATTATTAGCAAAATCTTGCTGTTTTGCCAGCACTTCCGCTAGTTTTTTCTTATCTTTTAATGGCGTTTTATCTAAAAGATACCGCGGCCTTGGAGGGGAGTATGGATGGATCTTGTGAGGGGAGTACTCAATTTTAATTGTTATGTTTGACCGTTTTGACCATTTGGGGAGGCCGGCTTCGCAGTAAGCTTTGGTAAACTGCCTATAGAGACCGCCCACCGTCAGCCGTGTTCTTGTTGTTGTTTTTATCCAAACAATAACAAATCAAAAAATCGTAACGTGATAATGGTAACAGATTCAGATTATTACAGACTGATTAGACTTTAATCAGAATTAGGTATTCATTTGAAACTTATTTTCGTGACTTGTTCATCGTACTTTTAAAACCGAAGCCGATATCTGCTTATTATGGTAAGTCATTTTATTGCATCAATCTTGTATTCACATGATCATTCAACCAATCTAGAGTTTTGGTGGGTTATAAGATGCCGAATCAGATTAGCAACGGAACTGATCCCCTACAAAATTCAATGAAATCAGCATGAATACATCCTCCCTACTCACTAAGTCCTTTGCCGACGTGCTTTGTATTACAAAGTTCAGAACTTTTTTGGAGGTTCTGTTTCATTTCGGTCCATGCCAACTGAGTGTACGCACTCTTAGACGTCGGCTTATATTTTGTAAGAAACTTTGAAAACTATGACGGCTATAGGATGCCTTTAAATCAAAAGGAACTATTTAGTTTGTAACATGAGCTCTGTCATTCATGCACCCTTATAGACCTCAGGGCTCATATCAAAATGGACATAATTCCGTATGATTTGAATATGTCCAATTCATCGATATTTTACATTCTCCTCATCTTGGAACACAGGCATCGTTATACGAAGAGGGTCCATACTGAAACATACATATTGATGGTAAAACTTCCAGACCATGTATCTTGGTTTGCTACATTGCAGACTTCCTGTTATTCTTTATTTTTTAAATAGAAATCCACTTAAGTATTTTTCCATGTCAATTCTTGAAAACTTCTGTGATTTTTCTTCTCTGTGAAAACTTCAAATAAGGATGACACTGATTTGTTTTCCTTCAAAAACATAAATTGGGAGCAGAGATTTTCAAACGCTGCAAAGAAGATACGTGTTCTGGTAGTTTCACTGTCGATATGTTGTGCATAGTTACTTAATCTAATTTCTGCCATTCGCAATATTTTTTACTTTCATATTTGTATTGACTCCATGTTTAATACAAACAATTTTTATCCCATACAGGTATTTTAGATCACTTGATGGAATGCTCTATCCCTCTGACCTGCAGCTGCGCCATGGAATTAGATCAATCATCGGACGAACTGATAAGGATCTCCTCAATATTCAATGCAGCCATCGAGAACAATGACCTTGACACCGTTCACAAACTCTTGAAAACCGGTTTGAATCCAAATAACCCCTTCACCGCCAACTGCGTCCGACATGCCACCGTCAAGAACAATCTAGATTTAGTTAAACTTTTAGTCGAATACAATGCGGACGTCAACAGCAATGCTTACATTGACACTGCACTTTGTGTTGCTGTAGAAAATGGATTCTCTAGCATTGTGGAGTTTTTGGTATCCTGTGGAGCGGACACGCAAGATACCAATTCCTCTGGACTCTGTTTTTTGCACACAGCAGTTCAGTCGTTGAAACCAATTTTACACACCTCAAAGCAAAACCGGATCCCGTCACAAGACCACCTGTGCTCTGTGGGAAAAGAGTATAAGTTTTTTAGGATTTTAAAATGTTTGTTGGAAAAAGACAGCAGTCAAATTAACGACAAGTGCGGAGGTAAAACTCTTTTGTGTTTGCTGACCGCTGATTTGTACAATGCACGAGCTGTTTTGCCCTTTATAAAGCTTCTGCTTAATCATGGTGCGGATGTAAATGTTCCTTCAGGTCGCCTGACACCCTTGTTCTATGCCACAAAGCTATGCCAAGACGAATTGGTAAAATTGTTTTTAGAATTTGGAGCCAAAGTCGATGTAAGACTATATAATAATAATAAAATGAATATTTTACACTATGCAATAAAAAAGAATAGATTTTCAACAGTGAAGCTCATTATGGACTGCATGAACTTAGACATTAACTCAGAAAGGTATTACTACCATGCCCTCCCCTTACTTCATTATACGGTGAAAAAAGGATGTCCTGGTATATTGAGATCATTTCTCCTCTCAGGTGGAGACATAACAGTTAGGGATAAAAACGGTCGATCCATACTTGAAAATTACATGAATGTCCGCAAGTGTCGAAAACAATCGCTCAAAATGAATCAGTGTCTCAGGTTAATTATTTTTTTTATGGTTACTGAAAGACATCGCAATAAATACGACTTTACAGACAGTGAATTAAGAAGTTTGTACAGTGATTGGTGTTCATTTAGGTATTTAGATAAAGCGTTCGAAATCGGACTGATAGGTAAAGTAAACGATAGGTTACCCGTTACCTACCTCCACATTATTTATGCAAGTGACTCAGAATTGGCAATGCTTGTCAGGAAGTATTCTCTTAGTAGTGAATTTTCTCAAGATATTTTTCCAAAAGAATGTAATATGTTTTTAGATGTGTTTGAAGAACTCATCAACAAAGGAAAAAAACGCCTTGAGATCTTGAACAAAACAAAGGCCTTGGAAAGAGCAGGGTATTTTCTATCGCCCATTGCCCCACTAAATATTCTCTGTGTCGAAAACATTGTTAAATTTTTGAATAATGTTGATTTGAAAAATCTTCTAAGAGCTAGCAAAAGGAGAACTTTTTACCCAACCATATGAGTCTTCACTAGTTACTAATTACCAATTGATTATTTCAAATATCCGCTTTTATTTTAATTTTCTTTTTTTCTCATTGGAAAAGCCAACAAACTTCTACGCTCAAAATTTATGGGAAGTACTCAGTATTGGACAGTATCGAAACAAATATTACATCCGCATTCAAGAAATTATTATATTTTTCTTACCATAGAATAAATTGTGGCCCAAGATTTGCTAAGAAAGGAAATGTTTTTATCCTTTTGCATAAATATTAACGTATGAAACATTGCTGGTAAGGAGCATAAGTCTTGAAAATTTACCTCTAATCTATTTTCTGAGAAGAAGAACAAAGTAACAGTTATGCTTAAAATTTTTGTAGAATTCTGCCCTGTAGATACTAGGAATCTCTAAAATTTTAGTGCTACTGCCGAAAAGTTTTCAGTTCAACAATTAATTAAAAGTACGGTAGGTCGCAAACTGAAATATCTGTTAAAAGGTTGTGGTCAGTGATCTTCTCGAACGAAAGTGTTAAAATGATATAGCACAACATGCTTAATTTCTGACATTATAAAGGATAAATGAAAGAATTCTAGGAATGTCTTACTGCTCCTGTTACCCCACCCGAGTCTCAATTGCTTTAAAGGCGGTTTAAAGGTTTTGTCGTTAATCAGAAGTTCTGTAATTTTTGTCTTGCCTTTTGAATCCCTTCTTTCCTTGTTTTGTTTGTTGTCAAAGTTGTAATTTACATCACATGTTGCAGTTTCTTTTTGTCTGAGGTACAACCATAACTCAAAATCTCAACATCAAAAATTCTTCTAAGTTTTCATGTGACTGTTACTTGAATTCCATCCTTGTCACCAAAGAAATTAAATTACAACCATGAGTACCTGCGTTTTTTAAAGTACTATAATTTTATGCACCTTATTTAAACCCAACACTAGAAAAATCTCACCAATCTTTTGATTTGTGAAATTTAGCACAGACCACTTCAGATTGGAGAATGCTAATAACTCATGCAGAAGATTCATCTTTTCTGCATAAGTAGCTTCGATGTTAACTGGCAAAGGTACTGTAGTACCCACTGATGAAAAAAACTGTTCCTGTATCTTTCATTTGAGCACTAGATCCAGGATGCTGTTTGCAATGGTTCAACGCGTTTGTACTTTCCCTTTCTAATAATCAGCCATGTGTACGTTTTCTTTCAAGTGTGAAGAATCAAACTCACAGTAAAGTTTCGTGTTCGTTTCATTGAGATTGTCTTGAATGAGCTTTTTATTGAAAATTTTCACCATTCGATGAATTGCTTTAGAGTTAAGTTTGAACATCCAGCTAGTAAATTATGGGTTTTCTCTTTTCTTCCACGAATACGACACATGAAATTGTTATTATTATAATATTTGAGCAATAATTTTGATGTTAAAACCTATTTTGAACACCCAGTGTAATGTATTTTTATGACCTTACCTGAAGTTCATTAAAGTAAGCTCAAATAAACCCTAAAAATCTCCTATTAGAATTTACTACAAATTCAACTCTCAAAATCTCTAAGTATCTAAAGTTCCTTGTTTCAGATTGAATCGGAGGGGAGGNNAGGTGTGTCCATCTAATTTTTTGTTTCCTTACTGACAGGAGGAGTGTCGTGTCGGTCTCCTTCTGCCAGTTTTCAGTTCGGCCTCAGAGGTTGGTCGGTCTTATCCAGCTTTAGATTTGGTAACGAAAATGTCATTAATAATTTTAGGGATTTTTAAATTAGACTGTTTTCCAATCATTGTAGGGAAAGAATAACGGACTCAGAAGCTGCATACGTAGGGATATCAGATTGGTGCAGCTTTCGCTTTTAGAAGAGTCGTTTTTCCCGCCTCCAATTCAGAAGAAGGATGCCCCTCGTCAAGCAAGTTGACCAAGTTGACCAACCTTCTGAACTCTTCTACTCACCGAAGACCTTTTTTATATTAGAGTACCTTTATTTTGTATGAGAGCCTTTTTACGGCTAAATTTTTTTGGAAGTGTTTTAGAGATGTTACTAAAAATTGAAGTTGTCCAATTCATACATTATACCGTAATTTCCAAACATCAAAACACTGTAAAGTTGACAAATTAAGGACGAATATTCATGCTCAACGAAAGTTTAACTTGATTAGTGTAACAACCAATCAGAGGTCGTTTTAGTCATGACTGATGATAAAGGACGTTTCTATTGGGCCGTGGTGAGTGACTTACGCGCGCTAATGGCACGTGCCGACGACTGAGCGAGTGTAAACAAAAGTAGTGTGAAGATTGAAGAAGCCAAAAAGTTCCGGCCTCTAATCATTTGGGTGCTCACTTGCCCCGAAATTGTTTATTCGTCTCTGCCTCTCTGCATTTGTACATTGATAATGGATTTTGATCCTATGCTCTTCTTTCGCTGCCATTCATGTCAGTCTGATCCCGAACCCGGAGCAGACACCAGTACCCAGGTATGTCTGTCTGAACATTGATTTCAATGTTACAATGTGCCTTGACTTACGCATTCGTCTTTGAATTGACCTGTTCGCCTTCCAATCGATGCAAAAATTTACTCGCACATGTATTTAGAACAATCACTTATAGACGTCATAGATATTTGCATCTCATCACTATTTACACTGCATGCCAGGTATGAGGACAGCCTCCTTGACGATAAGTTGTCAGTGCAGCACGTATTCATTAGCTACCGCAAGGTACTTTAGTTGTTCCATTTGTCCAATGCTCCCCTAAGAGTTCAGGCCCTAATCATTATGGGTGGTGGTATCAGAAGTTTTTTCATTCGCTCTATCGTCACCCTTCAATTTTTTCCGTGTTACTTAGGCTCGATCTCTGATGACCAGTGAATAGATCCTTCGCTGATAGTAAAAGTTTAAGAATTTCTGTAGATAGCTTTCATCTACTCCCCATTCAGAACGCTCAAAGTGAATGAGGATAGATCGATGTTTCACTTTTCCACGTTGAGGTTATGTCTAAAGTATTCAAAGCCTATAGTTTGAAGCCTCCTCTTTATACCTAGCCTGTCACTGACTACGATTTGATCCTAAAGCAATTTTGATTGCCCTACATGCTCATAAGACATGGTTTGTAAGCAATCTTATGCCAAAATTTTTGGTGCTTTTCTCTTCAGTTGAAAATTTTTTCTATGAGGGCGATAGAGATAGCTCACTGCGCAAGAGGACTATCTGCAATTGCTGAGAAGGTTACTTCTTCTTGTTCACATCAGGGTCATTTCGCCTAACCTTAATTTTTTCTGGGATCAAGTTTTGGAGCTTCAGAAACTACACAGGCTGATCCAGGCATTTCTTAGTTATCAAAGATTGAACGCAAGATTAACTGGAGTATACTTAGACCTCAAGAAATCCGATTTGTAAGGGGGGGGGGGGTAATAGGGAAATCCTGTTTTTTAAAGTCAAGTATCCCGGCAAAATTTTGAAATTAATCCATTAAGAAGTCTAGCATTGGCCCATTCTTGTCCAAATTATTGACCAGGTGGAGGAAAGAGCCCCCTCAACACACTACCAGGTCGCCAAATGAATGTGGAAGCGTGGGAATAAATATGTTTTCTCAGGTAATTAGCCCTGAAGAATCGGAATTTGATATTCCATGGCCCCCTGAAGCAAGGATGCATACTTTCAGCAAATAAAGTATCAACTTGGTCTAACATGTTTTGTCTATTTTACAGGTGTGGTACTGTGATTTCATGCCTGATCCAAAAAACCCATCACAAAACTCCAATTTTGTTGCAACAGTAGGCGGACAAGCCATCTGTATTATAGACCTCAAAGAGATGAAAGTCTGGAAAAATTTTTATTGCAATAAAAGTTCTCCGTAAGTTATACAATTTTTCCCTATTTCTTTAAATCAGTGTCAGGGGCATAATTGAAGGACGGGAAGGGGGTAGTGAACTCACGACAATTATATACCAAAAATATACTTTTTCACAAGTTTCAAGGCAAAAACAGCAGTTTTCTTTGATATGCTACTAATTAAAGATAAATGTAAAAAATGACATTATTTGCAATCATAAATGCAGATTAATTTTTTAAGTAAATAAGATAAAAACTCTAAGAGGCTAAATTCGAAAGTACCCTAAAAATCCTAAAAATGTCCAATATTACATTCCTACTCTTTCAAATCCTGCTCAGCTCGAAATAACCTCATTTGTCTATAGATGGCTGTAAATTCCAAAAAAATTTGAAAGTATTCTGAGTAATTGTTCAGCTGAAAGTTGATGGTATTGGACCTATGCATCAAATTTAAATTTTATGATCAGACTTTAGCCGCCACAAGACTTTTTGTATTTTCAGATATTTGTAACGCAGACCCTTGCTCACAGTGAACATGGGTATCGATTATTATTGGACATGTTGAAGTGGGCACTTTTGCAATGGATATTTTACCAAAGGAATTTTTACGATTGGACATTTCAATGTCTCCTGCACAGAGGAACGTTTGTCAATTGCGCTGTTCCATTGTTTCTTACTGACATTTCATTTTTTAGAGGGGATTTTGTCATATGAACTTGCCCCAAATTTGCAGTAATTTTTCCGCACACTTGCGAGAAATGACACATTTTTAGGCAAATTCGTGCAATGGCTCGTCCATAAAGAAATAAATCGTGGAAATATTAAAACAGTTCAGACAGGATACATTCCCTCGTCCGGAAGACAATGATTTTTGACTGAACATTTTCATCTATCATGCTCTCGAATCATAAGCGATCTCTTTTATTTCAGTTACTCCAATGTAAAATTTTAAGCATTAGAAGTATGCATTTTGATGTGCCCATATCACAGAACGCAGTTCACTCCATTGCCCATGCTTCGTCATATGGTGTGCCAACACCCCAGCGCAAGTGCTTATTGTTCTTCGGATGAAAGTAAATGATTGCACCTTTATGCAATTTAATCTATATTCATCTGTCTTTGTTTCTGTATTTTCCAGAAAAGAAGAATTTTTCTGTTCTGTGTGGATTAATGTGCCTTACAATGAATTTGATTCTGCACTTCTACTGGTAGCTGGCAGTAATAGAGGCAAACTTTATTTCCTTTCCATGGACCAAGATTATAGCGCAGGGGAAATCAGTGTAGTAGTACCTCCCAAAAAAGGGAGAAAAAAGGATGGGATTGCAGTTAATTCTGTCTGTGTTCATATTGATGAAAAAAAGAAAGAGACATTGCTCTGTAAGTGAAATTAAATAATGAATTTCTTCTTCTTTCAGAATTAAATAGTATGTAACCAATTGATTGAGTCCGAGTCAATGAAAAAAAAAAAAGAAGAAGAAGATCATTTCAGTTGTCAGAATGACCAAATCTAGGCATAAGCAGCTTAGGGTGGCAAATTTTGGGGGGCAGCTAAAATACGTTGAAAGAGAAAAAATTAGGCTGCTGCGCCATACTGGCGGTAAGGTAGTGCAACAACGTGGAGGTTTAATAAAAAGAGCAAGCTTGGTCAGTAACCTGTAGTTGTTGTTCAGAGTGCATTTAGTTTACAAGCATCTTTCGAGATTTTTTCGAACATTATCAAGCCTTGAAAAACGATTTCGAAGTTGAGTATTTTGAGCTCTCATTCAAATGCACATCACCAAAAAAGTCACGTTTCAGGCCAAACGAGTCTGCTTTTGGAGATTTTAGTAATATTCTGCCCTTGTAAGTGATCATCAGTAATTTTATCAGCCGTCAGTAAGTTATCATTCTACTATGTGGAGAGAAAGTGTAAATGAAAGTTCTTGTGCACATGCAGCTTAAAGTATCGAAAATTTGACTCTATATGGAGGAAGTATGTTAGAATGAGTGTCTCAAAAAGGCACAAGTGTATATGTATTCGTTTTCTTATTCTTTTTTCGTTCAAATTGTAAGAAAATGTCTAAATCAGTCACAATCTGATCTTAAAATCGGAATCTTCTCACTTATTAATTTTTCTGACCTCCAAAATTTAGAATGGGTCAATTAAAATAATTTTCACTGTTTTTCTCAAATTCTCGCCCCTGGCAGTTAAGTCTTTTTGACATTGATCGATTCAAATGCCCTCTTCTCTCTTTGATACATGATATGCACATCAAAAATTTTCAAGGAAAGGTCAATACAAGTTGATGTGACACTGAAATTAATTGTTTGACTATGGGCCTGTTGCAAACTTTTGCTAGAGCCAAAATAAGAGTTGTTTCTTATAGATAATGCCTCAAAAATCTCGATGAGAGTATTGGCAAAGTCTGAAATGCACTCATAACTGCACAATCTGCGTAAGAAATTTGCGTTTTTATAAGCTTCCCGCTTCAAAAACGATACTACGGCACAGTTGAACATTTTGTTAGAGGAGTCGCTCCATTGTCGGCGATATTCATCATGACCGACGCTTGTGCGCAGTTCCGCGCGTAATTTGAGGAGAGTTCAAAGTCAATCAATTCGGGCGTGGAAAACATGAACGTTAAAACACGCCGATTGTTATCTGGTCTAATCCAGTTCAGGTATTATCTCGTCCCATCACACGTGTTTTGGCGGATTGGCGTCGGCCATGATGAGTATTGCCGACGATGGAACGACTCCTCTTACAAAATGTTCACCTGTGCCATAGTATCGCTTTTGAAACGGGAAGCTCAAAAAACCGCAAATTTTTTACGCAGACTGTGAAGTTATGAGTGCATTTCAGACTTTGCCGATGCGCTCATCGTGATTTTTGAGGCATTATCTATAAGAAACAACTCTTATTTTTGCTCTAGCAAAAGTTTGCAACAGGCCCATTGTGGCCAAGCAGACTTTAGGTGTTTATTAAGAGAAAAATTTAAATTTGCAAGTGCAGAAAACGCTCATTTCCCTTTTTTGAATTGACTTCGGAAATTCTTGTTTCTGCATGAGTCCATTTTAGATTCGTGGTTTTAAGCCATGCTTGGTTTAATCTTGTCTTCAATCATTTTTTTTTCAGGTGGTCTTTCTTGTGGTCTTGTCTTTGCATATGATATGCAATGTGCGACGAAACAAGTTGAGCAAAAAACTCTCATCGAAGTCCAGGCTAAATCCCTAGGTAGTTTTTCTCTTCCGACGCAGAAAGTTGCGGGTAGTTTTTCTGCTCCGGCGCAGGTGTTGCAATTAGTATTCTGCCCAACAACTCAATTCATTTTAATTGCAAGTGACACTGGATTGTATGGCGTTCACATGCCATCTTGTGATCAGATCGCGAGCAACAAGTAAGTTGTAAATCAGCCTCTGCTCCAGTGCCAGATTTTCTTTTCCAGGGGTTAAAGATGGTACTTCTCGCAATTTTCAATTCACAGTGATAGCATGCACTGCAATTTGAAAATCCCAGTCAAAAATCACTGTTTACCGGGGAGATTATTCTGTCGATGTAGTGTTAATGGCACCTAGCTCGCATGAAAAAAATCACAGTGAAAATCAGTGTTAGCAAAGAGATTCTGTAGATACAGTGTTACTGGCCTGTAACTTGCACTAAAAAATCACAGTGAAAATCACCGTTAGCGAAGAGGGGGAGAGGAAGGGTCTGCCTTGTGTAAGTTTACATTCTGCGACAAGATCTGTCCATAGCGTAAAGTTCTTTTTCAGTTCTTTCATAAGTTCTTTCTCTCCCCCTCTCATAGAACGGCAACTTTCACTGTGATTTTTGACTGTGATATTCAAGGGTTCATCGTCATCTAGGTGATGTCGTGATCACGATTGATTATGCTGCAGCTGCTTCAATTAAAAATTACTCATTTACATGAATATGAACCAGGAGAAAAACTGGGAGGGTCTACTTTCAGTTTACATTTGAATTATAGCAAATGAATTATTAATTATTCATTGATCTTGAAAGAGTGAAAAATCGCATTTTAACGTAATCTTTGTTGTTGCGAGAAATCACCCGTGATCATTGGGTGGGTGGAGCAAACAGCAAAATGAACAGCCAAATTGTGATTGGTGATCCGATGGGATCACGCAGGGTTGCTCTGCTTCAAGAACTAAATTCCTCATCCATATCATTAAAATTTAGAAAAAAACAGACTAGATTTATCTTCTATCTGTGTTCGGATTCATTTAGAGCTACTGGAAATTTTCTTGTTAAAAGAATGAAAAAATAGCAAACAAGCAGGTGCTGTTTAAAACTCACAGTGATTGTTAATGGACCACTAGACAAGGTACGAATTTCGGCATTCTGATACATGTTTCATAACTAAAATTTCACGTAGAACACGATGTGCACAACAAAAATTACCGAAATTAACTCCTTACGAAGATATTTAATGTTTCTTGATGCGTGCATTCCAACCACCCGCTCATGAAAACTCAATGCTCTACGTGATTCACATCGCGCGCTAAACGTTATCATGACAGTCTCTGCGATACAAAAATCTGGCAACCTCAATCTTGACGCTTTGGCTCAGCTATAGCAAATTGCTAATAGTTTGAACAGCACATGGTGGGAAAGGAACATTGCTCGATTGAGAAGCTTGCTGAAACCATTGTAGTGCACGGTTTGACTCACGTAGAGCTTCGAGTTTCTTGTGAGCGGGCAGTTCAAATTCCTCGTAACCAATGTGAAATAAAAACGTTAATATCTTTGTTAGGAGTTGGTTTCAGTCATTTTCGTTATGTGAATCGTGTTCTGCGTGAAATTCTGGTTAAGAAACATGTATCAGATTGCTTAAATTCGTACCTTGTCCAGTGGTCCATTGCTAATTAAAAATCACAGTGATTTTTCACTGCGATCGCAATCACGGGCACATCTCTACCAGGGGTCCTAAGCACTTCTAAAACAGATCTATGGAGAGAAGCAGGGGCAGCATAAGGCGACATTATTGTGTCAAAAAGGCGGTTCACAAATGCTGACATGTGTTAACAGGTGGACCACATTGCCAAGAAACTTCCAAAAAATTGATCATTGTATCCTACGTGATCCTTTGAAAGAGTAGAACGAGTATTTGGATGATCTGGGAATGTTACAATTGATGTAGTAGGTTTTACCTTTAATATCTTCTTTTTAAAAGGAATTTAAATTTCAGTAAGGAAGAACGTATGAGTGTAGTCTGGATTTCATGCGAGTATGGGTTATGGAAGTTAAAGCTAAAAACAAAAATTAGACGTTAGTCAATTTCTAAGTTACTTTATTTGTAAAGAAAAGTTAATTTACACCTAGTAGGTGGTTGTAACATGTATTTGAAGAAAAAAAAAAAAAAAAAAAAAAAAAAAAAAAAAAAGAGGTAAGGAATAGTGGTAACTCTCGTAAAAGTGGATGCAATTAAGCATGACCAACCAATCTACAAAAAAATTTGTAAAAATGTGTATCCTTGAAAGTATTTTATTAGATTGGAGGTTGTTTTTTAAAACTTTCTTCGTAAACAGTTCCAGTAGATAGCCCAACTGTTTTCTCTTGGATAAGTTATCGATCAATAAGTCGAAGTACTAGTAATTGTTTTGTTTTATTCATTGATAATGGTATCTACGTGACATCATTGACATTTACTACACTTCTTTTGTGACATTCTACTTATTTATCCATCATTGATAGACAGTTTGAAGGCCTGATAAGGTAATGAAAAGAAAAAGAGAAACAAAGCAGGAACACTTGAAGAAAATTCCAATATTGGCAACACTGAAGAAGTAAGAAAGAAATGGAACAAAATAAGAGGTTAGCCAGGCGGAAAAAGAAAATTGATTTAGCAAACAACCACTAATCTTCGTGTGAAAGAACTGAAGACCAAACTAATAAGCTTCATGTAATTTAGAGGTCCTCCTTACAACTTGATGCGTTCTTTCTCACTCTCAGTTTAAATTTTCTAAAACGCATCTTAGCCCTAGAACTTCAGTGTCCTGCTTACCTTTTTCAAAATTGACCTATTCAGGATAGCATGAATCGTATCAACTAGTCACTATGTCAATTGCAGTTTAGTTGTGTTTCGAGAAATTTTATTTTTGTAAATGGACTATGCTCTTTGATTACTTTAAAATGAACGTATGTCAGAATGGTTTCATCAGCCTTTTTGATCCTGAAGTTAAAGTTAAAGTTGAAGTTAAAGTTAATTGAAACTTGCATTCCAGGGGATCTGAAGAAAATGAAAGTCATATATTCGTGAGGCTTCTTATTCCACTCTGTTTTCAGGCATAAAATTTTCAAATTTCAACGGCCTGATGAGTACAGGAAGGGGGAACACGATCTCAGTGACTCAGTCCAGGTTATTGGAGACAGTCTAATCAGCGTGAAGTACGCTCTTCATGGTGCCATCTTCATTTTTGATTTAAATCACTGCACCATGAACAATAACGAGAAAGAGCCGACTATGGACTTTGTACCGCGGTATGTTCTGGAGTGGAGCAACACCGATAACTACTTTCTCAACATTGGCGTGAGCAGAGGTAAGTTCTTATAAAAAAAAGTCGAAAATCCACCCTAATTTAAGAAATTATCTACTCAAAATAATTGATCATCTTAAATTTCCACCTGTGAAGAAAACTGAAAATTATTGCTGGTCAAATTTGCCATTGAAGACATTCCTCAGTGTGTCTACCGGTCTCCGAAGTCCCCAATGTCCCCAATTATTCCCGAATTTGGAAGGGTGTCCCTGATACCCTGGAAAGTCCCCAATTTTCTTGTTCAGGTCCCCAAAAATGACAAAAATTGTCCTAAACACTGGCATTTTCACATTTTCCTGCCGGCTGCGGTATAACCAGGAATAGAAAAACTGAAGTGTTGCTTGGTTTTTCATGTTTTCATCGGTTCAACATGATTTGCACTCCTTAGCATTGGAATAAAGTAGCACCAACAAACTGAAAATGTAGGAAAAATAGAGAGAGTCCAAACAAGAAAAATCATGGCTTAGATGTAAGATTTGTTATGGAAATTAATGTATTGAAATTCAAAGTACCAACAGTTTTGTAAAGGCTATTAGGCTTGACAAAACTTTTTTTCTTTCTTCCATGTATAGTATCAGTGAATTTTTTCAAAAAAAAATCACCATATTAAAAAATTGTCCAACATTAAACCCTAGGGAACTCAGTTAATTCAAGTAAGTTTTGACTTTATCAAGCTATATGTATCAATGGTGAAACTACCTGACCATTTATCTTGTTTGCGGTGTTTAAAAATTTACGCTCCCATTTTATTTTTTAGAAGGAGAACAAATCAATATCATTCCTTGAAGTTTACAGAGTTCTTTTCACTTGAAGAAGAAAAATCACAGAAGTTTTCAAAATTGATTTTGAGTACTTTATCATGTAAAAAATAAAGCATGACAGGAAGTCTGCAATGTCGCAAGCTCAGATACGTGGTTTGGTACTTTCATCGTTGGTATGGATCAGAACTATTGTATTTAGAAAAGTTGAATACCTTTCTTTGGGTCGGCTTTGGAAATGGTAATATTTTCCAAAATACTGTTCGGTGCTTAAACTCTTATGTCTGGTTATCAGTCTGTTGCTTAAGAACCACTTTCCCACAGTTTACAATTTATATTCTGTTTCAGCCGCAAATCTTCTGGCTTGTGGAGACGATCAAGGAACTATTTGGGTTTACGATATCAAGTCCGTGAAAAGTGGCAAAAAGTCAGACAAGCCGATTGTTTTGCCTCCAACAGCCCAAATTGCATGGCCAGATGAAGTAATCGATAGAGATGCAACGAAAAAGAAAAAACTAGATTTGAAAGATAATGAAATAGTCATAAACAAAGTGACCATTCACTCATCAGGGCAATACATTGTGGCAGCCACAAATAAAAACACTGTTTGTTTGTGGAAAAGAAATGATGACACTGTTAATGCTGTCAAGTTCAAAGAGACACCGAATAAAGCCTTACGTTCTCCTAAGTCTAGGATTGTTTAACCATTGATATCACTCAAATTGTTCTCTAGAATTTTTTTATTTAATTTTACAGAAGACTGTTTCTACTTCTTGATAATGAATTCTCTTTTTGTTCTTTTTTTGCACTATTTGTTACCTTAGTGTTTAAATTTTTCTCCAGAAAGCACTTTATATTTACCTTGAAGTTGTTCTTGGTAGACTTGACTATTAAACTGTGCTTTTTTTTTAAAGAAGCAAAATCTTTTTTCCTCTTTGTAAAATTGGAAGCGTTTGAATGTAAGGTCAGTCAAATTTCCTAATTATATTGTAAGTTGTTCTGAAAGACTTGCATGAGTGTCATTAATTCAAGAAAATAGAGGACCTTAAGGAATTAAATATCCCTCTATTTTTTGGCAAAAGTATTGATGATGGAAACAATCCAATTATTTTGTATGACTAGATGTATTCTTAATTTAACTTAAGCTTTTTGAAGTGAGAGCATAAGGGCCTCTAAAAATGAATTTTCCTTTTCCACGATTACTGATCTCTTTACAAAGCAGGATTACAACTGCGTAATTTTGTAACTCATTATCAATCGCGGTTTTTTACAGTGTATTAGAGTTTTCTTTTGAATCAATGATTAGCATCACATCATTTATGGCTCATCCTCGAACATAAATTCACAGTTTCACTGTGGTCATCACAAAGCGGAACTCTTTCTATCTAAAAATTGGGAGAGTCTGAAGTCTATAAGCCTGTAAATCAGCCTAGCTCGCACCTTAATATAACGAGTATACAGCATTGCAAATCCCAGTGATTTGCATGAGCAATGCTGCCAACCTGTTAAGAGAAAAAACAAAAAGTCGGATAGTCAACATCCAACGCATGAAGCAAAAATCGCAAACCACGATCTTTCTTCTCTTCTAAAAATGAGTTCAAAGGATACATTTCACCGTGTTAGAACTTGGAAAGAGAACATCATTTTTTCGAGGCACTGCAAACTAATCCTAACAGGTAGTTAGTATTTAGTGAAAATTATAAGTTTTGTGTGAGGATAACTGACAATTGGACAATCATTGTTGAGGAATGTAATAAACTTCATATTCCTCGTGAATGAGATGATGAATATGTAATAATGGGTCAGTTCACCTGATAGTTTTCATTTGCATACATACAGTAGTGAAGTCAGTAGTAGCCTAGGACAGTCGATATCCTCCACTTCCTCATTTCCACTTATCACATGTAGCTTAAATTGAAGGTGGGAGTAAGATTAACTAGGTGGCATAATTGAAGTGTTCTTGAATCTATCAGTGTAAGAAAAAAATTGGAGGGATTTTTATTTCTTGAACATTCGTTGAAGGAACCTCCCAAGTATAATATTGAAAAAAATTATTTTAAACATTTTGAGTTCAATTTAATCATAAATAAATCATAGCTTAACCATCTGTTGCAGCAATTGCATGCCTGCATGCCTTCACCAGTTGTTGATGAATGTTAGTACTTGTTGCTAATGGAAATTTTGCAAAATCACCAAGTGAAACTTTCTAAGTAACAACTCACCTTTTCAGTAACCACCCAAACTTTCTCATGCAATAATTCCTTATTATGAGCAAAAAGATGATATGTCTGTTGCTCATCTATATTTTCATTATCTATTTAAATGCTCTCTCTTTGCTCTGATTTGCACGGAAAAGTCACTGGGATAGTAGTTTCTTTTAGGCCCATCTTGCGAAAAATATCCTTAAAGACTCTATATTTAAAGGATGTATGAAATTAATTTGACGCTTTTCATTAATGTTCTCTGTTCAGTTTTTTTGCATCATCAAGTCTCGTGTGTAAAGTCAGTCTAAATGAAATCTACTTATTGCACAAAAACTCCATTTGGTTCTTTTCAATTGCTTGTATTTTTCAGTTTATCATATCAGCTAGCTTTAAATAGAATGTTATCGTTTTCAATATTTTTCCCAAAAAATATTAAAAATATTATTTTTAATTGTTACAGCCAGTATGTAGTCATAAAATTATGTTGAATGTTATTTTTTTATGTCCATAATATTTTGTTAATGTGCATTCCATGTAAATATGTATTTGAAATTAAACTTGAACCGACGTTTTCTGAACTTGTTAAGGTATGGACGTCATTATTGTCAGACCGGTGGTTGAAGATATTTTTTCAAACAGCTTTTCACTTTAAGTCTCAGTCCATTAGGCGCGGAAGTGCCCTCCTTGTAATATCCTCCTATGATTGCTTCTCAGGATCGCTACATTGTTTTGCTGAGTTGAGTTTTTTTTCTGTGTGTATAAGTGACTCACTTTCATTTTTTGGTCCTGATTACTTTTTGTAAACTCAAACCAGAAAATAATCCTTTTAGGCATTTCAGTCCATCATCAGGTCAATGTATTACACGGTGTTGCAAAACAAAAACTTGCCAAAAATTAAATTTACAATACAACCAACTGTATGCCAATTTTCTGATTGGCACACAGTTAGTTATCCTGAAGGATGTAGTCGATTTGTTCTGCAATTGTGCAAGGAGTCACAATTCTTCACTATTCTGGCTTTCTATGCATGTCAAAAGCTCACTTCAACAATTGACAGCAATGCACCCTTGAACTTACTGCCTTGAGAGTGGGTCATGCAATTGAACTTCATCAAGAGAGATATAAACATGATGGGAGTTGAGTATCACGATAGTATCATCCCGCCCGGCAAGTGGTTGCCTGAAGTAGTTGCGGAAATGTTGTCACAATGTGACTGTCAAAAATAATGTTGCGACAACGTTGCAGCAACGTTGTGGCAATGTTATTTTTGTCAGTCACATTGTGACAACATTTCCGCAACTACTTCAGGCAACCACTTGCCGGGCGGGATAGCACCAACTAAGGTGGTACAGAGATTTGACTCCATCTAAAAATTTCATGTGCAGTTGCTTCCATTTCAATCTTTATTTTTTGACAAGCTCATATTTTGTGATACCACCTAATACATCTGATAATGGACTGCGAAGCCTGAAATGAGCGTTGTCTAATACAAAAGTATAATGATTAATTAGGACCTAAAAGCCGAAGTGAGTTTTCTTGATGTACCCTGAACCTAATAAAAAGATGGTATCCAACATGTAATTCAAGTAAAGAATATTCTGGAATACCATGTCTGCTAATAGAATCTTTTTACACTATAAGAGAGTAACATCTTCTGCAAGTCATTAAAGTCAAATATTTTCCAACGAGTGGACAATCAAAACAAATATCCTATGACTAATAAGGAAAAAAAGGTTATCCTTTTTTGCTCAAAATTGTGATTATTTTTGGACGAAAATTAATTAACCATTGTAGAGGTATATGAATTATGTGTTATTCTTCTTTGATTTACGCGGTGTTAAGAGTAATATTTTTCTCTGTGATTTTTGCATTTCTCAATGTAAGTAGAACTTAGGATATTAGACAATTGAAAGTATACTCATTAGATCTAAAAGTGTTTGTTCATGCCAAAATCTAATTGTTGGTTTACACGTTTATCTAAATTCAGATTTTTTGAAATTACCACATACTTAGCCCTCAGGATTCATCACTACCACTCATACCTTATTTTTCTGAAAAATATCCCTAAATTTCTAGCCTAATACAATGAGTTGGTCGCAAACTTTTGCTGGGTTAAAAAAAAAAGAGTGGTCTTTCACAAAAAACAGCTCACAAATCAAGGAGACCACATGGAAGTAGTTCATAACTCCTTTTTGACTCCACATCGTGTGCGAGGAATAAGTGCATTTTTAAACTTCCTGCTTTAGAAAGTATATCACATCAAAGATAGAAGAGCAACCCTAGTTTCATATCTCCTTTCAAAATTCAAAACGGTTGCTGGCATGTGTCTCAATTTCAATTAAGAACAACCTAAAAAATGCCATTCATTTAATTTTGCTTTACTTTCTTGCTTTCTAATAAGTTTAATACGTAGAAGTAATTTCATTGATTGTTTTTATTCAGGGACCCGATTCTCACGACAGGGGTCATTTGATTGTGAAATCTTCAAGCTAAGTATTAAAATTGATAAAGAGAAAATCAAGCGATCCCTTTGGTAGCAGGCGGTTCTTATGAAGGGATCTTATGAAGGAAATGATTAACTAAATGGTCTCTCCTGGGTTGCTGTTAGTTAATCTTTTACTTATCTGTGTTGACCATTGCTACCACCTGCCTCCACCACTTACATGGCTCTATTTTCCCTTTGCCTCATTTGTTTATTGTTCTGTCGAATCAATTTAAAAAGTCAGCTTCAAGGATGATTCATCTACAACAAATGTTGTCTTTCCTGAAGTTAAATTTTTAATGCCGGAAGCTCATAAATGTGCTGATCAGCCAGCAGACAGAACAATTTTCGGAAAGATACAATTCTTCTTTTGGCTCTTCCAAATTTTTGCGACACACTCAGTTTCTATGACATAATTGTGTAACTTAGACGAAGTTAATTCATAATTTGAATTTTATTAATGTTTTCATTTTTCAACTTTTTTAATAAATTATTAAAATTTTTGTAACTGCCGTTCTGAATTTCTTCACTTTTCTCAGGTTTCTTTCTCCCATATAATCAATGGAATTTTATTCCATCAGGACCTCAAGTTTTTAGTTGAACTTTAACTGATTTTTTTATCTCCACCAAAGTTCAACTAAATAAAGAATTGAACAAATTGTGATAAGCACTTTCTTTAAAAAAAGTCCCCACTCGATTTTTTATATGCCATGAAAATAAATCTATTTTGCAACTTAAAATTGCCATTATCTTCTAAACCGTTGGTTGGAGAGCAAAATGGAGCAAATGTTCCTATTTTCTTGACCTACAGACTGGCCTAACCTTAGTGCCCCCCTTTCCTCTCCCACAGGCTTATTATGGGGTCAGGGGCCTTGTGGCCTCAATTTAAGTTTTTGAAATTTTGTTCTTCAGCTGGTGCTGAATGATGATCTAATTTAGTTAAAATAAAATTCTTCTTTGTCATTATCATTGAGTTGCGATTCAATATTGAAGTGAGTTCAATAAATGGGACGGAATAGAACTTGCAATTATCAGCTGGAAAAATTAAAAATCTTTAATAGAAATACAACATTTAAGTAACAATATAATAAGTAATAAAAGAAAATAATGGACAGTGATCAAGAAAAATATTTTCTTTTCTCACAAGAGTTCAGTCTTAAAAACACGCTTAGTATTAACGAAAATGTGAGCAAGTATAATCATATCATGGTTAAATTTTTTTATTTCTTTATAAAAGAAAATCTTCCACCTTTTTCCAGAACTCCCAATTCAGATGGACTTAAATATTTTAAATACATCCGAGTGAGAATTTGTCATCTATGATTTACATTAGAATTACCAAAAACCGAACTGTCCATCTGCAAAAAATCTAAGTCCAACATAGGTCAACCCAGCGATTAAAACAACTTAACTAACAGTCAATTTAAAATTTTTTTCACATAAATTTCCTTACATATTTGAAACACGGTGATTCTTAACTTGTTGAGAGCAATTTATAACTCAAAAGAAATTATCCCATTGCAAAGCAAGCAAAAATGATTTGAGTATTTGATCTTATTGTGGGTGCTCAAGTGATGTGGTGGCCCTGAAAAGGGCCTGTGGCGGCCAATCACCGCCTCTCCAGCGCGGCGCATCCCGCGCTCGCCCGTGATTGGCCGACACGGTCGCACCCCGAGGGTATAAGACCAGCGCCCCCGGCCACCTACGGCACNGGGCGAGCGCGGGATGCGCCGCGCTGGAGAGGCGGTGATTGGCCGCCACAGTACTCCCCTACGGCTGAGACGGAGTCTCTAGGAATTTGGTGAATTTTGGTATGAGCTCTGGGCATGTCTTGCTGGCTCCTTGGAGGAATTTGCTTTTCTTCTCCAAAGTGTTGTTCTGATTGAATAGTCCGGCGACGGTGTAGTTTTCAGGGATGTTTTTGCAGGGGCACGAAAGATGGGTACATGGTTGGCATGATTTTATTTTGCAAGTGCATAGGGAAGAGCAGGTGAGACATAGTTGGCAAATTTTGGGGTGAGGGGTAGGATTCAAGTTATGTTGGTAGATGGGTGGGGCAAATGAAAATATTTCCGGAGGGACTAGGTGGAGTTGGGTCTTAGGGACGGTGAAGATGCGGGGTTTGGGGGAATGGATTTGAGTGCCTGCGGTGTGGTGTATGCCTTGTGCTCGCTGGATTTGCTTTCTTGGTTTGGTCTTGAAAATTGCTATCTTCTGCTTGGTGCACGCCATACCATATTGGGCTGCATAGTTTTGGGTAGTTTGAGCCCATTTGCTGTCAGGTCTTGTGCGTTTCTTCGTGCCGGAGGTGGATTGTTGGCCGGATTTATGATGCGCCTCTTGGTCCAAAAAGTTATTGTGTGGAAGCCGCCAGGAAAAAGTTGGTGGTTCTTCATGTAGATAACTGTGTTGAATGAAGCGGGCTGTCAGGTGAAATAACTTGTCGACCGTCGCCATGGCTCGTGGGTGAAAGACTGAATGCTGTGGATAGATTGATGGCCTTTTTATAGGGAAAGCTGCCTGATTGGTTTGGTTGGAGCTTTCTTTATTGTTTGACCAAGTCCGGGAAGCGGAAATGCACTTTCCTCCCTGATCGAGTCCTGTATTCCGGGGCTTTGGTCTCTGCTTCGTTGGGTGTTGGGGGCGGGACCGCAGCTGGGGCCGGAGTGGTTTTGGGACATGCGAGCTGTACAGAGGCTGGTTCTTCGGGTAGGATGTAGGCCGGTTTAAGGCGGTCGATGCTGATGTTGACTTGCCTGCCTTTGATCAGAAGTTTGTATACTTTGTCGGTACGCTCTATGATTTTGTATGGCCCGGTGTAGGGGGGCTGCAGAGACTTGCGGCTTGTGTCGTCTCTGAGGAAGGCGTGGGAGCATGTCTTCAAGTCCTTGAATATGAACGTGTTTGCTGTGCCGTGGCGAGAGGCAGGTTTGGGCCGAAGATTTGCCATCTGGGTGCGCAGTTTGCTGACGTATTCTGCGGGGTTTTCTTGAGTTGGGTTTGCGACCAGTAGTTCCCCTGGAAGGCGTAGAGGTTCGCCATAGGTCAGCTCTGCGGGTGTTGCTTGGGCGTCTTCTCTAAAGACAGATCTCATGCCTAGAAGTACTAGTGGGAGAGCTTCTAGCCATGTGGAGTTTGGGTGGCACATGATGGCGCTCTTGAGATGTCTGTGCATCCGTTCAACCATTCCGTTTGCTGCGGGGTGGTATGGAGTTGACCGGATGTGGTTGATTCCTAGTTGTTTCTCCAAGGCTCGGAAGAGGTGAGATTCAAATTGTCGACCTTGATCACTGGTGAGCTGAGAAGGTGAACCGAATCTTGAAATCCAGCAGTTTAGAAGGGCTGTTGCGACTTCTTCAGCTGTGATACCCTCTAGAGGTTGTGCTTCTGGCCAGCGGGTGTAGCGGTCGATGACCGTGAGGCAATACTTGTAGTTTTGCGCCAGAGGAAGGGGTCCGATCAAGTCGATGTGGATGTGCTGGAATCGGTTGGATGGAGTGTTGATGGTGCCTAGAGGTGAGTGTACGTGCCGGGAGACTTTGGCTCGTTGACACTCTTGACAGGCTTGGGTCCATCTCCGACAGTCAATATGCATCTTTGGCCAGACGTAGCGATCGGAGATGAGTTTCTGTGTTGCTCTGGTGCCGGGGTGGCTCAGGTTGTGAAGTTGCTTGAAGATCCTTTGTCTGAGTGGGAATGGGACATAAGGTCTTTGCTGCGTTGTAGAGTCGCAGTAGATTTTGATGTCTGTTCCTGGGACGGGAATGAGCGTGAGTTTGATTGAAAGTTTGTCGTCTTTCAAGAGTTCTGGTAGCTCTGGGTCGTCTTTCTGTGCTGCGGCAAGTGTGTTGAAGTCGATCTGGTTTGTGGAAGTGATCGCTTCGATTCTGGAGAATGCGTCAGCGACGACGTTGGCGGAACCTGGTATGTACTAAATGTCCGTTGTGAACTGGGATATGAATGAAAGTTGGTTCATTTGGACGGGCGGCAGGTTTCCATGTTTCTTGTCGAAGACGTAGGTTAGTGGCTTATGATCTGTGTAGATCGTGAAGTCCTGACCTTCCACTGCCGGTCTGAAATGGCGGATTGCTTCGTACACGCCCAGGAGTTCTCTGTGCGGCGTGGGCCATTCCTGTTGCCGTGGATTGAGCTTTTTCGAGAAGAAGCCGAGGGGTTGCCACTTGTTGTCGACGAGTTGCTGTAGACAGGCTCCAATCGATGCTTTCGAAGCGTCTGAGAAGAGACCTATGCTTAGGGGTGCGTCGGCGCTTGGGTGCGCGAGGAGTGTGGCATCTCCGAGGCTTTGCTTGCAGGCTTCAAAGGCGTCCAGAAGGGAAGGTGTCCAGTGAATCGGTTGATTCCCTTTTATGCCAATGAGAGCTTCGTGTAGTGGTGCTTGGTAGTAGGCAGCATCTGGCAGGAAAAGGCGGTAAAAGTTCATCATGCCCAGGAATCTTCGTAAACCATGTGCATCTGCTGGAGGTGGGTATTCCATCAGTGCTTTTATGCGGTCTGGGAGTGGTCTGATGCCTTGGGCGGATACTTCGTAGCCGAGGAACTCAAGGGAGTCGGCGAAAAAGATGCTCTTCTTGATGTTGATGATGATGCCGTATTTTGCTAATCTCTGAAAAATTAGGCGTAGGTGCTTCTTGTGTTCCTTCTTGTCCTTTGAGGCGACCAGGATGTCGTCTAGATATGGGAAGCAGAAGTCTAGGCCTTGTAGGACTTCGTCGATGAACCGTTGGAAAGTTTGTCCTGCGTTGCGCAGTCCGAAACTCATGTAGAGGAATTCGAACAGTCCAAAAGGGGTGGTGATGGCTGTTTTGGGTACGTCTGCTGGATTGACAGGGATCTGGGTGTATGCTTTGACCAGATCTATTTTTGAGAAGACCTTACAGCCTTTGAGGTTGACTGTAAAGTCGTGGAGATGGCGAATGGGATATTTATCGGGTATGGTGCGAGCGTTGAGTGCCCGATAGTCGCCGCAAGGGCGCCATTCGTCATCTTTCTTGGGTGCCATGTGAAGAGGTGAATAGACCAGGCGCTTTCGGATCTTTTGATGGTCCCTTCGTTGAGCATTGCCTCGAACTCAGCTTTAGCGATTCGATATAGCTTGGGTCGGAGGCGGCGAGGGCGGGATGAGACAGGGGGTCCCTCTGTTGTGCGGATGAAGTGCCGTGTTGAGTGAGGGACCTTGTCTGGTTTTGGGCTGCCTGGCGGGCGAGTCAATACTGGGAATTCTGCGAGGATGCTGCAGTTGGTGGCCGAGATTTCCTTGACGCTGGGTTGGTTGCTGGTTGCTTGGCTTCCTTGGGCTGAGAGTGAGGTAACCCCGTCCACGAGCTTCATCTTGTGGCAATCGGGGAGTAGGTGGTACTCAGCTAGAAAGTCCGCGCCAATGATGGGAACGTCGACGTCGGCGATGATAAACCGCCAGGAAAAGGCGCGTCGTAGGCCGAGGTTTAATTTCATGTGCAGGAACCCATAGGTTTTGATGAATGATTCGTTCGCTGCTTTTAGTTCATAGTTTGTTGGTTTGAAATGGCCTGGTAAGAGACGTCTAGGGAAACAGCTTAAATCAGACCCTGTGTCTATTAGGAAGCTGTGGTTGCTGTCTCTGTCTTTAATGAAGAGGCGGTTGGACCGTGTGGGGCAGCCAGCAGCCGCCACTATTGGCTGCCGTTGTCGTTTGTTGAGCTAAGGTATTTGCATGGTTGATGGCACTTGCGGGCCTCTTTTCCGAAATTCTCATGATAGAAACAATATCCTTTTTCGGACTTGAACGGCTTGGGTGAACTATAGCGTGAGCGAGATTTGGAGCGGGAACGGCTTCTGCTTCTATCGATATTTCTTTCCAGGTTCTTGACTTTAACATCTAAGAGGTCAAATTTGTGACTGAGAGCTGTTAGCATTTCTTTGATGTCGCTTAAAGGGTCAGCAGGTTTGGAAATTTGGTGAACTGAAGGAGAAGGATTGGTTTGATTTGTGGCGGAAGTGGAATGAACGGAATGAGGGATGGTTTCCGCAATTCGGTCTGCCACATCGGCTATCTCAGTCAGCGTGTTGTTGCTGGGTTGGGCTTGCAAAATGCCTTGCACGTAGGCGGGTAGCCTACTTAGCCATAGTGGTTTCATGATGTTGTCAGCAATTGGTGTGCTGCCTGCAACAGTTTTGAGTCTGCGTAAGAATTGAGATGGTTTCAAATCGCCGATTTCCTCCTCTTCGAGTAGTTTCTTGAGGCGTGAATTTTCACTTAGTGAGAAACGGTTGATTATCTCTTTCTTCAGAGTGGTGTAAGGAATGTTTACACTAGGTCCAGCTCGGATTAAATCGTTTATTTCGACCAGCCATGATCCTTCGCTTTGACTGATAACGGTACGATATTTATCAATCTCAGCGTTTATGCCGTAATCTGCAAAAATGGCTTCGATTTGAATAAACCATAGGTCTGGCATTTCGGGGCGAAATGCAGGCAATTTGATTTTTCGCTTCATGATTTGTTTGTTGGCTGAGGTGGAGAGACTTTGTTCCTCTTCCAGCTTGCGTTTAGCGTCTCTGATGAATTCCATTTCTTGGCGGAGGAGATTTAGATTTTCCTCGAGTAATTTGCAGCGAGAAGAGGACTGAACTTGTAGAGCTTCAGCATCAGCCAGGTATTGTTTTACCTTTGCTGGATCTTGCATGTCTTCATCGGTTAATGTTGGGATGTTCATGATTGAGATTGACTCCTAGAGGTGTGACAGGTTGAGTAGAAAGTTATCTAGAATAGAATGAGCGCAGTCGGAGCGTAGTTCGGAACGTCGGGAGTCACCACTGTGGGTGCTCAAGTGATGTGGTGGCCCTGAAAAGGGCCGTTTTAGATGGTGATGAGAGACAGGATGGATGATGTCTGGAGCGAGCGAAGACTGGAGCAGCGTGGCTGGACTTGACTGACTTGAGGTCTGAGCGCGAGTGCCGTAGGTGGCCGGGGGCGCTGGTCTTATACCCTCGGGGTGCGACCGTGTCGGCCAATCACGGGCGAGCGCGGGATGCGCCGCGCTGGAGAGGCGGTGATTGGCCGCCACATTATTAAAATAGACTTTGAGTTTCGGATGAGTATAAATTGAAATTACTGAACAAGTAAAACGCTAATTTCTTGATAATAAATTGAAGTGGAGGATTTTCAGTATGTCTGTATAGTTCAACGCGAAACATGAAATGAGAGGCTCGGAGGACAAGGCGCATAAGTGCAGTTTTTGCTATTTTGAGAAATGTGATTTTGAAGTTTCGAAATTACATGGATCCTTGTGGCGGAGAGAAAGTTCAAAATTGATTTTTGTATGCTTGAAAATTGGAATTTGGGAGCGAATTTTTCACCAAGTATGCATTAATTACATTTATGATTGACGGAGCGAGTGGCTTGCCGCCACAAAAGACTGTGGTGGAAGGACACTTCGGTCCTTTAAATTTGAAAGCTGGAACTGAATCAATGACGAATGATTCATTTTTAAATTGGAAAAGAGACAAGTATTGGATATTTGAACATTCAAAACCTTGAAAAAACTTCTTAGCACTATTTAAAAGAACCATTCTGCTTTGGTGAACACTGAGTAGAGGTCAAAGGTAATAAAAATACTTAACTGACATTGAAAAAATCCAAGAATAAAATTTTAAAAACGGAACAAAGTTGGTTTGATTCATTCTTTGAATGATTATAAAACTTGCTAGTGACACACAGTTGTAATACTGCGCAGCAACCAAAAATTAGCAGTTGAAGAACTTATGACATTCTCAAGGGGATTCTTGGGATGCCTTTCTCCTTTTCAGCCGGACGAAGTTTTTCCATAAATTCGGTAACAGATCCAAAGGCTGCTCAAGAAGGGTTATGCCTTCCTTGATTGGTATCACATAATGGACAATATGAGGCAGCTTCTTATGATCATAATATTCCTGAAAACCAGAAAGTCAGAAAATTGAGGCACTTATAAAAATAGAGCCTAATCATGTTCTGCCAGATGCGAATTCTTTCTGAATCCATTGAAAACTACAGTGACGTTAAAAAATATATTTTTTAGATGATGACTTCAAGGTTACTTGGTAAAAAAAGTTCCTCTTGATTTGTCTTTAAAAGAATGTGCTGAGGCAGGAAAACGATTTAAGCGTGTGGGAGCTGTTGACGCAGTTTCTGTTCATTCAATCACTCGGAGCCATATTTGATTCCGAGAGATCGCCAACTTGACCCACCATCTTTCGGAACCATCTGTTTGTAAATTTCATAGTTTAGAGATTAATTTACAGACTAAAAACTGCTTAAAAAAGATCATCTTTAGATATCATTAATTGATCTGTTGTGAAAATTTGCTAGAGCAAAAAGAAGAGTTGTTTCTTGGGGCAAAAGACTTAAAAATACAATGAGCACATCGAGAAGGTCTAAAATTCATTCATAACTTCACACTCGGCATGAAAAGTTTGCGCGTTCTTGAGCAGTTCGCTTTGAAAAATATAATATAGTATGAAAAGATTAATGCTACGGAAAACTGAGAATGGAGTCTTGTGGCCAAGTTTTTCGATTGAAAACGAACACAACAAAGACCATTATCTGACATAGTCTTTTCACTCTATGCATGCAAATTAAGTTTGAATATTAGAAACACTTCTGTGGTTTGTTTTTATTGGAGAAACTGTGTCTCAGGTCACATGATAGCCGTCAATTAAAGGAGTTATGAACCAGGAGAACCGGTGACTTATCTTTATCAAAATGCATGTTGACTGTAGGTTGTTGTTTGAAGCCAGAGGCTTGGTAGAAATTGCAAATAAGTTTTTGAGGTTGCACCCCTTCAGTTTTGTTAAGGAAATTTTTTTGATTCGTGCATTTGCTAACCCAGAAATGGCACCTACCTTGATTGGATTATTAATTCGATTATAGCGTTTTTTCATGATCAGATTTTTGATGGACGTAAAATCTGCAGAAGGTACCAAATTTTCGATGATTAAAGGACACACATCCCATTCTCTTTCTTTCACTGAGAATTTAGACTCAGTATTTCTCACGACTTCTGTGTATGTATCCAAACCATAAATTATGAGCCTGCAAGACAGAGACATTCAAATGTTAAAATGAATAAGCTGGAAATGTTAAGATCTTACCTTGAATAACAAGGACAGCAATGAATTGGTGGATAAGGTAAGAATTCCACTTAATTAAACTTCGGGAGACTTCGATCTGAGATTGAATTTACCTTCACAATGGAACAACGTTAAAATTTCAAGAGAAAGGAAGTATGTGCGATTTCATGCACAATGAGTTTGGCATTCTCCTGCCAAAAGACGAAAGCCCACCAATGATATTTCATTATGGAGCACACTGAAGTTGGCTCAGTGCCCAATTTGACTTAGACATAATTTGGTCTTCATATCAAAGAACTACTCACACAATATCAAGAAGTTCTGAACCTTCTCAATGATATTATTTTATATGATGCTCCTTACAACTTCCTGCGCACAATGAGCTTTTAAATCAAACTTTCTGAGAGTTAATCTCGAAGAAAGCAGGGCTCAGAGTGAATTTTTAGCCTTGAGTTTTTAATGGAGATACGGGACTTTGACTATGTCTGTGTGGACGATGCTGCACTAATCATTTGGAGAAAATAGATTCTTGTCGTCTGTCTTATCTCCCCAACCTGTGAAGAAACAAGAGCGCTCTTTGATCACCCATACGTATTGCAACATTGTAACTAGATATTGCATGTAAAAATATCAGAAAATTTACTATTTAGCCCCCTTTTTCTGCAGATTGGCACACAAGTAGTACAATTTTAAACGCAAGAGGAATGTCATATAAAAAAATATCAAAAAGCCAGCACCAAATTTCTTGGTATTGGGTGCACAGCAGTGTTCCCGCGTGCTCTGTGTGCAAGATCCGTACGCTCTGCCTTTTTCCGTACTGCTATTGGCTACTTTGTCATTCTGTGTTGTCAGGCATACGGATATTTCAAGATAGGGAAGCGTTTTGGCATAACTTTCTTGGCCGCATATGTCCGCGCCAGGATACAAAAAAACCGAACGGCTCGGATATATCCGTACGCTTGAGATCACTGGTGCACAGTATTTCTGATGATGATACACATCTTGTGATGCTTGACTTCAGACCTTGTCTAGTGGTCAGTGAAGATTCTTAAGAGATGGCAACACTTCCTTCCTTCATTGAAGATTATCAACTGAGAAAAATCGATAAGATTATCGATTCGGATATCGACTTAGAAAACATTGAACAAATTGAATTTGAGTGGTTCATTGTACGTGACGCGATGGAATTACAATTCCACCCTCGTATTTAGACTAGGAATAGAAATAAACTTGCGTACCTCACTTCAGAGTCATAGAATTTTTTCCTGACAGGCCTGCTCCCTCTTTTAAAGAAGGGCACTGGCGGGAGAAGTCGAGGATATGGGAACGCTCTGCTCGCTGCAACGAGCTCCAGAAACGGAGGAGGAAACAGGAGATCTTCGGGCGCTTGGTCATGGCGTAATTTCTTATTTCTGAAACAAAGACACTTTTGGACTTAAGCAATCCGTCTTCCTTCTGTTTCTACAATAAAGTATCAATTTTAATAGTGCAAAATGCTTTTCCAAACGATCAAGGAGGAAAGTGCCTTCAGTTCTCTAGGTGAAAGGCAGCTTCAGGAGGCCACCACGAGAGCATTTTTTATGATTCTTAAAACTGACAGCCCACCCTTAATTGGCGAATTTTCATTTAAAGTTACACTCTTGTAGACTCCATCATTTTACTGCAAGCTTTAACAGATGAGAAAAATACCTTTGACTGACACTTCAATTTTGGTTTCCTCGCTTACATGATAAAAGTTGAGATGAAACCCACAATATGTGCTTATTTTCGATACTTTTTGAATCTCAGAGAAATTTTCACTGCATATTAATTATTTATACCACTTGACAGTGATTTAATCTGCCTATGCTTGAAGCAAGTTGAATCTTAATTAAATAAAACGAATGACAACCTGATGGAGGGTACTTACGAAGCGTGTTTGTGGTACATTTTTTCCATGAATCTGAAACAAAAAACGAAAAATACATGATGCTGTGTGAGTTCAGGATGTATAAGTAAATCTAATTGAAATTAACAGCAAAAATTTTGGATGCATATTAAAGAGTCTCCAGAGTATTGAATTAGGCAAATCTTAGTTTTCAACTGTACATATAAAAAAACATAGTTTGGGGAAAATACCTTTGATAAATTCTGCTCGATGATAAAAATTAAATAGCTCCAGTGGATTAGCTGTGCTAAGGTTGCATAATCAATTGCTTTTTAATTTAAGTCTGAAAGAAGAAATGAGATTCATAGTACTCTCACAGAGTACAGTAATAATTCGTCATTGCTGAATATAGTTTAAAAAATTTGAGAGCTACATAAAATATACTAAAAAATAGTGCCTATGGAATGGTTTTTTAAATGATTTTGAACAAAAATTAAAAGTTAAAGTCAAATTTTCCTTGGTTAGCTATTATTTCGACACAATAATCAACAAAAGTAAGTAACAATTACTGAAATTAGTTTTTGCTGAAATCTTTTCATACTACCGTTAGTATGTGCATTACCGGGTGCTTAATAAATAAAAAGAACTTAATTAAAAGCTGAATTGTTAGCTGTGTGAATTAGGTGGTAAAAAATACTTACCCTTTGATACTTGTTGCTACTTCTGGCACTGCAAACAGAGACTCCCATGCTTTAACTACTTGAATTGCACTTTTCAAATTTGATGCTTTAAATACTGCATCATCATGTCCCTTTTCTTTGGCTTGATTTTCTAGATTTAACTGAAAAACGAGACACTCATCTGAAAACTATGCATTCAGTGATGGAAGTGGTGGAAAAGTGCGACTTCAAACCCTTAATTTCCAAAAACAATTTCAAGTTATGAAATGATTAACAACTTTGAGTTATTGCAAAGGCAATTGAAATCCCAGAAATATTGTCCTCGTTTAGCACAGAAAGAGATAAGGAAAGTCATTCTACAGATCTTATGATGCATGTCCAAGCGGATCGAAAAAGTTTCAATTGGTTGATGGATGTAAAAATTATCAAAAAACAAAAGACTGTAGGAAAAATAATTGAGAACTTGTGAATAAAAATACAACCATTTGACTAGACCGATACAGAAGCTGCTGATTTATCATTCATGAACTGATTTTTAAATTTTAAAGTAATCACAGTATCCTACAAAAAATGGGTCAGCAGCATGACAAATCTGCATTCTATCTGACGGTTCATCTACCAATAAAATTTCATCAACAACCAAAAAGCAATTGAAAATTTTAAAAATACTTCTAGGAGGAGCAAAATGTGTTTGAAATCAAATAAGCTAAAGGTAGACAGTTGTGGTGTCATAAATAGGCTATGTCTTTGGCTGGGCTTTAGCAAATGCAGATGCAAGTAATATACTCACGAGAATATTCCTACACTGATCAGCATATTTGCTCAGTTCGGGGTGTTGGTAACATTGCAAGAAGTGTTGCGTCGTGAGCTGCACATGCTGCCTCATCTGCTGCTGAAGTAAGAGAAGTTGCTCCACGGCCACAACTTTAACCTCGACTGGCGCTGCTGATCTCCGGCTTTGTTCAGCCCCTTCAAAACTCTGGACTGCCTCCTCAATTTCTGGACCGGGATCTTTGACTGGTGTTCTGAATCCTGAAGATTGGAACATTCCACTTGCATTGTATGGTTCGTTTAGATCTAGTGGGCTGAAGGCATTTCGAGCGGCTGTCTTGCTATTTGGTGTGCATGGAACTCGATTCGAGGATGTGGTTCCCTGAGTTGGTCCGGAACTCCAATTCTCTTTCTGGTTACAGTGAGATAATTGCTGAGCGGTGCTAGGAAATTGCACGTTGGGAGGAAGAGAACATACACTATTAGGAACAATGGTTGGTACGGGATAAGTAGGATGACTAGACTGGTTGTAGAAAGTTGGCTGCTGGTCAGCACCAGTAGAATTTACTTGAACACTGTCTCCACTAGATTCAGTTGAAACCGCTTTTTTGCCAGCCTGTGGAAAAAAGAGAAAACAAAAACCAAATTCACTACAAATTGGGTTTTTTCAGTTGCACCTGGATACAGGATAGCAAAACATCAACGGTGAAATTTCAAAACCTCAAGTCTTGTTCGCGGTGTTTTAAATTCTCCACTCCCACTATATTTCTTAAAAGGAGAACGAATCAACACCATTCCTTGAAGTTTTTACAGATGTTTAAGAATCAACATTAAGAAGTTTTCCTTTCATAAAATAAAGTTTGACAGGACAGGAACCCTGAAACATTGCAAACCAAGATACATGATTTGGGAGTTACACCGTTGATATGTTATCAGTCAAAATTTCAGGTTTTGGAGCATTCAACATTCAATGTTTGGACATTCTAAAATTAACAAAAGTATCGATTCTTTAAAACATGTTGCATGCATTTACCACATCACTACAGAAAGTTAATACATTATTATTAAGCTATTAAGCTATTATTAAGTTAATACATTATTTCACCTCAGTCCTGTAAAAAAATTTTCTCCCTCACTAACAAGGTTTTTTGAGCTGTATCCTGATGAACTCACTCGTTCAACAGACCACTTCCACTGAACCAGTTTTGGATGACTTTTTAGTTTTTTATAGTTTTGCAAAGTTATGCAAATGTTACTCTATCTAGAAAGAGCTTAATAGTCCACTTTATTCAAATAGACTTCAAAATTTCAAAATTTGAAGTGATGGAAAACAATAAATCTTTAAACCTTTTTTCTCCTCTTTCAAATTGGGAAGGTTTCTTCGAGTGTTCAGGAGCCGTTTCGAGAACATAGCAGCGTACACAAGCATGTTACAGGTCATCCTTGTTGACGTAGCAACAAAAGAGAAAGGGAAAAAGAAGATAAACAAGAGAAAAACGAGAATGAAGAAAAAATGAAAAGAAAGAAAAAAAACGAGAGAAAGAAAAAAAGAAAAAAGAGAAAAAAAACGTATAAAAAAATGAAAAAGAAAAAAAGAAAAAAACACAAAACGAAAAAAAGAAAAAAGCGAAAAAAAGAAAAAATGAAAAAAGAATAGACAAAAAAAAAGAGAAAAAAACTATTGAAAGGTAAATTCGACAATTCAGGAATACACCCTTTTGCAAGGTTGAACATATTTCAACAAACAAACATCGAAATGAGGAGAAAACAAACCTCTGGTCTATCCGATTTTGAATCTTCATCATCACTAGCATGATGCATGACATTTTCGGTGAAATCAAATAATTCTGCCATTAACTCATTCAACTCCTTCCGGGAGACTTTGACTGCTCTGTCCATCCGCAGTTCTTCTTTATCAACTGAAATAAAATACATTTTTATCATAAAAACTCTGGCTAACTACCATTGATTTCATTACATTGAAGATGAATTTTTTTCATCAAATTTCCTCCGCAGCCACCACTAAGCCTGTCTCTTGCCCAAATGTGAAAAAAAAATCTTATAATTGAAGATTTTTGAGAGATATGAGGATTTACGAGACACTTAAGCAGGTTACTTAAGGTATTTCATCATGTTAAGGCTGAGGAAAGGCCACGTAGAAGAAAATCACAACAAAACAGCAGCAAAACCTTCTAAGCTCTATTTATTATGATCATTAGTATAGTTTTTTTTGTCACATGGGTAGGGGGGGGGGGGAATTGAGTTTGCGTAAAAAGTATATCATAGGCAAAAAAAAGAAGGGTAGTCGAAAAAATTTAATTACGACCTAAACAAATGGGAAAGCTGTCTCTTCATAGCATACTGTCCGTTCAACTACTTTAAATTGTCCATCTGAATTCATTGGAGAAATTGGTAAGTGAGTGAAATTCGACAGATTCCATACCTACTTCCTCCTCCTCATCTGCTAAAACATTGTATTCAGGGTCTTCTTCTGGATCATCAACAATAGCTGGTTCTGAGTCTGAAAAAAAACGAGAAAACAACATGTGAAACTGATTTACGGATAAAACCTTGTTCACAGGATTGAAATAGTGAAGCTCTTTCATTTTAAACCACCCACAGGAAAATAAACCTGGTGATAAAACATGTTGGACTGAGATGTTGGTACCACTTCCTTAGGGAATTTTCTATAAAACGCTTAGTACAAAAAAAAAGCCCACAGTTATAAAATTATACGGAAGTTACAGTGGTTTGAAGTTTACAGTTCCAACACAGTGCAAAAAAAAAAAAAAAAAACCATTTTATCCTGAAAGGTTACCTTTCTACGGATTCTTTTGATGCACTAAGAAAACCCACCCTTGAAACCTCAACAGTTCATAAAGAATGGACCACCAGACAAGGTGCTAATTAAAGAATTATGATACCTGTTTTCTCATGAAAATGTCACGTAGATCATGATTTGGGCAACGAAAATTATTGAAAGTAACTCTTAACCAAGATTTCAACGTTTTTTGATGCATAGATTTAAACTTCCCGCTCATGAGAAAAACAATAATCTACACAAGTTGAATTGCGCACTGAATGTGATCGTGACGGTGTTTGCATTTTACAAAAGTGGCACCCTTAAGCTCTTCCCTTCAGCTTAACTGCTACACATTCTTGCACTTTGAAAAACACAGGAAAAAAAACACTGCTCAAAAAAAGAGCCTGCCAAAACCATTGTAGTGCTCAATTTGATTCATGTAGATTTCGGTTATTCTTGCGACCGGTAATTCAAATTTTTCGCAACCAGTGCTAAATAAAAAAGTTTACATCTCAGCAGTTAATTTCACTAATTTTTGTTGCACTATCACGTTTTGAAAGAAATTGTGAAGAGGAAACATATATTAAAATGCATAAATTTGTACTTGGTCTAAAGGTCAATTATTTCAATATTTGCCTAATGAACTCTGCCCTCCAACAGTTTCTTTCTACAAAACGCAAAGAACATTCATAATTTCTCTTGACTAAAAAGCCTCTTTCTCCGTGAACTTCTCGGTAAAATAACAGAGGAAAAGGAAATAAAAGTATAATGGGTTGAGTGAGCATGTTGCAAAATCGTGTTCATGTGGTTGAGTGTTGTTTTCAACAAAAATTGAAATGATCTGTCCATGTGTGAAGTACCATACCCAAAATCGACAGACTTATCAATCTTTGAATAGCATGGATGATGAAATCAAATCAGGCATTTAATGTAGGCGTGGGTTGTGGCTGCAGGCAGCTATGATTGGTTGGTGGTAATGACGCCAGGCAATCATGGTATGCATCGATAAGGAGGATTATTAAGCCACTGAATTTGTATTAACAACAATTATTACTACAATATGTGAACACTGTGTGTTTCAAAACTTATTTTTTCCTGTTAAGTGTGATTCAACCAATAAAGATTTTACGGTAAGTACAACTGACTATTACGGTGGATTCTCACCCAAAGGCTTCGCAAATTCTTGAAGAAAGTCTTTCCAATCCTCATTATCACAGGCCCAATCATACATGTCCGTCGTTATATCTGGCGGTATGAATGCTTGTTCTATTGCTTCAAGAGGAGTGTCACTAAGACACAATTTTGATCTTGTTCTTTGGCCGATGTTTTCCTAGTAAAAAAAAATTATCCATTATAAACGATACTTCACGATAGGAGACGACTAAATGTTGAGGAGTAACAGAAATTTAATCGTTATTTACACGGGTATGCAAAAATAAATGTCATGAAATTGCAGCCTTAAAAGAAGTTTCTACAAGATGATTTCAAAACTGCCCGACACAACATCCTTGAGTCACCACTGCATGACGGGCAAGAAGTGAATTTCTCGGTTGACCTGATAGATCTTAAATGATGTAGTGCGCAGTTTTGAAATGAGAAAAATCTATTATTTTTGTTTCTTTTTAAATTCCCTTTCCTTTTAATCTTATTTTTCTAATATGAATCTGTAGTCACCCAAATCTGTATGCCAAGTTTAAAAGACAACAGTCTAGTTGAACTCTCCCAGGCGTTGCCATTCAGACAACCTCTCGTTGTTGCATGTACATCTCCCAGTGCATTAGCAAATCACACCAAAGTCTATGAATTTTTTCCTTAAAAGCGGAGGGTCCTCATAACAGTACGAATTCATTTTAATTTCCACACTAAATGAGGTGCATTGGTTCAATATTTTTAATCAACCGGTCAACAAAGAAATCAGATTTTTTGAAAGCATCTGTATCAGCAGCAAAAGTTCCTCCTTAGACGAGACTTCTTATTGCATGTGCTGAAAAAAAGTTCCTCTCTACCAGTTAAAATATGTTCACAGTCTTACAAGAATCAAAAGAAAATAAATAACTATGTGAATTTATAATATTAATCAAAATATAATATGTAAAGGGAAGATTCTTGCATTAAAAGTACTAGGTGCTCAGCTGAGGTAAAGGTGCTCAAAGGTGAACAAAAACTGCAGATGAAGATCTTTGCAGCGACTTCGTTTTCTCACTAATTGGATGACCAAAACAGGGGTGCAAGAAAATGCCCATTCTTGCGATCTGAGGATCGCAGCAAATGAGAGGCAAATCTTAGGTCAGGAGGAAATTTTCACAAAAGATTTATTTACAATTTGCTCTGCATTTCATTGGAAAAAGGAGGCAAATTGCAAAACTTGCTGTGAAATCAATGGATTTGGCCATGAAGTTAGACATTTTTAGTGAGACAAATCAGAAACACACACATGAGGCAAAAATGCCAGACCCAAGAATCAATTGGCATTTTGGAACTTATTGCTTTCAGCACTCTTCACTTGTGAAAAGAAAAAATGGAAATTTCAGTGCAATGGCTGGTGTACCCTGAGGCAGGCACTTCTTCATAATAGGTTGCCTCGGTAAAATTGAATTTCCTTGCAAACCTCTAGACTGATTTTCAAGAACTTGGAGTAATTTTACAGCTGGAGTTTCGCTCGACAAGTAATTACTACCGATTAAAGTAATCATTTTCTGTTCAGTAGAGACAAAACAGGATGCTTACTTTACGGCTGACCCTTAAGGTATTTTCAACAAAATAATTTACAGTCTGGGGAAGTGTTGAACGCTGAAAATTTAACTCATTGCACTTGGCACAAATGCTAAATAACAAATTCAATTACTAGTCTTGCCTTCGGTTGCCTGAGATCGAAAAAATGAATGCATCACATAAGGACAAGAATGTCATAAATTTACCAGTGGTATCTTGAACATGCCATCTTGTGTCCATACTGTTGGACTGTCATCCATAGAGGTGCTTGCGCACGATGAGACTGGTGTAGCAGGAGAGGAATCAACATCACTCGCCACAGATGAGGCATTCTTCTCATCATCGTCATCACTCTGAAGAATGAAAAGAAAAAATTGAAGTTCTAAGCTTGCGATGGAATAAATCTTGCATAAGTAAGAAACCTCAGATAGTCAAAAAGTACTGTATCTATACATCTCCCTTCATGTATTGTAACACACTAAGACAATGTACTGCACCACCTGAATACAAATTAATTATTGATCATTGAAAAGCAAATCTGAAGCACTTATTCATTATAAATTATTAATAGTTGCATAGAAACTATTATCATAAGTCAGTTGTATGCCGTCTATCCGGTCTGGGTAATTCTCTGCCTTCCCAGACTGATATTTTCAATGTTTCTTTTTCTCAATTTAAGCGAACTATTAAAGATAATTTCAGTCTGTTCTAATGTTTTCTCTATTACCATATTTTATCTTTTCATAATTTAGTCACCTAATCTTAGTTTTTTGTTGCTTGTTTTAATTTTATTTAACCCTCTGCTGCCTTCTTGTTATTCTTCTGTCTGATTTATTTGTTATCGGGCTCTGCCCATTGATAATATAAATAAATAGTATTCGATAGTTCATACTAGGGGGTACCCCCCTGGCTGCTACGTGGCCCAACCTCCAGAGGGTGCTTAACACCTTGATTAGTTAATTTATCTGAATAGAGTAAGCTTATTTACAAACTACCTCCTATCATTAGCCGCAAAAATCAAAAGAATCTGCCCAGTGAATCTTTAGAAGGAACTGTGATAAAAAAATGAAAATTTAAACTGTTTAGTTTGGAGAATTCACAACTTGAACACCTAATATAAAGAGCCTTGGGTCACATTTTCAAAATTTGGATAGAACTTGCTCATTTAGGGGCAATCATCTTTTGAAATCTGCATTAATCATGGGCCCAATAGGCTGGTAGAACAAACTGTGACAAAAAATAAAAATTCAGGGGGTCAGAGGGATTTGAGTAATAATTTTCCTTTCATCGTATGAGGGTAGAAAGCTGGTTACATCTTTATCACATTACCTGATCATCTTCATTTGGGTTGTACTCCTCATCCGAGGAGTCCTCAGGTAACTCTTGCTGAATGAGAACATGACATTCTGATTTTGAGGGAGACTGTGCCACAGACGTTATCGGCCATAAATTGACAGGCAACGGCTGCAGTTTCAGCAACTCTCTGAAATAAAAAAATAAATACATAGTAAGTCACACCTAGAAGTTAAAATAGGTTCATAGGTTACAGCCTTTACTGTTTCTCCATTTTGGTACACTCGTATGTTTGACCACAGAAGATTTCTATAATTTCACAATTTTCTGAATTTCTCCGACTTTTAAATACAACTTCCACTAAGATTTTATCTTTCAGATAAGCTGCTGAGTCAACATGCTATTCGCAAAATTCCCTGATTCCCAACGTTTTCTAGAATGCTGGAAACCTTCCCAAACTTATCAACAGGAGATTGTTGGGTTGAAACTAGAAAATCTCTAAAAAAGATGCAAAAATGCAGATTGTGGCAAACATGTGGTAATTTTTTTTTCTTTTTCTTTTTGACTTAAAAGGAACATAGCGGGTATTTTTTCCATGGAATCAGGCATTTTGCCTTGAAACCAGATATTTTCCCATGAAGCAAATCGGAAATTGAGCAGTACAGCAAAAACGTCAGAACATGAGAAATGATAGCCGTTGTGGAATTTTTTGCGTCCCTGATGAAAGACACCTCGTCACCTTCCGAGCAAAGTATCACAAGCGCCATGCGATGTTTAAAAATTTCCTCCGCCATTTTATTTTTTTACAGAGAAATTATTCAAGGGAGCTGTCTGAAAATTTCATTGAATTTTCTTTGTGCTGCCGATAAAATTCCGTGAAATTTTCAAACAGATTCAACCAAAACTTTCTCTGTGAAGAAATAAAATGACATGGGACATTTTCAAACGTCGCATGGCGCTTGTGATACTTTACCTGGAAGGTGACGACCTATTGTTGGAGAAAAATTTACTTACTTGGCTTTGGCTCTGGTCAGTTTGGGTTCGTAGATACACTTAACATCTAGTCCTTCTTGTTCATTGTGCAATGACTGCCGTACCATGGCCATCACATCTTCATTAGTGATCACACTCTGCAAAAGGAGAGGAAAAAATCAAATATTCCAGAAAGTTGAGTGATAAAATTGAGTGATGAATTTAAAAGAAACAGCATTTTTTCGAGAGGCCTAAGATGTTAAAGGAAATGTTCATGCACATGCACATGCAAAAGTAGGTACATGTTTATTCATGAGTACATGTTCCTAGAAATCAAATCGTAGCCTTTGGAGGTTTGAAATGACAATAGTATTGGCTGTCCCCTCAGTATTTATTTCTCTGTAAAATTTTGCAATGAACACGATGATACTACTGGTTTTTTCTAAAAAAAAAAAAAAAAAAACTTGTGAGCTCAAAAAAAGCTCTTGAGGTTGAGGCTGCAAAGGAGGGAATTTCCCTTCTTATGAAGGAGTCCACGTCTAAGTATGTCCAGTCAAGCCAAAACCAATTGACAATACAGAGCCACTGCTTGGGGTTATATGGTCAAAGCTGCGGAGAACACACAGGATTGTAAAGGAAGGACTTGAAAATGATTTTTTACTCGCGAAAGAGAATTTGACCCAGGCATGGAATTTTCAGGTAAATATTTAGGCTCGTTTGATCGAATGAAACCAATTTGTGTGACAGCATCACATTTTAAATGAAGGGAAAAATCATTTAATGTATGCCAAGATGGGGATTAAGGGTGATGACAGATGCAATCCGCCAAACATGTACATAAGCAAGGAGTTAGGGGGACTTCAGTTTCCAGCTTTTTGTTTTTTATTTGTACATTAAAACAATTTGTACAAAAATACTTTTAGATGAAATTACATCTTTAAAAAGCTTAAGTTTAACTTATGAGAAAAGATTCATTCTATAATTAACATTTTAGCTGATAAATGTACTGCCTCTGGAAATCGAGGAGGAAAAAATAAAACAGAGCAGTTTCCAGCTGTAATTACAGCTTTTCTTAAATATTTCTGTTTCTACCCAAAAATGTTATATTTCAATCCTATAGATTATGAAGTCTCATATTACAGAGTTCAATGAGTGAAACTGTAAGTACTGTTGAAAACCGAAAATTCACACTTTCGCATACTACTCATGGCTTGGCCGTTTCCTTCCGCAGCATTTCCTAACTCATTCTCACACAATTTCTCACGTAGCCAGGAATGCTTAGTAGGAATAGGTCAAACTTCCCAAGCAAAAATAGGGAGAGAATACATCAGCAGGTTGCTGTGACTGCTGACTAAAAAATTACCTTTCCATCCCTGAAAATCCCCCAATAAGCAGAAACCCAGCCCAATATCTTCCATTCCTATCTGTGCATGGAGAGATTGACTGGATATGGAGGTGGAATCTCTCACTATGCCAGGGATCTCCTCCATTACAACTTCAACTTTGCCAAGTTTTTTGAGCTTAGGAGTTCATTTCAAGGAAAACCAGGGGCACCATTGTACTTTTTGCAAAATTTTATACAGGAAACAGCAGTTAAATTGCAAATCCTTCTGACATGCAAAAGCTCTATTTATTGATGAACTTCCAAAATATGTGTGCCATTCCATATTGACAAATTTGTGCTGACATTGTTTTATCAATGAAGCTGAGGAATTGAGGCACAATAAAAAGACGCCCTGACCACATCATATCTTGCAGGTATTTAATAAATACAAGCTTACCAGCACCTTTAAACAGACTTAGCTGCTCTGGAAAAATATGTTAAAATAAGAGTTACCTTGGTAATCCCCTTGGGATGACACATTTTTAATATTTTTTCCCCCTTTTATCTTATTTCATGAAAAAATAATTTAAGTGGCACATTGAATTCCTTGCACGGGTAAAAATTAGGCCGGATGCAAAATTTTGGCCTAAATGATTGATCTACAAAATTCTTTGACAATGACCCCTGGGCAGGGTGTCTACTAAAACAGGCAGGCCAAAAATCAGTACTTTTACAGTGCTTTTCCAGAACATTCCCAAAAAATTCAGTACCTCCTCAATAGAAAAATTCAGTACTTTTTCAGTACCTCCATCTGACGAAATTCGAAAAATTTCAAAAATTTGAATTTCTCGCTCAAATTGAGACAAAAATGACCAAAAAATGAAAAAATTCCGGACCTTTTGCGGAATTTCCGCACATTTTCAGTACTTCCGGACCCCCCTTAAAAAATCGATACTATTTCCAGAATCATTCGATAAGAGGTGCTCGACGCGGACGGACGCTTCGGCGTTTGCTCCCGCAAATGTCGAATTTTTCTCCGGTATTTCTCGTTCTTTTATTATAAAGTTTATACCAGCAGATAGATTTTTTCAAGATCTATTTGTATGTGTTTTCACCTTTATGATTCGAAGTTTTTCACGCGAGTTTTCCGCGTTTTTCCATAAGACTTGCTGCTAAAGTGTTGTGTTTCTCAGCTTCGCGCAACACCGGACCATCAACTTAAATGTGATATCAAAACTTGATAACTTCTAACTATCAATTTTAATGGTGGCGTTGCCAGTTCGCCGCATCAAAAGATAAAGTCTTAGCTGGGTTCCTCTTGTGGAGTTAGCCTGTGGTGTTCCAGACAACGGGGAGAGTCGACTGTGTCCAAGTAGTGTTTAGGGGATGACTCACGAACGGCACGAAATTATGGCTCTCTTTAAGTCATGATGTATACGTCTTGGACGGCACTTGATCCAGTGTTCGCTGCAGTCGCGCGAGTGAATTCCAGCACCCCCCTCGGCTGGCAACATGGCGCCTTAGCCCAACATATAAATTGTAGACTTTATCTTTTAATCGTAATAATTGTGCCAACCTATCAGTGATACAATCTCTCTTATTGTTCAAGTTCAAACCTTCGGTTTTTCTGTGTCACTTTCGAAATCAAACGTGAAATTCGGAGAGTAACACGTAACATAAAACTGAGAGTCTTTTCCCCTCTCAATTTCTCATAAAGTTTTACAAACTCAATCATAAAATCCTACTCTTATCGAATGACATACCGCTGTACGGCAGGTGCTCACTATTTTACAGTAATCTGCCTTTGGGTGGGATTTGTACGGAGTAATATGTCTTCCGGATATTATTCTGTTTTAGTGTGCCCAGTCGACATTCACCTCCCCGGGGACACTCCTGTTAGCGACCCTTTGGGATGGCAATTTCTAGCAATTTAGCTACAGCTACTGCTACAGAGTGTTCTGATGGGTGGGTGGGTGTCTGCTGTTCACTCCTATCCTTCCCCATTGGCAGAGATTCATAATATCTTACATTTCAAAATATTACTCTCCATATTTATCTCTCATGTTATATTTTTATCCAGATTTAAGTATCTGGATAATTGTTCTAGGGTTAGCTTTCTTAATTTTTAAAATTACGTTAAGTTCTTTCATCAGTTTCATGCTTTCTTCACCCCATTTCATTTCATTAGTTAGTTAACTCTAGAATATATATTTTATTATCATATTGTAAAAGTGCTAAATATGTTCGCATAGATGTGCTTAATAAATAATCAAAAAAAAAAAAAAAAAAAAATTTCCAGAAATTCTGGACTTGTAGACACCCTGCTAGGTCTACTTTGTTGACCTTGTGCTGCAGTAAAATGCATGAAAATGAGTACCTTTAATATGTTTTTCACATTGGTTACTGTTAGATTTGTTTTCTCAGCTTTTGAATCCAATTGTCGCTCTATCTCCTCTTCCATTTCATTGAGGACTTGCGGCATGAGCTCTTTATCAACTTCCTGTGTTTTTCTGGAGTAGAGAACGAAGGGTGAAGATTAATTTTTGAGGGCACAATGTGGAGTAAGGCGCAAAAATTTCTGGGAAACTTCTTATTATGAAACCAGTTTTGATTCAAAAGAGAGAGGGAAAGGAAAGGATAACAAGAAAAACAATGGGGTGCAGCGTAAAAGGCAAAAGGAAAAGATCAATCCTGCTGATCATAAAACTGCTTCCAAGACAAGTCTAAGCAGGCTCACAGACACACTTGAAAAATTAATTCTTCCAGAAATTGTCTGGATTCCTAAATTTTTGAAATCTGAGCTTTGATTAGGGATGGTCGAATATGTAGATATTTGAATATTCGATATTCGAATTATCGGCACTGAGATAATCGCATCACATTCAAATATTCGCTTCCGAAGTATTCGAAATTGCAAATTCAAATAATTCGAAAAATCGCATTCGAATATTCGAATAATCGCATTCGAATATTCAAATAATCGCATTCGAATATTCAAATAATCGCATTCAAAAGTGTCATTTTATCTCTCACGGTTCATAAAAAATAAAAAATCGAAGCAATAATCGAAAATATTCAAATATTCGCAATAATTGCATTCAAAAAGTTTCAAATATTCGCATTTGAATTCGATATTCGTCGATCCCTAGCTTTGATTCTCCCTTCCCCATTTGTTCTTCAAAGCTACGTAAACAACAGTTCAGGGAATACGTTTATGAGGTCCGAGAGTTCGGGACCTCAATCAAGTGAGCATTCATCCAGATCATTGGTTGCTGAATGGAATATTTGTGCATGTGACCAAATCCTGCATTTAGTTCCTCACACATCATAATTTTTTCAATGCAACATGATTCGTAAGATTTGAACGCAGAAGCTATCATCTCGAATAGGTTTAAAACCAGAGTTTGCCTGGCTTTACAACCTGGTTAATACCGTGGCGCATACCACGGAATCTGGCATGATGGGCCCCAGAGGAAAATCACCGTCAGAGATTTACTTAATGTTCGGTAATGAGATGATTTCATATAAAACCAAAGGCAGATTATTACTTCTTTTGGACTCCGAAAAGATTAGCGAAATTTTGATACTTTGAAAATCAGAATAAAAAACTAGATGTACTCTCACTTTTTCTTGGGTGTTGATGAGCTTTCACTGCTTGAGACATCTTCAACTTCAGCTGACTTCTCTTCAGGTTTTTCATCATCACTGCAAAGCTCCAGGCGAAATGAGAGCTTCTGATCGGTGCTTGAATGGGATCGTTTCCTCTGATCCTCACTGTGGAACTTCCACACAGATTTGGAGGGATTTTTGTTCTCTTCCATTCTTCAACACCTTGCTGTAATTGCAGATCAACTAGTGTTCTTGGGATATCACAAACTTTGGGAGCACAGACATCACGAGTCATGCGAACAGTCATTGAAAGATGCAAACACAAAGTTTATGGTTTTGGAACGAGTTCAGAAAGAGAATAATGCCAAAGTGAAATAAGTAGAGAAGTTAAGAAAGTTCACCAATGATTGTGCTGTAGCAATGGGTCTAGATAGAAACAAAAACAAATCACAGCTATCCGACAAAACTGGAAAATATGATAAGACTGATAAGTGATAGTGCAAATGCGTTGAATAACAAAACAATTCGGCCGTCGGCGGGTGTAGGAAGAGGGGTAAAATCAGAGAGCTGAACAGGAACAAAATAAAGAGAAACAAAAAGAGAAAACCGAATGCCCCTTGGCCATTGACGTATAATACAATCTAGACCGCGCATTACGAAATTCAAGCGAGACGATAGGCAACCCAGCAACACACAGCAAGTGTACCGGCGAGACAATGGTGGAATTCGTGGAAATGCCAGTCTTGCCAGTGCCGTTGCCTGATACGGGTACACTTAGCTCGTATATCCGGCGGTATCAACTAGGCTGAAGGCGCGTCTTTACCCCCCTAGCTGTCTTACCTTCCCCGCCTAAAGTCGGGCCCAATGCGCGGTCTAGATTGTATTATACGTCAATGCCCTTGGCCAATGAAATTGGAGAGAAATGTAGAGAAAAGTAAACATGTATACCAATTGTACATTTCTCAAAAATTTCATTGCCCAAGAGAGGGGCTTCATAATTTTTTTATCGTAAGTACGTTGAAGATTCATTATTACAACTTTTGTTTTGAAAAATCAAGGAAATAATTAACTAGCTGTATAGCGCAATTTACCAAATTTACCTAATTTCAGCTGGAAAAATTGGACAGAATTTAGCAAATTTTTAGGGTATTTTTTTGTTTACAGCTGCTGCCAGCTTGCTGGACTAGTGTTTACACTGTTTACAGAGAATTTGCAAAAGTCCCTATCAGTCTCGGCGTGTCAAAAAATTGTAGTTTTTTTCTTTGAATTCCACAAAATTCATCATTTCCTACGGTAGGTGATGCTCCCAGATCATCTATTCAAGCTCCTTTCTTCTCTCTCTGTGACTTGCACATTTGTACCCGGCAACTTACCAAATTCATGCTAGAATTGCCCAATTGCCAGACACGACATGACATAACCTACAAATCCTATCCAACTTTTCAGCTCTCACTTTTCTTTCAATCTTTAACGCATTTTTGTATGTAATATAACGTTTTTAAGTGAATCGTATCCTTTCTTAATCAAGGTAAAAATACTGAAGTCTTATGAAGCTGTGCTATTCTGCGGTCCCAAACTTTTCTCTCTAATTTCTCTTCTGCGCACGTCAGCAAGTGCGACCACTTATTGCCATATGCGGCATATGCCCAGCGTTTTTTTTTCGCCCTTCTATTCATTTATAAAGCGTAGAAAGTTGAAAGCAAAAAAATTTGTTTAAAGTATCTTTGATGTGTATAATTGCCATAACACTGGACATAGGCACTCGGGTATCTCTATCAGCTTCTGACTTGCGTGGATACGGATTACGTGGATTCGATGATAGGTGCGATGTCGAAGTAAACTTTCCGTTTGCGTTGGGCTGCTCAATGCTAACGGATATCACGTGACCGTTGACTTACCTGTTGGGAAACACTTTGTCGGTCGTCTCTGTTGCCTAAAAACTGTTGTGTTGTGAGTGTGACAGTGCGTGCACAATATCATTTAGGTTAGCTCAATGCTCTCAACTACCCCCTGAGACCGATGACTTGTTGACTTCTGTTTGGTAAACAGTATAGGACATTGGGCAATCCCAGCGGAGTCGAACAACGCCGAGCGTTTGGAATCGGGTAATTCCGTTGCCCAGCAGTCCCAAACATTTTACTTCGACAACGCAGCTACAGTCGGTCGGAAGATTTCATTCCAACCTTCCATCCAATTGGTGCTGCCATTCGATGGAAAGCTGGAGGTGGTATCAGAACCGGGTTTTTATTAAACTTTTAATCCAAATAATTACAAATCTAAGTAAAACATGATTGAACCCTTCAATCGTTGGGCGCAGAAAAGGCATTTCTTGATAGTGATGTGTTAAAATCTTTGCTAACACTTCATCTACTATGATCCAAGCAAAAGTATGTGATCCGTTGAAACTTTTACTGAATATTCCTTGTGATTTTTCAATTCTGAAAACATACAATTTCCGTAAATTCGCCCAATAGTTTCCACCCTAAAATATAAATTAACAGCGGAGATCCTGAAACATTGCAACTGAGATTTGCCCGTTCTGCACCCAATGCCTTAATTTCAAAAGCTTTTAGAATAATTTTTGGTGAAAAAAAACTCAAGGAATATTTTTGGATTAAGCAATTCTTGCAACTCTGTCCGGAGGCTGTTTTTTTTACATGTTTTGGAATCTTTTGCCTCATTTGATGCAGATTTTTCAGCCATCAAAATTGTTTCAATCCATCCTTTTATGCGTTTTGCATTTAATTTTCAGATGCCAGTCGCAGATGGAAACATAACAAGCTGGGCGGATGAAGTTGATGATATTGAAGAGAAGAAATCCATCCCACCTCCAACAGAAGTGATAGAAAATGGGTTGAAAATAGTCACAGAATATCAATACAAGGATGATAAGCTACTCAAAGTGGTCCGAACATACAAAATTGAAAACCGTAAGGTACCAAAGAGTATTGCTGTTCGTAAAACGTTGAAGAAATTTGGGAAATCGACAAATGACAAGCCCGGTCCAAACCCAGCAACAACACTAATTGGTGAAGATGTTCACATGCAGTTCATCACAAACAAAGAGGAAATCGACAAACCAGATGATGATACTCTGGAGAAACTGAAGAATGCAGGAGGTGTTGTGAAATGTAGGAACTGTAATGGAGACCATTGGACCCTGAAATGTCCGTACAAAGGATCTGCTCTGGTAAGTAATTTTGAATTTTCCCCTCTTATTTTATGCTCTAACATTGTCAAACCTGTAATGCTCTCGGATCTGCAATCTTGTTTGGATAGAACCCTCTTCGGGAGCACAGGTGGACTATATTAAAGCTAGGTAGCTACAGAAAAATCTGTGTGAAATTTTCTATACTTAGCGGTGTAGCAAGCAATCTTTCAAACATCGCAAATTACAAAGGTTTAAAATTAATCCAGAATTTTTGAAATGCATCTTTGTCAGTAAGCTATGGGTACTACTTGTTTCGAAATATTTTTACTGATTTACTCTAACTATATTGCTCTTGTCGAAAGGAAAGATTTTAGCAGAACTTAGTAAGTTTGAAGTCAAAGCATCATTGCCACAGATGTCTCAGTCCAATGGATTGCATGACCCGTATAACTGACACACATGCAAGAGCCTATTTCTGTAGCTCTAAAAATTCAGATTGCGATCAGTAAGGGTCTTTTTAATGGAACTGTTCAGATAGCTTACTGAAAATTGATAGGACACCCTGTGACTGATCTAGCTGTCTGTGAATTTTGAGTAAGGTCGGTAAGTAAGAGCCTTCAAGATTAATGAGTTCATTGAAATGAAATTTTTCATTTTCTCCGTTTTTAGAGGGGCTTGCCATTTGAATAGCAACATTCTTACATTCCACACTTCCATAGGCTATCAGATACTCTACGCATCATATCAATCAGCAATTCTTCCATTTTTAAGCAATCACAAAGAAAGCGGCTGATTATTGGGTTCCTTATTTTATTTCATTCAGTACTCCTCCGAATGACAAAAAAAAAATGTACTGCACTTACTGAGCCAATGTGACTGCTCACGGAAAAAGGGCCTTTAGTCCGCTTTAAAAGCTTTAGTCCAGTGGAAATATTTTAAGTTGACCAAGTATTGACGAGATGGAGTGCTGATTTAAATTCTAACATTTTGACGGAAAACTTTCCCTTGTGTCTAATAGAATAAATTGACTTTTTTTTTTTAATTTTTCCAGGTCAACCGACAAGAAGAGAAGAAAATTGTCCCTGGCTTGGATGACAAAACCAAACCAGCAGCAGGGAAATACATTCCACCTAGCCTTCGAGAAGGCGCACTCAAAAAGGAAGGAGGAGCAACCATGCAGCGTCCTGGTTTGGACGGCACTGCCATTCGTATTTCTAACTTGTCAGAAAGCACAGAGGAACAAGATCTTGAGCAACTGGTGAAACCATTCGGACAGACAAGCAAGCTGTTCTTGGCCAGAGACAAGATTACCAACTTGTGCAAAGGATTTGCGTACGTGCATTTCAAGAACAAGGAGGATGGAGAAAGGGCGATAGCAAAACTCAACGGTTATGGATACGATCATTTGATCTTAAGTGCCGACTGGTCAAAACCACAAGGACAGAATTAATTGTTGTTTTTTATTTGTAATTATACATTTTTATTATCTTTGTAAGTTAGGCTTCTTTTGCATAAACTTATTTTACTGAATATTTTTTGTTGATTCTTCCATCATTCATTCACTGCCTCCAAGGCCAAAATCAGAAATGTATTACAGGCCAGTCTCAAGGATCTAATTTGTTTAGAATGGGTCAATTTCGCCCATCTTGTTTTATTTCATTTTCTCGTTTAGTTCGTGATTAAACAAAATAATCCAGGAGAGGGACCTAGGCAGTGTGAATGAAGTCAAGCTGATTCTGTTTTAATCCATCTCATTATTACATCCAAAAAATGAGTACAAATTTGGAGGGTTTTCAGAAAAAATTCCAATGTGAATCTCTAATGGGATTGCATTTTGCAAAAATGAACCACAAGCATTCCAACGTCGCTAAGATTTTGCAACTTTTTTTACCTTCCAAATATAAACGGATCATCTATACAAATTTTATCTTTACTCCCAATAAACAATAAATTCAATACGAAAACTACCATAGTTAATTTAATTCTTTGCAAGGTTTCAGTAATTTTATTGTGAGGAATATAAGTTGCCCAATCCTAGCAACATTGGAATGCTGTTGGTTCCTTTTTGCAAAATGCAATCCAATTGTTCAGCTGCAAATGATTCATGAAGTCTCACAATTACAGCCACATTGCTAAACTCATACATAGTTACCCGAGAAGCTCCTCAATTGCAAGAAAAAATTGGACAGATTCTGTCAGCTAAAGAAACAGACCTACAAGAAATCAAGTTGGAACAGGGTAAAAGAAGTTAGTTCCTCGCTGGCTTTCATGGGAATTTTATTGTGTTGAAAAACGTAATATTTTTCCCAACTTCACAAGTATTATAAGAAGGAATGTACAGCTGGCTCAAAATTTGTGAAAATTTGTCTTCTATATTTCATGACCTTCCGTCGAAGTTTTGAACTTCATTTTTCTGTTGTGATTCAGACTGTGTGGAAAAGTCCAATTCACACTATCAAACTTTTCGTTCAATCATGTCGGATGAAAAGTTGAATAATGTGATACTGACGAGAGAAAACGACAATTTGACGAAAAATTGGACGGAAACTTGAATGTGACGTTACATTGAACTTTCCATCCAATCGTCGCGACGCCAATTGGATGGAATTTTGAATTTGAATTTGGAACAAAATCTTCCAACCAATATGGGCAGAAGCTGTATTTTCGCGAAACGCAGGCTGATGATATCACACTACTACGGTAATTGGATAAAAAAATTTTATTTCCAACTTTCCATCCAACTTTTCATTCAATTATGTCGGATGAAAAGTTTGATTGTGTGAATTGGGCTAAAGGATCACTCTCTTAGGAGATCTAGTCTTCGAGCTGCAAGATAAATCGTGCATAGTGAAGGAATGTCCTTATTTTCCTACGCTCTCATGGAAATCCTGCAAAAAACCATTTGAGTCCAAATTATTAATTTTCACTTCTTGCTGGCGAATGGCATGTAAAAAATGAGAGAGCAAGGAAAAAGTTTATTTTTTATTTAAGAATTTTTCTTTCTCGAAAGTTCCATCATACTGATTTAAGGAATTTTCTTTTCTGGTTATTGGTAAGTTGTTTTTTGAATGTTTAGACACTTTGACTGCAAAGTGAACAAAATGACTAATAAATCCTTATGGCACCAATAAAAAAACTTGAGGTGGTCCAAGGACCACGAATATTTCTTTTGCTGTTTTGGATTACATACAAAAAATGGACTGCTTTAAGCAGAAAGGAACCAAGCTACATCAACTATTGCAAAATTTAATTGGGAACTTTAATTTTTTACATAAAAACGGTTGTGCGGATTTTTGTGCAAATTTCAGTGAATTTTCTGCAAAGTACGCAACAAATTTTTCAAAATTTTCAAACAAATGTTTGTGCCAGCAGTGCATTGAAAGCAGACACCCAAAACAGTGTTTTGACTGCTTGAGCTTTTTCAGGTTGGCTGTTTCATGACAGTTAGAGAAAGAAAGAACATATTCATACGAAATGAATGTATTTAATAGTATAATATCATGATATCACAAAAAATAGAGATACAGTCATTTCTTGGACAAAAGCATATAAAACAGAATGCTAGTGTATGAAAAATCGGAGAAGATCAGTAAAAATTAAATGGTGACAAACTTAGAATAAAAAACTTACAAAATTAAGTAAAATAAAATAAGATTGGTTAAAATATTTAGGATGTAGCATACTCGGGACTTATGGTTATTCCAGGGAGCCACATTTACAGGAGTTAAAGAACTTACCTTCTGCCTCAAAAGGCACAATATACATGATGTAATTAAAACATACAAAAGGTAAAATTTTATTTATCAAACTAACAATAAACATAAAAAGTGACATACTCATTCTCAATTAAATAATAACAATTTTAAATCTGCGTTTTTCGTGTTTTTCAAGGTTCAGACAAATAATCTTATGTTACATTCCATCAAGTGTTCCTTCTCTTAAGAGGGATTGAACATAAAAAAGAAAGTTGTGCTTTACGTACATGTTACATTCAGTTTTGGAGGCAGGAATCACTCTTTGTTGTGCTAAAATGTGAAGAGTCTTGTCTGAAATTATTGGTGCAACTAAATCTTGCATCCGTGACCTTCATGTTCGTAATGAACTTCTGCCAACTAAGTTTGACAAACTAGAGAGGAGTCAAAAAGGACTTCATTTTTGGTTTCTCTAGAGCAGGTTTAACTGAATGATAATATTGCGTCAGACTGGCTGAACCAAGTTTGCTACTCTTATTTGGAGGAAGTTTCAAGAAGTGGACAAAGCATATTGCAAATTGTTTTGGTTTTTTTCATCCTGGGAACGAGAGATTCGTATCCATGGACTAGAGATTATATTTGAGTAAAAAAAGCTGATTAATATAGTATAGTACGATTTGTCGAGAGGGACGTGTTAGAAAAATAAGATAAATCATTCGGAAGCCCACTGTCAGCAATAGATCGTAAGGTTTACAATTGAAAGCTAACAATTTTTCTTGCTGAGATGCACAAGGGACACATAAGAGCAGGATTTGGGAGAAGAGCAGGATCTCAAAGCATAATGAAAGTTTTACGGAGATAAGGAGGTGGTAGGAGGTGGATCAACTCTGCAGTCACATCAGTTCCGTAACCATGCAACCAAACTTAAATCTCTAACTGTGCTGTTTTTATCATTCCATGCCTTGGCAAATTGGATAGCTCACTGCTGACATGAAACAGGTCTAATTTGAGAAACATTAATTTCATATCAGAAGGCCCAAATCAACATATGTATTTACATAGCTAAATAATCTGAATTATTTGAGAGATGTTCAACTCAAAAAAAAAGTACGAAAAAGCTGTAAGGAAACTTCAGGGAACAATTATTTTTGTTTTATTGACAACAATAAATATTTTCTGAAATTCCTTCTAATACAGCTTTCTTAATGTAGCAACTATACAAGAGCAATAAAGAGCTGTTTTTTGGTAAGTCTTCAGGTATACTAGAATGGATCATCTCTAGAACAATTTTGCAGTAATCAAGGCGGAATAAATTACAAAAATACAGAAATGATTTAGGGTCTTCATCATCTTTGAAAATTAAAAATGTAAAACCTGCATGAGAAATCACTAATGAAGGCACATTATTCTACAGTTTCATCATCGATACGTAACACATTATGAGAAGACGTATCATCTACAATAGAGGTCAACACATTCAATAAAAAGGAGGGTAAGAAACAGTAATTCTATTAATAATTAGTAAAGACACCCTTTCCTAAAAAGAAATTCCTTTCCTAAAAAAAAATTGTCCACATATTTCAAGCATTAGAATTGTATTTTAAATTTTGCAAAGCAAGTTAATGAAATATGGTTAGGTGGAGAGTTACGAGCAGGAAAAATTGACAATGGCACAAAGTAGTGACATTTTAACTGACCAAGGAATTGATAGCATCACGGTGAAGAAATGAACAATTCAAGTCAAGGTGATGCAAAATTTAACAAGGGCCTATAAATGCCCACTGCAGACATCTTTTTGTAATACAGAGGTTAACACGGTAAAAAGTTAGACAGTAAATACCCTAGAATATCTTGCATTTTTTCTTTAAATCATAGGCGCTTTCATAGCGCCAAGTTTACAGAGGAACTGAAACCAAATATAAAAAATCTACTTATTTCACTATATTAATTGTTTGGTCCAAAATAGGATATTTAAACAGATGATTACCATAACGCATACATTTGAAAGGTAACCATTAAAATCGGACCAAAAGATAGAATTGGTGCCACTAAGCATATTTTTCTGTGATCATGCAGATGTGCTGACGAGCTTTTCTTTCTCTATCATCGGCTTGCTCTGACTAATGCCGAACTCATTTACCCTCTTACACATTTTATCTTGTTCAATACCTTTCAGGTTTTTGGTAAAACAGTTCTTTCTTTAAAGGAAAATAGCGAAGTTCAAAGGTAAATACATAGACCACTAGTCAGGTTAGGGATTAAAGCACCATCAGATATAGTAGACATTTTTAGAACCAACCCATGAGCATGAAGCATAACTTAACGTTTGAATAGATGTAAATCAATATATCCATTTACGATAGATCTATACCACTGACAAATTACCTATATCAGGTATTACAAAACTTTGATTGTTTCTCTGATACACTGTGTTTATACAACTGTTACGCAAAAAAAATTTAATTCCAAAAAAAATCCTTCAATTGTACATCTAGCTAAGGCTAATTCCGTACGTCTTGTACCTCGAGTAGATTTTGGTTTTTTCACCATTATAATTGATGGACCAGACAACATCAAGTTCTCACTTATGAAGTAAACTGAAAATTTTCAATATGAAATTTTGAAGAGAGAGCCATGGTGCAGTGCTTCAATTTAAACCTTCCTAGTGGTACATTAAATAATGCTAACGTCTGTTGAAACAAGAAGTGTTTGTACGTGAGATTGTTCAAATATTTACACAAATGAATTAGATTTTACTCAACTCATTTTCCTGACCGACAAAAGTAGTTCTCCATCAAAGCTGATGCTGCTTCCACTTGTTTGAGGACATTTACAGTACATTTTCGACCGCATAATGAGAAAATTATTAAAATTTTCATGAAGCTTTCAAATAAGACCATAAAATCCAAAAAAATTCATCTCTCTGTAACTAATTTATCTCCAAACGCACGAGCAAATTGCTCCTTCCTGACACACACTTAAATTTTTACGTATTACTAAAAAAATATGCGTGACTAAATATCCTAACTTTTCAGAAAACATGGAGCACCACATTGACCATAGCTCTGACTATGATCAAAAATAAACACTAAAGCTAGATTAAGTTTTCAGACAAAGCCAACAAATCTTGAAATTACTCTTTGTCTTTAAGTCAATCTCATTAAACTCCTAACTTGATAAGAGAGAGGTCATTCCTATTTTACTCAATCTTTACTCTCATGGATCAGGGTTTCAAAGGGATTGAAGAAAATAAAAGAGAGGGCAATCATAAGAAATGCTGCAAAATAAAACAGTAAGAGATAAAAAAAATAATCATATAAAAATAAAACAGTAAGTTTACAAATACAAGTCCATTGCGGACACATCAGCCTGATCAGAAAATAGAGAATGAGAATCTTTCAAAACTGAAGACGTTATTACGTCTCGATTATCTTGGCTTCTGACCGAGCAAATGCCAGAAAAACTTGCTCCAGTGTAGTATTACAGATTTGGTAATCTTCGACAATATTCATGCTCTCCCGAATGCTTTGCATCCTCGAGAATAATTCAGACAAAGGCACCGATGGCTGTGTGATGTGGTAGTTCAACAACCCAGCATGTTTATCTTTCAGAACAATATCATTTCCGAACTTCTCAATTACCATGTCCTTCAAATCCTGAAGGTCGCTTTCAGTCGCATTGCCCAACTTAATCATTATTGAATAACCTTGCGCGTATCTCTGCTTCAGATACTCGACGTTGCCGATACACATCATCTTTCCAGCTACCATTATTGTAAGACGATCACAGAGTGTTTCACACTCGTCCATACTATGAGAAGTAAAGACAATTGCCTGGCCATGCTTGCGTGACTCCAGAAGAACATTCCACAATTTACGACGGGAGATGGGATCCACACCACTTGTGGGTTCATCCAAAACCACTAGGCTCGGATCACCGATCAGCGCCATTGCTGTGCTAAGCTTCCGCTTGTTTCCACCTGAGTAAGTTCCACATAGTTTATGTCTGTACTCGTTCAGACCAAGGGTAGATAGCCACTTGCTGATCTGCTGGTTAATCTTTGAACGATGAACGCCACGTAGCTTGGCAAAGGTCTCGAGCATTTCATTTCCAGTCAGATATTCGTTGATGCCATCAAATTGCGGACAGTAGCCGATCATAGACAAGTATTTCTGCCGTTTCTGACTGAGGAAGTAGTTGAAAATAGAACAATCACCAATGGTGGGGAGTGTGTCGCCTGTTATCATGCGGAAAGTGGTTGTTTTTCCTGCACCGTTGACTCCTAGCAGACCAAAACATTCCCCTGGCTTTACGGCGAAGCTTATTCCTCTTACAGCAGCATGGGTGCGGGAGAATTTTTTGACGAGGTTATCGACAATCAGAAGGTGATCAGAAATATTATCTGGAAAAGACAAGAAAGAAAGTTATATTAAGCATAGAAGTCAAAGGAATAACATGGTCATTGATTTTTTGTGCTGATTCAGGGAGTGAAATAATCTTTGATGTTTCAGTTTTTCCATTTATACCTGGAAAACACACCAACCTAATGTCCAATCACTCATGAATTGGATCAAGTTGCGAAAAGACGAACCCATCTACACTTTCCAAGAAATTAAGCTAGCAACTGCGCAGAGTAAAAGTGAACAAAATTGGACCAAGTTTATCAGAAGGGAACCAACCCACATCAAGTTGAAACTGAGAAAAAGAGGTTTGAAGTTTTATTCCTCCATAAGACTCAATGTGGAAAGTAAACTTTAAACCCTTATTTTTACAAACTGATATTTTTTTTCGACTTTGAGTTTTTGGCAGAAGATCCAACTAGGCGAACCCGAAACATTCTCATCTCTATTTTTTCGAAAATGTGGGTTGGTTCCTTTCTGATGAATTCGATCCCACTATCTCTCATCTAAAAAAGCGAGAATTCAAAAATTAACTCTGTAACTTTTAGTTGAAGCTGTCACATAAAAACCTGAAAAAGTCTATTAGATGAGCCTGGGGTCCATTAGAATGCTCATATTCTTGAGTTCATTGAATAATGCAAACTACGGATTCAATTGAAAATTGAATTTATCATTGAGTTTTGTAGGGTATTGATCATGAAAAAAAAAAAAAAAACATTTTCTAGGAGTGGCTTCAATATGAGTTGGATTCTTTCTATGTACTTGGTTTGCATGCGACAGGATCTGATAATAAAGACAGCATTGCAAAATTTGCTGAACTAAATCCTTCCGAATGTTTGCTTCGGACAGCATTGGTTTTCTTTTAAGGACAGTGACATACAGAGACATGAGACAGATGCAGACCGAGTGTCTACTAACTTGGAGGAGAAAAATTCCCAGACTTTTTCAGGTTTTCCCTAACCAAAGTGATCATCATTCCCTGACTTATCACATTAACAATTCCGATGCTTAGAACTGAAAATAAACCATTTTTGGAATTAATGTCACTGCAAATGGCAAAAACATGAAACCTTTTTTTTTTCTCCAGATATTAATCATTCAATAAACTAAAATTACAATTCCTTCCTGAAAATTATTTTTTCTCTCCTCGCTTTTCAGGGCGTAACTTAGAGCACTGAACTCAAGTCTGCCGGCCGATTATTAAAATTCATAGATAAAGCTATATACAAAAAAGACAAGAGAGGTATGGAGGGATCCTATTGGTGGAAGCAGTAGGTTGGAATGGACGAAGAACGTAGATGATAGACTAACTAACGGCAACCGACCAGAGACCCATTAGTTAGTCCTTTATTTTCCTCCTTAGTCTGTAAGAACCACCTGTTTCAACCAATGGGATCGTTCCACACTTCCTAAGTCTTCTTTGTCAATCGTTTTGTCTAGCAGTTCAGATAATCAGCCCGTAAACTGAGACTCACTTTGATTGTGCAGACAGCGCTGATGTTTTTTTTTACCCAGATGCTTTAAATTTTCAGTCTTTTTCATAGAATTCCTTAACTTTTCCCTAAATTACCTGTTTTCAAGACCTATATACACCCTGCGCAGAAAGTTGTGCCAAAATCGGAAAATCTTCAAAAAAAAGACAAATAAGTCGGAAAATGAGATTTGTTCGAAAGTTCTGACAATGCCATCATAAAGAAAGTATTGAATTAAATATAAAGATCTTAACAAGGAGCTAATGTATAGAGTTTTTTTCTCAATCAGTGCACAGCTTCTGACTGAAAAATTAAGCGACACAAAGTTGAGAGCCAAGGTGAGGTAGTGCGCAAAGTTCGAAGGGCACATGCAGAAAAATTAAGAATGGTTCAATCAAACATTAAAAACATTATTCCTCCTGGTTTTTAACATGCTAGATGATTCCAATAGTCATTTAACAGAGATGTTTGAAAGAGAGGGTAAAGTTCCTTCATTTTCACAAGACAAAATTTTGATTCACTCTTTGAAAATATCTTCTTTCAAACAAGTAAAAACATCCCTTTTGTTTAGAGTTAGACATGCTAGAAATTATGCAAAACACGCTGAACATAGCCACCCTTGACAAAAAACAGGCTGCCAAATCTATGCGGTCTTCTTGCAACTTGGTATTAACAAAATTAAATCCGAGAGAAAAAAAAGGAGCAACAAAAGTTTCTTCGTGTTATCGGTTTATATTTTTTCCAAGACATTTGGCCAAGCTTTGGATTTTTCTGAGGGTGTGAAAATTGTGCCATAATTTTTTTGGCTCAGGAAATCACAAAAAATGGTGTGATGCAAGTTGTCATGAATGAAAACTTTTGTAACTTAAAACCGGATACATAATTGCGATATTTCATTCAATCTTTCATTCAATCATCTAATCAATGGTTGTCTTTTGAGCAGTTTGGCAATTTCAGCTGATCTATAATACTAAAAAATCGAAAATTTAATTCCTGCTATCAATTACATAATTTGGCAGGAATTGATTCTCTAGCATTTTCTAGGTGGAATTGGAGTCCAGAAACATTTGATTTCCAATTTTGATAATAATTTCGGCATGATTATAGCAGAGAAGGTGTTATCATTTGAAAGCTAACTGCAGGATTTAATTGCACGGCAGACCCCTAAAATTTTATTTCAAGTGAGCCATTTCCCAATTTCGTTTGCGGACACAAAACACTAAAATGTATGATACACAAATGCCTAAGAATAATAGTCACTCAGAGGAAGAAGAGACCGGAAAAGGAGCTCTTTTCTTTTCAATTAATAAAAGCATATGATCAAGGGCCCTAAAGAGTGTGCAGGATCCACGATTGACAAAGATATTAGACCAACACAGCGAAAGCTTACACCCGGTTAAAACCAGAACATGGAATTTGATTTATCAGACCTACCCTTTGAGATTGTTATGTCTCTGATAACCTTGCCGATATTTACGCAACCTGAGTTTCTATATGTTACTGAAAAATAGCCATTCAAGGAGTGTTACTCGAGCAATTCATAGATATTTATAAAAAAGTGCAGTGCTCACTTTTTGGCCTTATGTGCAAGGAAAAAGGATAAGAAAAATAAAGCATTGAAGTTCTTTCAGAAATGCGATTAATAGTTCACTCATTCATTAGCTTAATAGCATTACAGCTGGGTTTCTGAACACAACTTCATTGCGTACCGCGAAAATTAGGTAGAATACTAAAATACTGAATAGAATTCGAAAATCAACAGATATCCATTTTAAAATCTCCTTTTCATGACCAAAAAATATAAATTATGTGCAGCTGTATACTTTTTGAGCATAGCAAATTCTATTTGTTCCTTCTCATTGGGGAAAAAATATGTTCGGCCGCTAGGATAAATCATACTCATCAAAATTATTCTGAATGACATCAATAAAAAAATTAAAAACTAAAAGAATCAACTGCTAATTGCTAGCAAGTGCTGGATACATGAAACAAACTAAAAATAAATGAGGATATTCATGAAAAAAAAACAACAGAGGTCAGGAGAATGGAGGACATGAAGCTGGAAAGAAAAAACAAATATTACCTGGTCATGGTTCAATGGCCATCAATTTTTGGTGTTGTAATTTCTATACTTGCCAGTCAAATAATGTTAACTTTTGAGATAGAATCCCTCACCAAGCAAGAAATGAGAGTTGAAAAACGTAAAACGCTAACATACCTGGCTGATCTTTAGCAGAGTCAACTCTGTCTTTTTCTTCATTGACATCTGGATCCTCACTTGAATGATTTTCATCGAGGAAGTGCGTGCCACAAATTCTGTTGAAAGCTAGCCTTTGTATCTGCTCTATGTAGCCGAGTTCGACCAGAATAATTATTGCCAGATAAATCAATGCGTCAATAGCCAACGTTAGCAGGTAGTTGTTCAGACCGATATCACTTTTTGTTGACCATTCGAAATAGTTTAGCTCTGATAAAACAAAATTGACATGAGATAGTGGCACAGAAAAAGATGATTTACACAACAAAAATAGGAAAGCTCCCCTTCGCTTCATTTAAGGCTTGGCAGAGTACCACCAGAGCAGTACCACCAGAGCATACAGTTGGCTTAAGAAGACCAGTGCAATTATTCTGTTGTAAGAATCGTGCATCTTCATTTTTACCTGAAAAATTTCCAAGAATAGCAAATCTTTTTTGCTTTTCTTCCTAAAAACTGTTAAAGGTACTAATCGTTAAAATTTTAATACTGCACGTACAATTTGTAGTTTTTACAGAAAAGAAGAAGTTGAACGATTTTGTGTACCATGTAGTCATTGATTTTTGATTCAGTGATTTCATCAAAAAGTGGGTAAAAATTTGGATCAGATTTTGAAATTAGGGACTACTAATTTAGGCTCACCCACAAAAGCACCTATCAGCGTGGGGAAACTAATGGCACATATGTTGTTTGAGGAATGAGGCAAAAATTGTTGTTTCATTTGCAAAATGTAGTCGGTTTGATCTTATCCAAGACTATGAAGGCTGTACCAAGAATGTCATTACTCAACAGAAAATAATATCGGGATAACGTTAAGGCCCCTGAAGTTGGATACTCTAGGCGTAGCATTTTAGGTCTACATCAAGTGTATACTTTTTCCTGTTGCTTTCCTCATGAGAACAATGCATTTTTGCATACGTTGCATTCATGACCAAGTTGCATAATTCTTTAATCCCGATCCGAGTCTCTTACTTAAAGACCGAGTCTTGTTTAACCTCCAGATGCTCATGGAGATGAAGTTCGTTGATAATATTAGCATTTGACAAACTTTGGAAGAAATTTTGATGGTTAATACATTTCAAAATGTTTCAATTTTAACCTTGTCTGATGATCCATAAAAGAGACATAGAAATGACACTTACTTGTGCATGGTTGATTGGGGCACAAAACGCACCAGCTGTTCTCAAACGCAGCCCACAGGAATGTCATCAATGCAATCAGGAATGGATATTGCGGCAAAAATCTCAAGATGTAATCTGCTAAGCCCAACCAAAACCTGTTTATGACCGCTTCCCCGGAGGCACCATTCAATTTTAGCATGGCGTACACTATAATCGCTCCATATGTTCCTGAGGAAAAAAGAGAGAATAAGATAGAGAAAACTGATACAATTTACGGCAAATAATTTGATAGAAAGGACATGGTGGTTTTGATTCACACTTCATGAGCTTAAATAATTTTTTCATCATAGAAATGCAAAATAGATAAGAGATGAAATTTTTGGTCCAATTTCGAACTATTGACATGAATTGACAAATAAGATTTGTCCTAGCTGCACTCTGCCGGCAGGCTGATAGTTAAAATTTTGTGTTTGTCTGTTAGCCAAGACTGAGGTGAAATAGAGCAATACAATTGGTCAGTTGCACCTTTGTCAAGCAGGATAATCATCCCGAATCACACTGAAATAATTAAGAGGGTGCTTTCAGTATGTCGATTAGACCGTTGAAATAAATGAAGACAAAAAGAATAAGAGCAACAAACAATTAACCCCATTACTTACATATTGACCTCAGCCCTGTCTAGTCTAGTGGAAAGAATAAAACACCAAATTTTAACAAACGCCCGCAGAATCATCACAATGCGCTTCACCAGACTTGAGATTTTGCACTACTCTCAACATGTTTTTGATGGGTATTTCTGAATGAATGGATTGTGTTATTCATTATCATTCAAAATAGTTGTCATACTGATTGGATAGTGTTCCTCACAGAAGTTTTTTCTCTGATGCAACACGTAAATAATTTTCAAAGTTAATTACACAAATTATTTTTGTTGTATTCTGTCGGTACGGGCTTTAAAGGCTGCCTATTTATTTAAAGATTTAGCATCACTGAACTGATTTTAGTGGTGAATACTACTGTTTAAAATTACTGACTTTCTCCGCATTAATCACTGATTCTAGGTGCATGCATTGAAAAAGAAGGCAATGGTTAAAAATATGTGAAGAAATTTAAAGACTTCGAAGAAAAAAAATACAAATAGACAATCAATAGGTGAGCTGGTCAAATTATATCCTACGTATTACGTCATCTGAGCAAGAAACATGAAAGGACCAAAATACTACAGAATTTGAGGGCAGACTTACCGACAAATAGGTTGATGTTGAGGTACAGTGAGTAACATGAGGCATAAGATTTTTTGAAGTAAGAGAGGACATACGCAAATAGAATGTTGCTGACACCCGAGATCATCAGAATGAAACAAAGGATCACTGAGAAAAGATAAAAAAAGGTGTTATTAACATCTGAAAATAGTTTTAAGCACAAGGCATAAAATATGTTCACAAATTCAGTCAAATACATCTATTGAACTGTTAATTTTTACGATATTGTCTCCTGCATCAGACATTTAAAAAAAATTGCATAAAATTGGGTTCAAATATATCAATATAAATATATAAAAATTGGGAGCAAAACATAGTTTATGAAGCTCTCACCAGATTGTGAACTAGCATCAATACTTGTGCTTTTGAGTTTACCGATAACCTAAACATGAAATATTTAAAATGAAAAAATTGAAAAAAAGCGCAAGCACTATAAAGCTTCTATTAAAGAGTCAATTCTTCATTGAACAACCACATTTTTAGCTCGTTTTAATGTGAGACACATGTAGTGACGAATAGATTTATTAACGGATGAAGTGAAGAGAAGAATTGTCAACTTACCACCTGCTTCAGCAAGTAAGTTTCCACTGATAACGAATACAAAGACTGAGAGGAAGGAGACGATGAGGAAATAAGCGTAGTCAACGATAAATGTTGTCATCCAGTAAATCACTGGTGACACGCCTGTCATTAGCTGCAGTTGCTTGGCATTATTGAGCCGCTCTACAATGGGAAACGCGATGAGAGATCCCGTCAGAATGAGGAGCGATGTCCCGAAGAATTGGATCCAGGCAAAAGCGTAAAAAACAAACAAAGCCCCTCTCGAAGTAGGCTCCAATGCACAGGGTTCCTAAGAATACAATTAAGTTAATAATTCATACAAGAGAGATGGACAAGAACTTATATGAAAAAGCAAAAAATAAATTATGAATGGGTCTGTTACAAGCAAGAGATACAGACAAATGAATACACTTTTTAAGGGAAAATTCACTTGACAATCTCGTTGGGCACATCAAAAAAGTCTGAGATCCACTCCGTAGTGCGCTGGCAGTTTTCTTTGTGGTCAGCAGTCAGGTTTACCTGGGGAGAGACCTAACCTAAATGAACAAAACAATCTTGCAATCTCTAATAAACTCTCCTTGCGGAAGATTTCAATTGATTTGTTGATTTGTTGTTGTGTGTGTGCTTTTGTTTTGCAAAATAAAGAAAGATAATGGAAACAAATGCTTGAAAACAAATGAAAGCATACGATGGAAACAGTTAGTTAATCGTTTGTTTACTTGGGGTAGTTCTTTCTTACTCATCTGCCTGACTGCTGACCTCCAGGAAAAACTGCCCGCAGACGTGAGAAAGACGTTTTGGAAGAGACTTTTTTGGTGTGCCCATCACGATTTTCGAGCAAATTCACTCTTGTAAACTGTGCTCAGTTGATTTATCTCCTGCGTTCAACAGACCCATTATACGAAAACTAATTTTAACAGGAAATTTCTTCTTAACCGATGTTTACGTAAATATATTATGGAAATGAATTTTCTGCATAGTTATCCATTTACAACTGTTTAACAAAGACGTGATTTAAATCTCAGATTTGTCTTACTCCATTATAAATATTGGTTTAACTGCAGTCAATTGACGGTACTAAACTATGGTGATGCAATAATTTGCTTCCTACCTGTGAGCCAAATTAAAAGGGACTGTGAGAAAGTGGTTTATAATCAGTTAAAATAGTGGTTCTTTCATAATAAGTTAAAACTGAACTTCAAGCAAAAATACAATTGCAAAGGAAACAGCGGTCCTTTTGAACTTGAAGGAGAGCTTCATGAACTGTAAACATTTGTTCTTTTCAAGAACATTAGATTAGATTGATTGAAAAACATCAAAGTCTTTTTTCATGGATTTCATCTCTTTAGAGAGGTATTGCAACAACGCTAATTGTGCAATCGCTTGAAATTGCTATGCCACATCGCGTACATTTGTTAGTCTCAAAGTTAAACGAGTCACAACAGTCCAAGGGGATCTAACTTTGAGGGCTTGTACTGTATTTATTCTGGACGGTTCACCGCTACAAAGTATACAAAATTAAGAACCAAAATTTGTGTTTCCTTCTCAAAACTTTACATCAAATACAACAGACATGTTGAAACTTTCTAAATTTAATTCTTGAGTTAGGAAATAACAGTTTTTGTCTAAATTCATTTGCAATTCCCACACACAGAAAAACTTGAGTATACTCAAGTTAAATCGAACACTTAAGTGATTACAGTATATTTTGAGATGGATGGATTTTCCTACATACTGACTTTTTTGGACAAAATTAATGATACCTCGGGTCAGATAAGGAAAGAAACGTGTGTGAAACCAAGCTCTAGTTATTTGTCTGACATAAAGACTGATTTTTATATCCAATTAGGCCTATGCTGATTATGGTTCTTTCTGCAAGCTGTAAGTTTGAATTTACTCTTCATAATGTAAACTGCAAACATTTATTTCTCATCTTCTGAGCTAATTTTGAAATATTTTGATACATTCAACAAGTTTTGCAAGAAATTTTGATGAAATAACATGCGTTTTAGTGCTTAATTTCTTACATTATCTGGTGGTCCATGGACAATTTTACTTTCCTGAAATATAACTTACCACGACTTTCAGACTCAAGGGATGAAGTGTGGTAGACAGAGTCCTATTTGCCACGCTCTTCAATAAGAGGTTGTAGGCTAAATTCAAGGAGATAGGTAGAGAATGGATAGCAATTTGATTGTACATTGCCGTGACAGACGTTTTGCTCACTTGCAACGCCAACAAGTTTTCCGCATAGTATTCATTGAGGTCCGCCTTCCCTAAGTTCAGAAGATCTGAAAAATGATTGAATATTATATGAAAATTTCAGAAAGCATAAATTAAGCCATAACCATACTAGTCTGCCATTTTTTCCCTCGTTTAGAAAGCTTAAAATTCGAAATACACACAATGGGTCTCTAGACGAGGGCTTCACTGGGAAGAAAGCCATGAATTATCTTCTAACATTTACCTGGGATAAGATTTTCAAAACTAAAAGTCCAGAAATCAATTTCTTGACAAGATACATATTACCAAGTGTTTTTAACACAGATCGAATGGAGGTCAGACTATACAAAGAACGTCATTTGTATTTTTGGCATTTACCAACTGTTGGTTATAAGCACTTGAAAATTCTTCAGAAGTTGCATTCCAGACTTCTTGTTACGAGATTCTTTTTCCTAAGGAAATTTTGAAGAGAGAACATGTTACTTAGTACTTAAACTCATACTTTGTCTAAAGGCCCATTTCATATTTTGAAAAAGTTTTGAAAAATTTAAAAAATTTCGTATTTTCAAAAATTGACACTTAAACATCTTAACTTGTGACTATTCGTGGGAAAGGGGGCCAAAGAGCAGAGAAGCTCAATATTTGCTGATTTCATTGGTTTCACGCCTTAGATAGTTGGCTGTTGAACAAATAATTTGACACAAGAAAAAACAAGTCTAAACTAGAATGGGCCTGTTGCAAACTTTTGCTAGAGCAAAATTAAGAGTTGTTACTCATAGAAAGTGTCTCAAAAATCACAATGAGGGCATCGGCACAGTCAGAAATGCACTACTTACTTCACAATTTGCTACTTACTTCACATTTTTACAACGGCACAGGTGAACATTTCGTTAGGGGAGTCATTCCATCCAACCCCTGCTCACAAGGATACCACGCAATATTCAACATAGCCGACGCAAATCTGCCAAAACATATATGACAGAACGATGATTCAAACCACCTGATAACGATCAGCGTGTTTACATTCACATTTTTCTCGCGTTGATAGTATCTGCCTTGATTGACCTTGTGCTTTTTTCAACTTGCGCGTGGAAGCGTTGGTCATGTTGAGCAGGGATTGAATGGAACGACTCCTCTAACGAAATGTTCACCTGTGCTGTAGTATCCTTTTTGAAGCGGGAAGCTTAAAAAAACGCAAATTTCTCATGCAGATTGTGAAGTTAGGAGTGCATTTCAGAGTTTCCCAATGTGCTCATCGAGATTTTTGAGACATGATGTACGAGGAACAACTCTCAGTTTTGCTCTAGCAAAAGTTTGCAACAGGCCTATTATGCTAGTTTGAAGTTTGGAGTTCAAGGAGGGTAATTTAGAGGAAGAGCGATCAACAGATTTAATCGGTCATGTTTCATGTTCAAAATTATCTGGTTAAATTGTAAGATTTTCTCCTATAAAGGCACACAAAATCGAATGAACCACTCTCCACTAATTGTTTGAGATAATGCAGAGTAATTTCCATCAAAAACGGCTCTCCTTAAAAAATCATTCTCCATGCACAAAAGCGCTTCTTCCAGTGAATGATCACTTGTTCATCTATACAAAACTATTTTGGAGTAATTGACGAGATGAAACTGATTTGAGATCTTGTAAACAATTGTTGATGAACTTACATTGGTTAGTGTCTTGGTCAGGAGGAATTTGAACAGGGGTCTGCAGCGGGACGAGGTTTTTCAACTGTGCTGCGTATGGATTGGAATCATTTGAATGATAATAAATTTGCATGGTATCATAAATACTCGGGTCTAGTTCCAAAGCAGGCATGGGTGGTGGACCAATCTCTTGACTGTTCAGCAAGAAGTTTGACAGTATGGATGCCAAAATCGGTACAATGCCCTATAACAGGAAAAAAAGGGGGTTATATACAAACTATTGCTTTAATACTACGGATTTGTTTTTTTAGTGCGTTCCTTTACAGCTTTTAATGAGAGACGCCATACATACCCAAATACATATTAATGCAGCATAGTGTGATGCTTTTTTTATACTGACTGAGAAGCCGATACTGAATATCCAGGGTTGCCACAAAATTTAGAAAATGAAATTCCCTGACACATTTTGGTGAAGATCCCTGACAATTGAAGATGTGATGGATGGTTAAGAACGCATAATTGCAAATAGTTTTCAGGCAAAATATATTGTTGGAAACCTCAAACCATTCTACAAAGCAATTGAGGGTGATTTAACAAATTTTCCCTGAAGTTCAATCTTTTAAGTAGCCTTTGAGAAAACGACCCTATCATATGGAGTTGATGGATTTTAGGCAAATTTAAGAAATTTCTCAAAATCCAAGGATATTCAATAACTCGAGAACACAAAAAAAAGCAAGTTTATTTCAGGATTTTTGGGGCATCACAAATCCAGGCAATAGGGTGTGTCACTTCTTAGAATAGATTTGGATCAAATTAAATATTAACGATAAAACTTAGATACATAGTTATTAGAAGAATGAGTTGTTTTACTTACAAAAATAAGGTACATGAAGCGTCTGCGATACGAGTAAATCAGTTTCTTATTCAGAAGAGCCGAGAACTGCTGACAAAGTAAAGCTGGCTGAAGTTTTAACTTTCCTGAATCTGGAGAATGAAAGGTAATTTTAACAGAAATTCATAAAAAAAGTAACAAAAAATTTTAACACATGAGAAGTTGATTTTGATTGAAATAAAAATTCACATTTAGTTTCAAAGGACTTTCCTTGGGTAAAAAAGTCCTTTGTATAGAGCACTGTTGTATGTTTCATCTTTTGTGAGGAAAATAAGTACACTGATGAAATACTGTGACCTGTGCAAAATAAGAAATCTCATTGTTTCTTGGAGTCTAAAATTAAGTTTAACTTACGTGAAGTAAGAAGCTTCAAAAAAAATTACAGCTGAAAATTTATTTCAACCCTGAGTAGACTCGATTTTAAAATTTTACAGCATTCTGACTTGCTAAGAGATTATAAATGATTCAAATAATAGTACAATTTAGCAAGAGCAGAATTTTTTAGCATTCCATGCATAGCTCTTCAGAGAGGAACATCAAGTAAAATGGGCAAAAATTTATCCTGGTTTCTAACACCAAAACCCTGATGCAATTCCTAATTTTCGCAAAGATTTTTTGTTCTGAAAAGACTCCTATAGACAGATTGGTTTTTTCATGTTTGTCCACCAGATAAGACAAGATTACCGAGAATGTAGTCATGTGATTGGTCGGTTTTGTGAATCATCCTCTTTATTGTGCCGGTGAAGGATGTAATCACCGAGAAGCTAAAGGCATCTCTCGAGCTGCCGACATTTAGTCATCAAATTCTGGATGAATCCATCCTTAATGTGCATGGCAAAGAGGATGATTCACTAAACCGACCAATCACATAACTACGTTTTCCTTAATCTTGTCTTAACCGGTTGACAAATATAAAAAAATCAATCAGGCTCCTGGTATTTCCAGGGTTTCCAGGCCACAAACATCATGGATTAAGACTTCTATTACAGAAATGAATGCTGTACCTCCTTCTGGTGAGGTGAATGCCGAGTAATTTTCTTGAGAATTGGAGCTCTCATTATCTCCTGAGTCTCGTTCTTCAGCAGCAATCTCTCCAACTCTGCAAAACATTAAAAAACAAATTAGAGAGAAAAAAAAATGAAAGTGGCAACTTCTCTTTTTAAAAGAAAAGTTATGAGAGGATATTAAGAACCCTTTAAGAAAAAAATATTTTGTAGCAGATAACTCTTAGTGCTAACTATCATATGAAGAGTGTGCCCTGTCACCGCAAGTAAAAAGATAAGTTTAATTTTTGGGCAC